GGTTCCACATCACACTTTTTAGGCACCACTCTGTCAGAACTGCCTGACATGCTCTAAGCCAAAGTAAGTACAGGTTTCCCCACTGTCCAAATTAGAGTGCTCCTAGGAGAACTTTCATAAGTGAAAATGGTGTAAAGTGAAGAAGCAATTACCTTAGGAAATGTCTTGCTAACAGATGCACAAAATAAATTGAGATAAAGTGCAGATGTTCACAGTTCAAAGGTATGGCGGTTTAAAAAAAGAAAAAGGACTTCCCTGGTGGTCCAGTGCTTAGGACGCTGCGCTTCCACTGTAGGTGGCATGGGTTTGATCTCTTGTCAGGGGAATTACTATTCCTCCTGCCATGCATCATGGCCAAAAAAAGAAAAACCCAAATGAACAGAAAAAGCTATGGCCGTTAGTTGCTGAGTGTGGTTCCTTCTGGTGTCACACTCCTTCGGGTGCTCGAGGCCTCTGTAAGAGCTGCTGCAAACAGATGCTGAATGCTATTTAATTAAGTCAAAAATCCTCTTCAAATTTCTTTCACTTAGGAAAACAGGTACTAATACAGGTCTCTTGTAAAAGCAAAAGGGCATAAAGTGAACTTTCACAAAATGAGGGATGCCTGTAGTTTTACAATTATCTGTCTGGGCCAGGTCTGATTGTTCCATGCCAGCCTACAGAGTCTGACACCTGGGCAGATTGGTGGGAGGGGGGGGGAGGTGCTGGCATCAGAGGTGCTACCTCCCTGGCATTCCCACTGCACCCCCTCGCACCTGCTCCCCTCTGTAGCCTCCTGCATCACTGTGCACCCATGTAAATAACAGGGAGCTCTGGGGGCTCCTGAGGTTGAGAAGCAGGTGTGAGTGGCGAGCACTGACCTGCAAAAGCCAAGTGCCAAGGCTCCCCTGAGTCCCCCTCCAGCTGTCTGCCAACAGCCACACTTTATTTATTTTTAATTTATTTTTGGCTGCACTGGGTCTCCATTGCTGTGCTCAGGCTTTCTCTAGTTGCGGTGAATGGGGGCTTCTCTCTGGTAAGCTGGCTTCTCATTGAGGCAGCATCTCTTGTTGTGGAACATGGGCTCTAGAGCATGGGCTCAGTAGTCACGGCACACAGGCTTAGTAGCCCCTCGGCATGTGGGATCTTCCTAGACCAGGGATCAAACCAGTGACCCTTGCATTGGCAGGTGGATTCCCAACCACTGGACCACTAGGGGAGTCCGATAGCCACACTTTACTATCTGATGTGTCAGCTGTATACGTATCAGACCAAGTTTGAAGGTCACCACGGATCGGGAATTGACAAGGGGTGTGGACAGGGATGAAAGAGCTGAGAGGCAGAAGCGATGACACCGTAAGTAGGGTTTGCAGCCCAGAAGAGAGAAGAGAGGGCAAGCCTAGACTTCAGATCATGACTGAGGTTGGAGATGGATTCTTATCGGGCTGCCTCGCCTGTGAACCCACTGGGGGAGAAGCTGACTTTCGGCAGTGGGTGAGTCTGGGGGCAGAGGTTCCAGTTGTGCTGGGGGACTGAGATGCCGGAACAGGGTGGGGACCAGGAATCCAGGTCAGCACTGCTCGGGTCGAGTCCTGCTCTGTCTGCACGTGACCAGAGGGGTCCTGGGGCCTCCGTCCTGGTGAGCAGCTTCTAGCTGCTCGCTCTCCCCAGGTCCCTACTGCTGCTGCTATTTCTTGCTCCCGTTATCTCCTCTCTCCCATTCCCTTCCTTCCTCCTCACCCCAACCTCTCATCTTATCTTTCCCCTGAACAAGCAGGACTTTCAGAACCAGATATCTCCAGGCCCAAAGCGCTCTGGAGGCCAGAATGGGAAGACTAGGTTCTTGGCTCAAACTTGGCCCCCAGTGAGGGGAGGGCTCTTGGCCTTGGCTGTGCTCAGCCCCTTCCTGCCCCAGGCACAGTGAGGCAAGAGCCAATTCTCTGAAGGCCTGAAAGCACAGCACCTTGGGACCAGAGAGCGGTTTGATCCAGCTTTCTGGACTCTCTTGGGAGGTGAGGAGAGTCTGGCTTCAACCATAAAAGGGAAGTTGAGTCTTCTGCCTCTTGCTAAGATGCTTTCCTGCTCAACTCCCATCTACTTTGCTGAAACCGGAAAGGACAGTTCTCTTTGTTGGGAGAGTGAGGAAGCGGAAGGGCCAGGCCCTCCACCCAGTCGGTGCCTATTTCCTGGCCATGAATGGAAAACTATGCCCCTTCTTCCCCGTCTCCCAGCACCCAGTCCTGGGTGCTCCCTTCCCGCTTTTGGTGTCCAGTCATCACACTCCCTCCAGGGCCACGGAGCATGGGGGAGGGGCCTGGGCCACGGTGTGTTCATTCACAGAAAGGAGACACAGGCTGCCTTGAGTTCCATGGAAGCCCTGGGACGTGATCTTTAATGGACATTCCTGTCCCTGCCTCCCCACCCCGAGCCCCAGATGACATATTTACAGGATGCTGTTTGGAGCCAGTTCCAGGCCCACGTCAGTGTGCCTCCACCCCACCGCTAGGGTGGGGGCTGCCAGGGTGGGGCAGGAGGATGCGGACAGCTGGGAGCCAGGTGGACTGGTCACAGGAAGTCTTGGGTTCTCCACACCCCACCCCCACCCCATGTGCACGCACACACAGACGTGCCCATGTGTGCAGAGGTATTCACGCTTGTGCAGAGATGTGGATCCAAATGCTTGTGCCAGATGCATCGCCACCTGTGTGCACGTGTGTACCACCTGTGTGCACGTGTGTACCACAAGAGGATGCCTTAAGGTACCGCCGCAATAGTGCAAAACCCAGCCCTTAGCCTCCCGCCCCCGCCTCAGCTTGTGTGGCTGGCTGGTGGGGCAGGACTGGCTAGAGTGGTACCCCACCCACCCCCTTGCTTGGGCAGTGCCAGCTGGAGCTCAGTATCGAGGACCCCACTGCAGCCGCATCCAGCTCCCTTAAAGGGTGTCAGTGGGCCTCCGTCCCCAGTTTGCCCTGAGGGGTGGTACAGATAAACAGGGAGCCATTTCTTCCATGAATCCTCCTCACAGATGCCCCAGAGGAGCTAAGACAGGCAGCTCAAAGACCCTGGGGGTGTTCGGAAACCCCTGGGGAGGTTTGGGGGTATCCCTGGGCAGAGGAGCTCCATTCATTTGTGGCTTTCATCCAGAAGGTAGCTTGATCCCCAGCTTGCCCCTGCCGGCTGGTTTTTAGCAGTCAAGGAGCCAGAGCTCATGTCCCAACTGAGGGGCATGAGGAAAGGCCATGGGCAGGGACTGAGGAATTCTGCCCAGCCTTGGCCTCAGGTTCGGCTGCAGTGGGGATCAGATCGGAGGACTAACGGGGAAAATGACTGTAAACTTACTACCTGGCCCTGGAATGGTGTTAAGGAGCAGAATGGGCTTGACAGGGCCTTAAGGACGTTTCTGGAAGCTGAGGATCAAACGTGAGACTTGCCTTTTCCTACCTCCTCCTGCACATCACAGGCGGAACCCCTAACCCTCCACTGGGCCACTCCTGGCCTTCCCTCCTTGGAAGAGTGCTCCCCCGGCAGATGGCTTGTGACCTCCAGGCCATGCCAAGTGGCACCTAAACCCTGAGTCAGCCCCAGCATCACCCTTATTTAAAGGGGGAAGGTGCCATGTTATTTCAGGGACTATATATTCTAGGACCCTACCCTCCTCCCAAATACATGCGTCCTGGCAGGGAGAGCAGGACGATTGTTTTGAATTGAAGACAATCTGGGACGTGTGGTTGCCGTACCCATAACCTAGGCCTCAGGCACGGAACAGGCAGCTTTGGTTTGATTCAGCACTCGGACTTGTCTCCAAGCTCAGCAGGGCTGGGCGGAGGGGGCGCGCAGGGTTGCCAGGCCCCTGCCTGGCTTAGGGACTTCCACGTTCAGTGAGAAGGTGCCAGGTGTGACCACCCCCTCGGGGAGGGCCAGAGGGATGGCCAGGACTCACAGCTCCTTCTGTCCCTCCTGCAAATGTCGAAATACCCCACAGCTGCCTGGCCCAAGCACCCCCAAAGTTACATTCATCAGTTGAGATTCAGTTAAAAAAAATAAAAATAAAACGAAAAAAAAAAAAATAAATAAAAGGTTGATGTCAGCTCCCTCCCCTAGGTCCCAGGAAGGTTAGGCCCTCCCTGGTCCCAGTCACCTGGCTTGGAGGCGGGGCCATCCAAGGCCACGCCCATCGCTGGCTGCGTGCCCTCCCCCCGCCCAACTTGAGCTGTGGCAATCTGTGATGATGGAGGCTACATTCACAGGAGGAGAGTTGGTGTGCAAGGCCAAAGCCGCATGAGGTGGGGTGGGGGACCATGAGGGAAATGCCCTCCAGGCCTGGTCCACCCTGGTGGTGTGAGGGCAGGGCCACCACCCGGCCCCAAGCCCCTGTGGGGCCAGGAGTTGCAGGGCTGGGCCCGGAAGACATTTGCATGCTGCCTCCCTCCGTGGCTGGGCGGGGGCAGCCTCCTGGTTCTGGGCGGAGATGGTGGGCGCCAGACTCGGAGGGAGGTGGGGGTGGCACTTAGGCCCCTCCGGACCTGGAACGGAGAGGGGGCATCAGGGGAGGGTATGAGGCAGGGCCCAGAGGGAGAGCACCCCCACCTCAGCCGGCCCCGGGAGGTCAGTGCTGGGCCCTGGAGGCAGCGAGTCACAGGCTGGCCAGGGAAGGGGGTCTGGCGGGAGGTCAGACAGTGGCGACATGAAAGACAAAACGGATGGGACGCAGAGGTAGGCTCCCTTCCCTGGGGAGGAGTGGTGGGCGCGCGCGCACAGCTCCAGGGTCCACGGGGCCAGAGGTGGGCTGACCATTGGAAGGGCAGGAGTTAAAGGACCAAGGCCTGAGGCGGTGAGTGGGCTGGAGAAGGGGGCAGGGGCACGTTGAGGACACTCTTCCTGGAGCGGGGTTCTCCCACCCCAGGAGTGACAGCCGTGACCGCAAGGGTGGGGGAACCGGCCTCAGCTCCCCATCGACAGAATGCGAGGTGACCAATGAGATGGAGGAGACAAGGACAGCGGGAGGGAGGACGTGGCCGGCGTCACACTGCCCCCTGCTGGGTCGGGTCGTACCTTCCTCGGCGGATGTTTCTTCAGGAGCCAAGGCGAGGGGAGGCAGAGAAAGGAAAAGAAGCCTTCTGTGACCCTCCCCTTCTTCCAGGGAGGGGCCTCTGGCTCCCAGGAGACACCTTGCCCCAAAGATGCTAGACATTCCTTTGTCCCTAGTCGCTAATGACAAGCCCAGGGATGTTTGTCTCATGTTCAGAGAAAATAAAAAAAGAACCGGTCCAGAAAAACCTACCAAAGTTGAGTCCTGCATTTGAGTCACCGCCTGACCCTGGGCCTCAGGTCCCATGTCTGTACAGTAAGGGGTTACACCAGCTTGAGGGCCTCCAATGTGGGTGCCCACAGAATAGCCACTGCTGGGTAGGGCCTGGGGACTCAGGCAGCCCCTGCTCAGCTCCACTCTGTGGCCAAGCTGGGAGACACTGAAGAACAGGGGGACCCAATCGTCTCATTTTTCAAAAGAAGCTGGAAATCTGGATTCTTAACATAAAATCCCTGGGTTTTAAAAGCCTGAGTAACTGATTTTTTTAAATGTAAAAACAAGACCCTGTGGGCTGGCTTGGTTTGCGATGTGTGAGCTCTGGTTTACCTAACCTCTCAGGGAGGTCCCCTCAGCTCCAAAAGCCTGGGGCTCTGATAACCCTGGGGGATGCAGAGGGTGTAGGGCACGTGTTCGTGTCTTACTTAAATCCCCAGCCCGTGCCGCCCAGGACGATGGCTGCAACCAGAACAGCCCCGGCGATGGAGCCAATGATGATGTTGGTGCCGCTGGGACCTGGGGAGGACAGCAGGGTGGGGTTGGCAGGGGCAGGCATGGAGAACAGGAAAGACAGAGCCCCATCCTGGCCAGTTCCAGCCTCACCTTTATATCTCTCTGTCTCCCCTGTGGGTGGAGACGTGGGCAGGGGGTTGTGGATACTGCAGTCTTTGCCTGTCCAATCTGGCTGACAGATGCACTTCCCTTCGTTGCTGCAGACCTAGAGGAGGGGTGCAGCCGGTACAGGTAAGCAGGGCCCAGTCCCCTCTTATAAGCCCCTCCCATGATCCCTGGCCTCCAGGCACCCACCCCGTGGTGGGAGCAGATCCGGCGCTCGCCACTGCCCGGGCAGGTGCTGAAGTTGAAGGCAGAGGCTGGCAGGCAGCGATGGTCCAGGCACAACATGTTGGGCCCACAGGCTGTGCCATCCTCCACGTAGCTCAGGTCTGAGCCATCAGCCAGCTGCACATGACCGCCCCTGGGGAGATGGCACAGCCAACCTCTGTGCTTGCCCTCCACCCCCCACACAGTTGCAACCTCCTCTTCCCCAACCATGGTCCCAGCCACACCTGCAATCCAGCTCCTTGCCCTGGTGGTAGAAAGTGACGCTGCTGATGTCTCCCCCTAGATCCCCCAGCCGAGGAGCTCCAGAGATGTTGACACATAGGAGGAAGCCACACAGCACATCCCTGTTCATGTGGAGACAGTGGGCCCCAAGTCTGACCTCAGACCCAACTACAGACCTCATGTCTGCCCTCTCCCCATCCCCCGATTTTTCAGAGTCTCCCATTAAGACTCAACAGCCTGTCCCATCTCTGAAAAAACCCTGCCCTGCCCCAGAGCCCCAGCCCCCAAATTGGGATGGCCCAACCAGAAGCTTTGACAACTCACTGTTTATTGCACTGGACCCAGCCTGACCCCTTGCGCCCACAGTTGCCACGTTCTGTCCCCTCCACATTCAGCTTCTCATAGCAGAAGCGATCAGCAGCCGCTGTAGGGAGAAGAGGCCAGCGTCACCCTAGCCACTCCAGAACCCACCTGGGACTTCAGGCCTGCATCTCCAACAATGGCCTGACTTCAAGTCCAGCTGAGTCGCTGAGATCCTGGGGAGCTGCATATCTGCCGGAGGGGTTTTCAACCAGAGCCTGCCCCCGCTCCAGCCTCTCAATTCCAGTCTTCCAGATACCTTCTCCCATCTCCAACAAAAGACTCACCATGGAAAAAAAAAAAAAGACTCACCATGGCCCCAAAGGGCCTGGCACTGCCGGTCCCGGGTTTTGCAGCGACCTCCATAGCAGCGGCCCTGAGGGACAATCAGGAGACAGGGGACAGAGACACTGAGGACAAGACAGGACACTGGACTGAGCCAGAGACCCAGACGAGGCGGAACCTCCATCCTTTCATACCTGTTCATGATCACAGTAGTAACCGTCTAGCTTGTGCAGGTTAGGTGGACACTGTGGAGAGAGGCATTGGACTGAACGGAGCTGCCCCAGGACTGGGGGCCAAGTTCGGCTCCAAGGAAGAATAAAGGCCTGCCAGGTGGGGGCTCTGGCCCCAGGGCCCCTCCATGTCAAAGACAAGAGCAGAGAACTCAGATCACATGGCTTAGCAGGTCCCCAAACCTCTCCAGTCTCCCATCAGTTTTCTGCACCTACTTCACAGGACTGGGAGTACTCGATGACTGGCATGTAATAAGGATTTAGACATTAAATAATATTATTACCCACTGTTATCCCTAGTACACACAAGGCACCTAGCCAGACTATAAATACTGGTCGAATGATTGGAAGAGCAAAGCCAGGAGGCATGAAAAACTCATATCTCAGATGAGAAACAGCATGATCAGCGGTGGCGACGCCAGCAGCCGAGAGGACGGGCGCGGAGAACAGTCACCCAGGAGAGGGATAGTGGCTGCCTTGTTCGGGGGTCCGCAGGGCAGCCGGGACGGGCGGACCTGGCTCGAATCCCCGGTGCAGGTCTCCGCGATGTCGCACTCGTTCACAGCTTCTCGACAGGACACACCCCGCGGCTCGTACTAGAGAAGGCATGCATTGCGGGGTTCAAGCAAGAACCACGCATTCCCGCGTCTTCCCGCCTCCTCGGCCCCACCCTCTCCTCGGCTCCGCCCCGGACCTCTCCAGCCCACTCTCACCTTCCACACGTCCGCTCACGGTTCCGCCCACACCACCACTAATCAGCAGGTGCTCCGCCCCAGTCCCCGTAGCCCCGCCTTCAATAGAACGTAGGGTGCCGCACACTCCGCCCCTCTCCTTTCCCATTGGCGCTTTCTTTGTGTTAAGCCCCACCGCCCCTACGGCCCCACCTCCCTAAGTCCCGCCCCCTACATGTACTCTGTCCAGTACCCCCCGGTCCAGCCGCCTTTCCGCCCCTGCGGCGGGTACCGCTCACCTTGCAGCGGCGACAGCAGAGACCGTCGCTACACATGGCGTCGTGAGTCAGAGTACATTTCTTGCAACAGTTCCCTCCCGCGCGGCTGCACTCCTGAGGGACACAGAGAGAAGGCGAGCCCTGACCCTCCCCACCCAGACCTCCCTCGCACCCACCCCCGCGTCCCCCACCTCCCATCCGGCGCCCGCACCCGTCTCGCACCTGCACCGAGCCGCAGTCGCACTCCTCCCCCGCCTCCACGAAGCCGTTCCCGCACTCAGGCGGGTCCAGGAGCTGGGGGGAAGGGGTGTCGTGTCGCGAGTCTGGCCGGGACCCTGCCCGAGCCCCGCTCCCACGTTCCTCGCCCTGCGGCTGGTATTATACCTTGAGGGGCTTGTTGAAGAGGCAGCTCCCGCCGCCCTCCTGAAGAAACTGGTTGTACTCGTCGATGCTGCAGCGCGAGAACTTGCGGGGCAGGTAGAACCTGGGCAGGGGTGAGGGGACCGTGCTGCTGAGTGCCCGCTGGCGCACCCTCTCGCCCCTTCTCAAGACTGGGATGGGGTGCACCGGAGGACTCGGTCACTGTCTCGAGGAGGCTGAAGATCTATGTGCATGGACACTGCACGAAAATCCTCCCGCCTGCCCATCAAAGGGCAGTGGGCGAGGGACGCCGCTCCAGTTGACTCGCCGAAACCTCAGGACTCCAAGAGTCAGAGGGAGGTTTGTGAGCCGAGGAGGGGAGAGGCCTCCAAACGAGGCTTTGGCGGCGCCCAGTGGCGACTCTGCGCATTGCGGTCTGGACAATTCTGGCGTCCGGTTAGAGAATGTGTGTCTCCCTATACAGTGTCCACAGACAACTGCGTTTCTTGGAATTCTGAGTGGTCCCGAGAGCGGGGTCTCTTGAGGCAGCCAGGTCCAGAATGTCACCCAATGCTCACCCTGCGGCTCCCTTTGCCCAAGAACTCACCCAGTGTCCTCCATGATGCAACCCAGCCAGTTGTCCGGACATTTGCAGTCCCCTGCAAGTTGAGCCAGGTGAATGTAAGGGAGGGTGAAAGACGGTCCCCCTTGTGTGGACACCCTCTTCACTTCTAGAATGTGGGTCTAGGCTGGGGGTGGGGGTCTTCACTGATACCTGCCGAGCTCCGGTGTTTATTCCACATCATGCCCAGGTTCTGCCCCAGCGTCTGAGCCAAGGTCACCGCCATGGCCCCCATGTTGTCATACTTGGGGTGAAGAAGATGGAGCACAAAGATGTCTACATCCCTCCAAAAGGCACAATGCTCATGCCTTTTGCAGCCCCCTCCCTCCAGCCCCAACCCCAGCCACACCCTCCCCCAGCTTACCTCGTTCACACCCCCTCCCCTGGACAGTGAGCAGATGCCCCCCACATAGGCAGCCCCACTGCTGGTGCTCTGGAAAGTTCTGCCCCTGGAAGAGAGAGGGTTGCCAGGCTAGCCTGTTCTCCCTAATGGCTAGCCTGGGCCGTGAGGGAAGGTAGGCGAACCTCCATACCAGAGCCTCCCCATGGGGAAGTGATGAGCAGTGCCCTTTATGTCAGCCTGTGTAACTCAAGCAAGCCCCTTTCCCCTTTTGGGTTCATTTGCACATAAGCCAAATGAAAGATTTCTAATAGGTCATCTCTAATTGCAAGGACCTTTTATCAGATTTTTCTCCTGTACCAGGGCATTGGGTCCCTGAGAAAGGGATGCTGGGACCATTTGAAAGAGGGAGCCAGGTGAAGGGGAGATGATGGGCAGAGGAAGGTCACCATGGTAGGGAAAAGGGGCCTCAGCCTAAGAGGCAGGGGAAGATGACCAGCCACTGTTGCAAGGGCAGGTACAAGGGGATCCCAGTCCCCTCATCCTGCAAGAGCACTTGGCCCAGAGCCATGTTCAGTAACTCTGTGATCTGCAATGACCAACAGAAGCTGGCAGGGTCCATGGAGTGGGGGACTCACGAGAAGAGGTGGGTGGCATCACTGGGCTCCAGCAGGCCCTCCCGCCGGTAGACCATGAGCCTGGCCAGGGTCTCCAGGAGGTCATCCTGCACCTGGATCTTGTCCCCATCTGCCCATGTTTCCATGGCAACCAGCACGATTCGGGTATTGAGCTGCTCCTTGTACATCTGTGCCAGGAAGAGGGAAGATGAGGAGGGGGCTGGAGGTCAATCTGTCCCTCCAGGAAGTGGGGGTCAGAGGATGACTATGCCGTTGAGCGCCCCACCCCAAGGATGTGTGCATTAGTGTGGGGCGTGGGAGGAAAGGGAAGGGGAGGGAGGGCTGCTCACCACATCTGCCAGGTTCACCACGGACTTGGCAAAGTTGCTGGTGAGGACCACCGATTGCCGCATCTGCTCAAACTGGGAGAGAAGAGAGTAGGCAGAAGGCCAGGCTGCTTCCAGTCCCTCCTCCCAAAGTCACCGCCCCACCCTGCCTGGGAACGTACCAGCTGGTGGTCATTGATCACGATCAGCTCCACGTACTTGGTCTCACTGTGCACTGTGGGGTGGCCCCGGCGGACCTAGGGGGTGGGTGGGCACTTGGAATCAGTTCCCTCCATGTCTGGTCAAGCCATAGACAGACTCGAGAGGGGCTGGGCTCCAACAACTAGGAAGAGTACCAGCTCCCCACTGGTGGCGGTCCCATCCAGCCTTGGTACGAGGCAGGCAGCCTCAGTTTGCCTAGGCCGGGGATGTGTGTAGACACTAGCCTTAGGGAGTGGAGTGGGGGGCTTCCTCCCAGGGGTGTTCCCTGACCTCCAACCACACCAGTCAGAGCCCTCCTCTGCCCCGGCTACAGAAGGGGATGTCCTGTCTGGACCACTGCCTGGGGTCTCTGCAGTAGGAGGTCTGTATGGGCCCCCGTACCTGCCTTTTCCTTCTCAGCCTCGGTCTGTCCGGAGAAGCAGGATGGTCCAGCGCAGCAAACAGGCAGCCTGGGGGAGGGTGCCAGTGAGGGGGGCACAGCCGGTCCCCTCCCTAGCCCCACTTTCCCTCCCTTACCTGGTTCCCTGCATCCGAGGGGGGCTGGGAGGAGAGGGGTCCGGTAAATGAGGTGGGGAAGGGGTCCCTGCAATGAGGGGAGATGAGTTCTTGGGGGGGCCGGCCAGGTCTGCTCTGAGCCCCAGTGTGGGGAGACATCTCCAGCCTTCCCCCAGCCCACCCCAGGGTGACCCAGCACTGGCCGGAGCTCCCATGTCAGATCTGGTCTCCCAGATGCTCAGATTCCGGGGTCAAGACCTGGGGATGCCCTGAGAGACAGGGGCAAAGGACACTGGAGCCTGGTGGGAGGTTACTTGGAGGACAGAGGGGACATTGGAGCTGGGGGGGCATAGGAGGAGGGAACCAGAGCTGGGGTCGCTGCAGAGGGCAGTGAGGCTGAGGTTACCAAGGCAGAGGCGGGTGGGAGGGGGGTGATGAGGCAGCCGCAGCCACTGAGATGACAGCCACTGGGATGACGAGCGGGGAGGGCCTTTGGGGGGGATGGGGAGGGGCTCACCTGGGTGTTTTCCAGAGGCCCGGCCATCTCTCGGGGCTCCACGATGTAGGTGAAGTTCCCGTCAGAGAAGACCCCACTGCAGTGAGAGAAATGCAGCTCCCCACCATCCCCACCGTTCCCAGGCCTGGAGGCTCCTCCCCCCACCCAAACCCCCCACACTCACTGCAGCCCTTGGCAGGTGGAGAGGGCAGCAAAGGAGTGGGGGTTCCCTCGGAGCTTCCCCTGGTAGTAGCAGTGGTCTCCAGCACCCTAGAGGAGCAGAGCGCGTGATAGGCGTGCCCCCTTCCCAGCATGAAGGCAGGAGGACGCATGAGGGCTACTGAAGCTGCCCCGTGTGGTGTGCAGGTGGCTGGAAATCTGGGGACCTGGAAATCCCGGGGTATCTGGAAATCTGGGGACCTGGAGCCTGGCTCTGCTCTGGCTGTGCTCCTAATTGGCTGTTTCACCCTGGGCAAGTTCCTAGCCCTCTCTGGGCCTCCCTTACCTCATCTACAACATGAGGACCCCCACATCAGTGCCTCTTAACCATGAACTGGGGCTGGTACAGGGGTCACAGACTTCTTTGAGAAGATTAACTGACATTCACATAGCACCTACTGTGTGCCAGGCAGTGAGTGTTCTAAGCACTTACCATGGATCAGCTTGCTTAGTCAGATGAAAGCTATGGGCTCACCCCCGACACACACACACCATTTCACACATAATGTGTTCACAGATGCCACAGCCTCCGTGGACCACCCCTGGTCACGTGGTCTGTGGCTGAGGAACAGCAGCGCGTGTCCTCCCGGCCCGGCTCGTGGGTCAGAGGGGATTGACACCCCCTCGCCTCTGCTTCCTGCAGAATTACTTGTGCTCCAGTTACTGAACAAGCTGGAGGGGGAGGGCCGAGGCTATTTATAGACACTCATTCATCTTTGCTCACACCCCTGGGACTTCGGGCCTGGGACCCTGGGGTCCCAGGGAGCCAGTAATTCCTGGGGCCTTGGTGCTGAGCAAGATTCTGGCCATTGAGCACTGGGGGCTCCTGAAATGTCTCCAGGCTGGCAGACAGGCCGGCTGGGGGTCTGTCCCCTGGAGTTGGGCAAGGGGAGCTCAGAGCTCCACACCATTTGACAAGCCGCCCTGACTCTGATCCTGGAGGGGCCAGGCCCATCCCCAGTGCAGAGTATACCCCTGAGCCCACCTCCACCGACCACCTTCCCCGTCATTCCACCTCCCTGGCCCCTTCCAAAGGCACTCACGGTGCTGTGCTGGGTCGGCCCCTCCCTGCTGAAGTGGCGCTCCACATATTGTGAAGAGAGAAGATGACTGGAACAGAGTGGGCAGGAGGAAGAAGGGGGTCAAGGTGGGGCTGGGTCCTGCTTGGGACCCAATCCCGCTCAGATCCGGGCCCCCTGCCCCAGCCCAGCCCCCAGCCCCCACAGCCAGACAAGCCCAGGCCATGCCTTGCCCGCCCACGGGGTGCTCAGCCCCTGGACTCCAGGCCACACTCACTGGTTCAACTCCAGATCCAGAGTGAAGTTGGAGTTGAAGGCTGGGATGACGAAGCTCACCTGGGCCAGATGGACAGGCTGGGAGAAAGGAGGGAAGGCAGAAGGGGAGTTGGCCTGGGGAGGCCTGGAAGTGGGAACTGGGGGGCCAGGGAAGCCTGGGTACCGGGAGCAGCCCTGGGGAGGGGATGGCCCAGCCCCAGCGGCTGTGGGGACCATTGATTAGGAGAGATGTTTTCCTCCAAGACCCTGTTCCTTTCCTGAGGTGGAGGGGCAGGCGTGGGCATCCCTGGGCACTGACCTCCCTGCTCTCTGGCTGCCAGCCCACCCTCTCTGGTGTGGGTGCCTCCCTGGGGCCAGTCTATAGGAGCAGCAAGGAAGGACTGAGGCGGCTCAGCCTGCCTGCTGCCTCACAGCAGACCGTCCCTGCTGTTGGCAGGGCCACCCCGACTCCCAGGTGTACTGAAGGGAGGCCCCTAGAAGTATCATGGGGAAGAGGCAAACAGGAGATGGGGTGCAGCGTGACCCCGGGGCCCTATGAAGCAGGCCCCCCACTTCCTGTCCCCCTCCCTACATTGGTCCCAGACTCAACTTATGGAAGAGGCCTTGTACGCTGCAGACAGGGTTAGAATTGATTGAAGGGCCCCTGGAAGCTGGAGTGATGGGCGAATACCAGCCCGTCAGGAGGAAAGAACTTGGCTCCTCTACCCTCGAGTCCACTGCCCTCTGCCTCGCCCAAAGCAGCTCATCTTTAATATTTCAATCCCATGGTTAATTTTTAAACACGGAAGTTTTCCCGATAAATTTTTCAGAGGGGCCTTTGCAGTGGGGCTGGGAGGCTCCAGGTTGTCATGGCAACGTACCAGGCCTGAGCAAGATGGCTGCCCTCCCAGGCCTGGGCGCCCAGCTACTGTGGGGGGTGGGGACTCCAGACCTGAAGCTAGTGAGCCTGGAAGGAAAGTGACCCTGAGATAAGGGGCAGGAGAGTCTGGGCTGAGTGGGAGTCGGCCTTCTCAGCTCCCACGCCCACCGCAAGCCTTAAGTCTTACAAAAGATCTGGAAGCAGAAGGGCCTACGCGGGGCCGGAGCCTTCTCACCCCCGGCCATTCAAGAAGGCTAAAACCCAGATTCCCAGATGAGGGGCCCACCACCAAGCTGTACAGATGTGAGGAAGTTTGTTGGCTGTCTTTTTTGGAGGGGAGTAGGTTACAAGAAGGAGGGGAGCCCCAGTGTTACAAAATCCCGTGGTCTGGAGCGAGGCGGCTTCCTGGCCAACTGCCTAGACCACTGCTCTTCATGAGCCCTTGGTATGTGTCAGGCACTGTTCTGAATACTGTACGTGCATGCGTGCTCAGTCGTTAAGTCACGTCCAACTCTTTGCAGCCCCATAGACCGTAGCCCGCCAGTCTCCACTGTTCGTGGAATTTTCCAGGCAAGAATACTGGAGTGGGTTGCCATTTCCTCCTTCAAGGGATCTCCCCAACCCACGGATCGAACCCACGACTCCTGAATCTCCTGGATTGGCAGGCGGATTCTTTACCCCCTCACCACCTGGGAAGCTCAAACTACTTTAAATATCATCATATTTGATCTTCTCAACAAACAGCCCAATGGAACAGATACTACTGTTATCCTCATCTGACATATGGGGAAACTGAGGCACAGAGAGGCTAACTAACTTGCCCATGGTCAAAAGAATAAGAAGTGGTAAAGCTGGGACACAAGCCTCAGGAATCAGCTTCTGGGGCCTTTTTACCTGGAAGGTGAGGTAAGGTGGAAATGGCCCAGTGTCCATGAGAGGCCCTGGGAATCAGGATGAGAGTGCAGAAGGGCCAGAGCCCGGGTCGGCAGCCCTCTGAGCCCCAAGGACACGGACTCACCCCATCCCACATTGACTGAAGCTCCAAGCTCCACCCTGAGCCCCAAGAGCATCGATTAGACTTGAAATAGAAAGTCGAGGACAAGGAGAAGCTTCCTCCTCCCCACCTTGGCCTGGATCCTCTCTGCTTTCCCCTGACCAGCTCTGTCCCCAATACCCTACCTCCTTGGTCTGGCCCATCCCTGCCCTCCCTCTCCTCTTGTGAGACTTAGACTATCTCTGCCTTCCCCACCTTTCCCTGTCTGGGCCACCTCTTTTCTCTCCTGCCCTTGGGTCTGTTTCTACTTGTTCGTTCTGGCCCCAGGGACAAGCCTCTGTCCCTGCCCCTATGCTGGCCACCCAGGTGAGCAACCTGTCCAGGCCCCTTGCCTTGATTCCACTCTCGGAAGCAGGTGGCCTCAGGGATAATCCAGCAATCTCTCTGAGTTCAGATTTTTTCCCCCCTGAAAATGGTTACGAGGAGCCTAAATGCAAGCCTGTGAGGTTGGCTTGTGTGGCAGAGGCTGTCTGGGCTTGGAGGATTCTGGAAGGGGCGACCCTGGTGCTTGCAGAATCTCCCCCACTTAGGAAGTCGGTGAGCTAACCCACCAGGCTCCCCGCTCTCTGTGCGGACCAAGCTGACCAGCCCCTCTGGAGAAAGTCAGATCAGTGGGGGAGCAGACCCCAGGTCCCCTGTCCCCAGCCCTTCTGCAGCCTGCCGAGGCCGTGGCTCCCTCCCGACCTGGCAGGGCCTAACTGGGGACTGGGCGCCTCCCCAGCAGCTTGTGTCTTGTGTCCCAGCAGGACACAGGGCTCAGGCCAGGAGGGGTCCTGGGGCAGTGCGGGGGCTGCTGTGGGGGCTGGGAGGCCGGCCCAGGAGAAAGGGGAGGGAAAGTGCGTAGCTGTGTAGGTCTCCCTGACCTGGCCCGATGTGGGGTACACGATGGGGACACCCCTTGCCTGCAGGAAGGGAAAGATCAGGCAAACCCACCTCAGTCCCCAGGACCTCTGTACCCCAGGTGGCTGGAAGGAGGCTTCTGCTGGCATCAGAATCCTAACCCTCCCACCCCACCCCCAGTTAAGCTTTCAGCTCATGTTCTATTAACCCAACTGTTCCTGGTATGGCTGGCCTCCTGCCCTGGCCCGCCCCGGCCCTGACCTCTCCTGTGATCCCTCGGTCCCTCCCTTGGGAGCCCCTCGTGTCCCTGACTGCCATCCTCCCCTGCACCCAGCTGCTGGTGATAGCCGACCGGGCCTCCACCCCATGCCCTGAGCTTGCCTCTTGCTCCCCGGCCACCGGCTCCCACGTGCTCAGGCTCATTTGATCTCAACCCGCCCAGGCCGTCTGGTGCTCATTTTATAAGTGCCAGGGAGGGACACTTGGAGGTGACTGGCCCAGGGCCACGCTGGGGAGGCGCTGGGTCAAGGCTCACCCTCAGGCTGGCATTCCTGTCTCTCACGGCCGCTGTGACCACCTGGCTGTGGTCACCTTGGCCACCCCGAGGTTTCCCTGCCGCCAGTTGGTCCACTCTCCAGGCATCGGCTTGCCCACCACCAGATAGGATGCAGAGGTCAGGAGGTGGAGACCCTGCTGAAGTTCTAGAATGACAGTACTAGTGCCAGGGCTCCTCTCTATGCCTACGGGGAGGTGCAGAGTCTTGGGGAGGAGTCCTGGGGACTCTTGGAGAGGAGGAGGTTAAAGACCTTTCTGGTTCCCAAATGCCCCAAAATTCGAACATCGAGGCGCTACTCCTCACAGAGCAACCTGAACCCCTCCCTCCGAACCTCCATCTCTTCCAGGACCTCCTCTTCCTCACCCTCGTCTGTGACCACAAGCCTCCACCCACCCACCCAACAGGGCTCTGAAATGAAGTGAAAGTGGCTCAGTCGTGTCTGACTGTTTGTGATCCCATGGACTGTATAGTTTCTCCAGGCTAGAATACTGGAGTGGGTAGCCTTTCCCTTCTCCAGGGGATTTTCCCAACCCAGGGATTGAACCCAGGTCTCCCACATTGCAGGTGAATTCTTTACCAGCTAAGCCACAAGGGAAGCCCAAGAATACTGAAGTGGGTAGCCTATCCCTTCCCCAGCAGATCTTCCCGACAGGGCTCTGGCTCCCCTCTATTCCTGGGCCCTCAGGCACACTGATTTCTTTGGTCACTGATTCAGCTTTTCACAGGGGTGGTGCATAGGCCCCTGGGGCTCCAGCTGCACCCGCCCTTGTTCCTGCCTAGGAGCCCCTACACTTATGTTGTAGGAAAAGCATCAGAAAGAATGAGTGAGCTGCTTACCCTCTCTGAGCCTCAGTCTCTCCACTGGTAAAATGATGTTGTCATGAGGACTAAAGGAAAGCCCTCTTTAACGTGTTATTCTCACAAAGGTTGTGCTTAGTCGCTCAGTCATGTCCGACTCTTTGCGACTCCATGGACTGCAGCCCTCCAGGCTCCTCTGTCCATGGGATTCTCCAGGTAAGAATACTGCAGTAGGTAGCTGTTCCCTTCTCCAGATGATCTTTCCAATCCAGGGATCGAACCCAGGTCTCCCGCATTGCAGGTGGATTCTTTACCGTCTGAGCCACCTCACAAGGGTTAGTAATAATAAATGAAAAAAGAAGTGTAAGTGTTCCAGGGGAACTGAGCTTTGAGGAAGTGGATAAACCATGTGGGCTGGTGGTGGTAGATGGGGAGGAGCCAGAGAGGCAGGAGCCCCGACCTGGGAGAAATCCCCTCGCTCCCCGTTCCCTGCCCTGGTCCCTCAAGATGTAATGAGGCTCCACTTTTCAGCAGGACCATGGGAGTCCCAGGGAGTGAGCCCAGTTGGACCAATATCCAATAATGGAATCTGAGCTAAATGCTTGAAGACAGAGTCACTTCCTTACAGGGTCATTAGTCTCTCTGGGGACAGAGTCTGGGCAGCTGGGTCCCGCTAGGCAATCAGGAGGGGTGCTTAGGTGAGGCCAAGTCCACAGGCTAGTCTGGCTGGGGAGGACTCAAGACGCCTGCCATATTGCCCCCCCTTCCCCCACCGCAAACCTGCCCGGAGTCTGACAGGTAACCCTAAACGCCCTAGCTCCTGTTTCTGACACCCAGTGCTCCTGCCACGCCTGGCCCTGGAGGGAGGGCAGGCCTGACAGATGTTGAACATCTGCTCTTGCCGGATCCCAGGCAGGACACCTGACACCCATCATCTCCCCTAATCCTCCCAGCAGTCTGGCAAAGCAAGGACCACTGTTACCCCCATCTCATGGATGGGGAAGGTAGGGTTCAGAAGGCTTGTCCAGGTCACTCAGTCAGAAGCAGGGGAGCCAGGACCCACTGAAGCTGTCCTGCCTCAAGCCACAGGCACAGCCTTTGAAATGGAAACTGACCTTCCTGAATGAATTCTCTCTCTTCCCAACCTCAAGGCAGGGCTGGTTCATGGCCCTCCCTGGAGCAAGCTGGACTCAGTGCAGATCCTAGCCCTGGCTTCCAGCCACCAGCCTCCTCCAGGAACCCCCTCCTGCCTCTGACCCCAGGGCAGAGCTGTGACCTTGGCCGCAGAAACCACAGCACAGCCTTGACCCAGGGCAGGTACTAGGGCTCCAGGCACAGATCCTGTGGCTCCCTGCCCGTGACTGCCATCTTGCAAGGGCAGGGGAACTAAGCCTTGCCTAATTGCCCCCCAACCCTCTGCAGCAAGACAGCATGAACATCGCAGCACACACCCTTGGTCAAGGGCTTCCAGGTGGCAACTGCTGGTCAGGACAGCCCTCACAGGAGCGCAACCCAGTGACTGAGGTCCCCTCCCCCAGCTGACTCATGGCCCTGGGACCCTTCACCCCTCTGTTCACTAACTCATATCCTGCCCTCTGTTTTGTTTTTGTTTTGAAGGAGGCTGGGTTTTTCCAGGGGAAGGCACAGCCCACATAGCAGCTTGATCCCTTCAGAACACATAGAGCCTCCAATTCATTCAGCCCACTGACCCAGGTACCCTTGTGCAGTGAACAACCAGCTCAACTGTATACTGTGGCCCAGCTCACTCTTTCACCTCACTCCCAGCTGCAGCCTCCCACTGATCACAAGTTTCTGCACTTCCAGAAGTTCCCCCACCTCTTGGCCTGAGGCCCAGCCTGCTTGCAAACTGGACCGAAGTGAGGTGTTGAAGAGAGCTCTGGCAAAGAGGGCAGAGTCCCTGGCTCCCTCTTTGCTGCGCCCCTGAGGAGAGGCCAGCATGCGCTGGCTAAGAGGGGTGCCCTGAGAATTAGTCTGGACCATGCTACTTAAGTGCTGGGGGACCTGGAGTACTTCACCTCTCTGTGCCTGTTTCCTCATCTGTGAAATGGGAATAATAATATCCTCACCTCCTGGAACTGGGTTGAGGATGTAATAAATGAGTAAGACACAAAGGCAGAACAGTGTCTGTCCCATCAAGGGCCCAGTAAATTTAAGCTTTAATTTCTCTAGCTTCTAATTCCTTCCTGGCCAGCTTTCCTCTCCCTGGTCAGCTTCCCTCTCCCTGGTCCCCGCTCACAAAAGTCAGGCATCTTTCCCCATCACCACCTGCTGGCAGTGGGTGGGTCTGAGATGAATGTTCTCATCATCTTGATTTGAGGGATCCAGAAGCTAGGGCTCAGAAAGATGCCATGGCCAGCCCAAGGCTGGAGAAGGTGAGCATCCCGGATCCCCCTATCCCACCTTGCTAGCCAGCATGTGTCCCCAAACTCACCATGTGACCCATAGCAGATGGAGATCTTGCTGCTGCCCCAACAACTTGTTTGGCTTGAGGTCCCAAACGGGTGCAAGAACTTTGGACCACACAGTGGCGGGGGTTGGGGGGCACTTCCTTTGGGACACTGGGCTCAGGGCTGCACAGGCTTCACCAGGAGCCCCTGAGGTTCTGAGGCCAAAAGTGCTCCAGGGAGAAATGCCCAGCGGGAGCAGGAGGGGCTCCGTCTGGTGAGGAGGGAATATTCCTGACATCTCACCTTGTCTCCCTTGGTCCTCCTCCACCTTGTGCTGGGTGGGGTTGGAAAGTGCCACCTGTGCTTAAATCCAGAGAGTGCAGAACAGCACCATGGGAAGAGCCCTAGTCTTGGAGGAAATCACTCCACTGATAAAGGTCTCATTGACTGGGACTTCCCTGGTGGTCCAGTGGTCAAGACTCTGTGCTCCTAAAGCAGGGGGTCCTGGCTTCGATCCCTGGTCAGGGAACTGGATCCCACATGCCGGCACTAATAGTTCTCATGCTGCAACTAAGACCTGGTGTAGCCAGATCAATATATATATATATATATTTAAAGATCTCATTGACTTTGGGCAAGTTACTTAACATCTCTGAGCCACAGTTTGCACATCTGCAAAATGGGCAGGCACAAGTTACCCACCTTGCAGAGCTGTGAGAAGTCCACCTCGGGGGAAACAAGAGCACGCAACGCAGGGCAAGGAGTCGGTCTCCTGGGGAGGCGGAGGTGAGGTCCAAGGAGACGGAGGTCCCCCCGGAGGTGACTGTGACCACTGCCCTGCAGATCCACAGAACCCTCCACTCCTGCCCTCCAGACACCCTGTTTAGCTTATTCAGACTTGGTCACGCACACATGCCAGCCATTCGCCCAGCAGAGCGACACCCAAAGAGATTCCCCCTTCCTCTGTGTATCCCATCCAGTCTAGCTGCACCCATCTTGATCTCCTCTCCGTCACAGGCACCACCATACCTCAGAATCCTGCCCATGACTCTCTTCTTCAGGAAGGATTAGGCTGAAGGAGCACCCACTTTTCATTCCTCCCTGGCCCCCCAGCTTTCCCTCATCCTGTCCTCTGATCCCACTGTGGCGACACCCCATCCTACAATCTGGACATCCCCTAGGATACCAATCAGGAGACCCATAAGCCTGCAACGGAAGTCAGCTCCCAGTCATGGTTCACAGGCAGGGGGGCACCAAGGGAGAAAGTTGGCCTGAGGACCAAACCCAGTCAGGATGACCCCATCCTTGGCCCTGGGACCATCCCTACTGCCCATCTGCCACCTTCCAGGGAGCCTGGGCAGCTTCCATCCCCTTACCCTCCCTCCTAGCCCATCTTCCTCTCCCCCTCCCCTCTCCCCCTCTCCCAGGCCTCCCTGCTCAGGACCATTAAACACCCCCTCCCCTGCTCTCTCAGGCACTGCCCTGAGTGATGGTCCATCTATTATGCATGCTGCCTTCCTGCTCCATTCCATTTCCCGAGTAGCTCCCCTTGCACCCCCACGGCCCCCTCCACCCCACTAAGGGCTTTTAACCAAGTACATTAGGCAGGGCCAGATGCCAGTCTGACAGATGTCCATAACGCTAGCCTCTGTTTCCCTCCTTCCTCTCTCTGCCCAGCTCGATTCACCTCCCACCACTCCCAGCTGCCAAAACTTCCCAGACCTTGGTGGTACCCTTCCTCTGAGTCTCTCTACTCCTCCTGTTTCTGCCAGGCCTCGCCATCCCGCCCTCGCCTCCCCCGGTGGCCTGGCTAACTTTCAGCTTCGAGCTCCTGGAGAGCCGAGGCGTGCTGAATGAATATTCCATCTGGGTGATTATTATTCACATGATATTAATTAATTATTAATTGCAATTAATCTCCTTCATTTCTAACCTTCCTCAGGGAGGCAGGAGGGGCCTGGCAGCTGAAAGGGACAAGGGGTGAGTGGAGTTGGCATTTGTGAGCGAGCCTGGGGCCTGGAACCTTTTCCCAAGGCCCCACCCACAGTGAGAACGGGGAGGAGAACAGCAGTTCTATCAGTGCACAGGGGGAAACTGAGGCAGAAGCAAGCATTAAGTTGGTCCCTCCAAAAGCCCATTGAGAGTGGCTGTGGCGGAAACCGGGGAGCCCTAACCCCTGACTTTGTTCTTAGCTGCTTCTTCCTGCCTCTCACTGCCCTCCCCGAGCCCCATGTAGTGTAGGACCACTTCTTTGGACAGGAGAGGGGGCTGGTGGAAGGCTGACCAAGGCTGGACTGAGCCCTGGGCCTTCTGGGTCCTCCGAAGGCAGGGAATCCCCACCCTGAAGGGAGGGGGCCTGGAGAGGGGCAGGCGGGTGCTCCCACTAGCGGGTTCCAGCACCCTCTGGGTAGCCCATTGCACAGAAGGAGAGGCGCCCAAGCCCAGGCTGCCCCGTAGTGGCCCCTGGGCTCTAAGGCCTGCCCTAGCCCCCTGCCCTCACCGCCTGCCCCACTCACCGGGCCGCCCGGAGGCTCTTGGCGGACCCTGGTATCCAACTGCTGCTTTCGGACCTCTCCCCCAGAGCTCTCCCCCACCAGACGGCTGGGCTCTGTGACCTCCGGGGCTTCCGGGCCCCCCAAGTGTGGAGAGACCCTCCAGCGCAGCGCTCCAGCAGGACCCCAAGTCCCCACACCTGGGGAGAGAAGGCCATGGCTGCAGACGGATGCCCACCGGTGGGGCACGAGACCAGGGCAGGGGTGGGTACGGCACGCCCCTCCCCCACTCTGCTGTGGCCCTTGGAGCCCGTGCGGGGGGCGGGGGTGGCGGTTCTGGGTGGGAGGACCTGCTGCCCTGCAGAAGGGGAGAGGGGCCAGGAGCTGCTGCACTCCAGCCCGGCCGTCACGGCTGCCCCCCACCCCCATCTCCCCGCAAAGCCGCAGAGACCTCCAGACTCCACGGCCGGCGACAGGGGGCTGGCCGCGGTGGGGGCCAGATGGAGACAGGTGGGTGCCTGCACCCTCCCTCCTCCCCCGCCCCCCGTCCCCCGCCCCCCGCGCTCTGGACCGGCTGTCACCCCGAGCACTGCAGAAAAGGTGGCTGCAGCAGAAACTGCCGCAAAACCCGGGGCGGGGGCAGGGAGGGGGCGCCGGGGCCGGCCCGGGCGGGGGTCACTCACCCGGCGAGGGGAGCAGCAGAAGCACCACCACCAGCAGCAGCAGCGCCGCGAACGCCCAGCGCCGCAGCCGCCTCATGGCTCGCTCATAATCCTTGGGGTCCGGGGGCTGCGGCGGCGCGCGACGCGGGCGGGCGGGAGGAGCGGAGGGCGGGGAGGCGCGGGCTGCGGGCGGCGCGGGCCGGGGCGCCGGGCGGTCGGGCGGGGGGCGCGGGCCGGGGGGAGGCGGCGGGGAGGGTGCCCGGCTCAGCGCGCTCCGGCCGCGGCCATCCCGGCGGGGCGGCGGGCCGGGTTAAGAGCCGAGCGGCGAGCACGTGAGCCGAGGGCCCGCCCCCGCCCCCCGCGTGCCCCCCCAGCCCGGCAGGGCCGGGGCCGCCGCGGCGCGAGGACAAAAGAGGCGCCGCCCGCTCGGGACCGGCCTTCCCGCCCCTCCTCGGTCCCCTCGGCAGGTGCAGGGCGGGGCGCGCCGATGTCCACCTCGTGGTCCCCTCCTCATCGCCCTTGCTTGGGGAGCTGCGAGGACCCGTCGGTTCCTAGGGGTCGGGAGGCAGGATACAGAGGGACCCCCGGCCTCTGAGCCGGAGATGGCCCCTCTGGGGCAGATCCATGGCTCCCCCCCCCCCCCCCCGCCTTGGTGCTCCCCGCTCTGGCTTCGAACCCAAGAGGGGGCTTCCTTGGAACCAGCCCCAAGCACCCCGCTCCACCGAAGGCTGGGGAGCCGGGGACAGGAGTGAGGGGCAGGGACTCTTGTGGCCCACAGCCGTCTCAGGCCTTTGGAATCTCCCGTGGCCGAGCAGGGCACTGTGGGTCTTCTCAAACCAGACCCCTTTCTATCCAGCGGTTTCCTTCTCTGGGTGGATGATACCCCTGGGGCTTCTGGCTTTGCTGCCGTCCTCCGAGGAGGCTGGCTTCCCCTCTCTGGGCTGAGTGCCTCACACACACCAGATATTTTCCCCTTCCCCAAAATACATAAACTAGCCAGGTAATTTACATGAGGGTAGCATGTCCCATTTCTGTCCCTCCCTTTTGGCAGTCCACATCTTTGAGCAGCAGAAGATACCTCTGGAGCCCGCAGCCTCCCCTCTCTGCCAGACTAGGTTGCCCTGGCTACAGACCATCTGGCCTCCCTGCCTACCTCCCCAGCTGGGCCCCAAGCTCAGCTCCCAGACTCCCAAGCAAGATGGGTTCCCACAGGGCTCGGGATGTCTGACCCCTGCTACGGGGTCCCGGGAGCCAAAGATGGGGTAAGGTGAGGTAAGACATGAGCTCCGCTAGTGAGGCCTCACCTTGACTTTGTGCCCCAGGCCAGAGCATCCTTGCACCCACAATGGGCGACCACAGGTCACTGAGGAAGGAACAGGAGTGGACACAGGGACCCCTTGCTGGGTCCTCTGGTTCCCTGAGGACTCAGGGCCTCTGTCAGGGAGGGTGCTGCCTTTAGCTTGTGACAGCACCCCCCCCCCCCACCCCAGCTCTATTTTAGGCCCCAAGAGAAGTGAGAAGGCGATTTCCAAGGAGGCTCTGACATCAATGCTGGGAACAGGGTGACTCCCCTTCCCCCCATCTAACCACCTGCCATTCCAGACCCAGATGCTCAGCAAGCCTGAGTTGATTGTTCCTTCATTCTGGAGACATCTTGGAAACCTCCTCCAGGATGTAGGGGCTCTGGGGAATTAGGACCTACTGTGATATTCCCTGGAAACCTACAATTATCCAGGATGGGGAGACCATGCTTCTCACTTTACAGGTGGGGAAACTAAGGCTCCAAGAGGCTACGAGAGTTTCCCAAACAGCTGGGCGGTGAGAGGCACATCCCATTCTCCAAAGTCCCTGTATCCTCACCTCTGCCTTCTGTCTGGGACTTAGAAGGGACTGGCCCATCTACTCCATTTAGCCTTCCCTCCACCCCCACTCACCAGGGTGAGCCTGTTGTACCCTACCCTAGCCATGCTACGGGGCCTGCCAGGAGAGGTGGGGTTTGTCATTTCACACTGGAGGGCCTTGGGCCTGTGGGAGTCTGGATCCCCTCCCCAGTCTGTGGCCCTGACCTCCCAGGCTGAGGCACATTCTTAACTGTGTAGCCGTGGTTCCTGGGACTGTTTGTTGTGGGGACTTTGCTGACCCCGAGTGACACATTTCTGGCAGCTTTCTGGACCGGCTCCACTGGTGCTCAAGTGTACGGGCCGTTGGCCTCCAATAGCCCCTTATCTCCCTGGGTTCCCAGCTCTGAACAAGCCCAGCTGGACATCTTGACCTTCCCTTGACCATATCCCACTCCCTGCCCCGAGGCCCCTCCCTGAATCTTGTCCTCGGGGTTGGATCTACTGCCAGCTGCACACCTCACCAAACAGAAGGCTTGTTTCAAATCCCTCACCCAACCTCCCTGCTGAGGTCGGGGGCTGTAGGCGGCCTTTCCTCAGACTGGGAGAGAAGAGGTGGGGTGGGGATTGTTGCCAAGGACGGGCTCTCTCCTTAGCCTGGGGGCCCTGAGGGCAGGGAAGGCCCGTGTGCCTCCCCCTCAAAGAGAGGCTAGTTTTCCTGGGGGAGTGCCCCCCAACCTCACAGCTGTGGCGGCTCCTTTGGACTCTGCCCATGGCTTGTCTGCCCCGCTGTGAAGAAACCGGAGGTTGGTGGCCACTGTCGTCTTGACACCACCCTTGGGCCACCCTCTGGGGGAGCTGTTAGGCTCTGGTCCCCCCCTGAAGCCCTCCCTTAGGAGCCCCCGACTGTCAGGAGGCTGGGGCCTCCTTCCCCTGTGTAGTTCTTCCTGCCTTTCAGTCAATTTTTCCTTCAGATTTTTCTGCAAAGGGGCCGAGCTGGGCTGAGGCGGGGCAAAGACCTAGTCCCACCCAGCAGCAGCTGCAGGTAAGGGAGGGGAGTCTGCTGCCCTGGCCCTGGGGTGGCTCAGTGGGCAGGGATCCTGCTGACAGAGACCCCCCAGACCCCCGCCGAGTCTGAGAGGCCTGCAGCAGAGGCCGTGCCCGACAAGGAGGCAGGGTGTGAGGTGGGAAAGGACTCCAGGAAACCCACTGGGGTCCCAATCCTGGTTCACAGCTGTGTGACCTTGAGCAAGTCCCCCAATCTCTCTGAGCCTCCGTGTCTTCACCTGGGAAATGGGGCTTCAAAAGTGCCCCCCAACAGTGCTGCAGAGGGATAAATGTGTGGACGAGCCTCTGGAGCTCAGAACAGCGCCTGGTGATAGAAGGGTTCACTCACCCTGAGCTCGCGCTGTTCATGTCACCTTTACAGGCCAAGGAAGAAGCTAGCTCCTGGCCGTGTCCAAGACCCAAGGGACTCCTTTATGGCTTGGGGGCCTCAGCGTCCCCTCTGCCCAGCACGTGGGGAGACTGATGACATGATACTGAGGGGTTGGGGAGTAGGGAAATGCCCACAGCAATAGAACAAGGAGTGCCTTCTGCCGCCTCCCACGTCTCATCCAGCACCATCCTTTTCAACCAGGAGAGGACTGCTATTGTCAGCCGAATATCTCTTGGAGGGGAGCCTCAGTCTCCTCCCTCCTGGCTGTCTGGATGGCCTCCTCCTTTTTATTTACTTATTTATTTACTTATGGCTACTGAGTCTTGGGTTGCTGTGTGGGCTTTTCCCTAGTTGCTGTGAGTGGGAGCTACTCTCTAGTTGTGGTGCTTGTACTTCTCGTTGCGGTGGCTTCTCTTGTGAAGCACAGGCCCTCGGGTACTCCGGTTTCAGTCGTTGCGGCTCCTGGGCTCAGGAGCACAGACTATTGAGCACAGGCTCAATAGTTGTGGCCCATGGGCTTAGCTGCTCTGAGGCATGTGGAATCTTCCTGGACCAGGGATTAAAGTGATGTCTCTTGCGTTGGAGTCATGCATTGTGGTCATGCACCCAAAGGCCCAAAAGCACAGTGCCCCACTGCCACTTCTGCCCAATGCAAGGGATCCTCCTGGAGTTCTGGGGAACCAGCTGTTGGAAAGTGGGGGGAGCTCAGGGATGGGGTGTCTCATAGAATCCTTTAGCGGCTTCATCCACAAATTTACACTGGAGATGGGCCTTTGGGTCAGCAAGCCATTAACAAGAGGGAAATGAGTGAAAATCAGCTCCAATGAAATTTCTAGAAGAGAGGACTCGCAGGTGTGTGTGTTGGTAAGGGTTGAAATAATAGTTTGTTGAGTGTTTACAACGTGCCACACACCTCGCCAACATAATATTTAATTCTTTTTTTTTTTTTCATTTATTTTTATTAGTTGGAGGCTAATTACTTTACATCATTGCAGTGGTTTTTGTCATACATTGAAATGAATTAGCCATGGATTTACATGTATTCCCCATCCCGGTCCCCCCTCCCACCTCCCTCTCCACCCGATCCCTCTGGGTCTTCCCAGTGCACCAGGCCCGAGCACTTGTCTCATGCACCCAACCTGGGCTGGTGATCTGTTTCACCCTAGATAATATACGTGTTTCGATGCTGTTCTCTTGAAACATCCCACCCTCGCCTTCTCCCAGAGTCCACAAGTCTGTTCTATACATCGGAGTCTCTTTTTCTGTTTTGCATATAGGGTTATCATTACCATCTTTTATTTAATTCTTTAAAAATATATTTTTATTTACTAATATTTATTTTTGACTGTGCTTGGGTCTTTGTTGCTGCGTGGGCTTTCTCTAGTTGCAGCGAGCGGGGGCTACTCTCTAGTTGTGGTGTGCAGCCTTCTCCTGTTGCAGCACAGACTATAGGGCACGCAGGTTTCAGTAGTTGTGATACATGGGCTCAGTGGTTGCAGCTCCCAGGCGATAGAGCATGTGCTCAATAGCTGTGGCCCACAGGCTTAGTTGCTCTGAGGAATGTAGGAGCTTCCCATGTCTCCTGTACTGGCAGGTGGAGTCTTCACCACTGAGCCACCAGGGGAAGACCAGGATTTCATTCTGACTCCCTAGTAAGGTGGCAACGACTCTTACTTCCATTCTTTAGATTTAGAAAGCTGACTTTCAGGAGTTTGCCCTGGGTCACAGAGTGGCAGGATCTGGGTTTGAACTCAGGCCTGCGTGACTTGAAGTCTATAGGATTCATGGAGAATATGGAGGCTGTGCCTTGAAGAACATTCTGGCTGTTGTCAAGGGTCAGGTCAGGGCCTAAGAGCAAGCACACGGGGGCTGGATGGCCCAGGGTGGTCCGGCAGGAGGTGGCGGAGAGGACAGGGAGGCAGGGTGGGTTAAGGGGAGGAGGGTCAACAGGGAGAGAGAACAGGAGGGCCTGGGGCTGCCAGAGGAAGCGGGAGAGATGTAAGACGGGGCGGGCCGGGGAGTGGTTCTCGCACAGGGACTGAGTTCTCGGTGAGTCCCTCTGAGGCAAGTAGGACAGGAGGCATACAAGGGATTCCCAGGGGGTGGTGGTTTTTTTAAGTATTGGAGAAAGGACCCTTGAAGTCATCTCACACGAGCCCCTCACTTAAAGATGAGGAAACCAAGACCCAGGGTAGTGAAGGGACTTGTGTTGAGTGCGGCTCAATCTCCTGCCTTCTCACCCAGCATGGGTGCAAGATTGGAACTCAGAAAGGAGTCAGGGGTGGAGCTACCAATTCACTGAAAGAACCAGAGCTGGGAGGTGAGCACAAGGGCGCAGACTCACATCTGGAGAGGCAGTGAGGGCTGGGGGGCTGGGGGCTGGGGCTGCTGAGGGAACCCGTGCCCGTGGTAGAGAGGGCAGAGGCTGGGGAACCTGAGGTCAGCGGGAGCAGGGCAGCCAGGTTCCAGCAAGGTGGAAAAAAAGAAAAGGATGCCAGTTTTGGTCACTATCAGGTTCTCTGGTGACCTTGGGAGGGACGATCCTGGTGGAGTGCTTTGGGTAGAGCCACCGTGGCGGTTTGGACGGGGCAGGAGGTTCAGGCACGGAGGCAGTGGCTGTAGACCGCAGGATGTAGCCAGAGAACAGAAGGGAACTCTCTTTAAGCTGCTGAATCAATGCAAGTGTTCTCCAGGCTGGAGTTTTCGGGCAGAAGGAAGGAGAGGTGACGAGCCGGAGGAGGACACTGCCAAGGCTGGTGGGGTGGGCCGGAGAGCAGACGGCGGCACACTGCATCCTCTGAGAAGAAGGGAGGGGAAGGAGGTGTGAACAGTCCCCATGTGGAGGAGCCACCGAGGGGCTTGTGTTAAGTAGCACCTTGCTGTCCTGGCTCTGGGCTCAGGTGGCCTGGGTTCCTCTCTCAACTGACATCCTAGAAGCTGGGACAGAGACCCGGAGGCAGGGAGATGTAACGCTGGGGCTTGACCTGGCAGCGATGTGATGTCCAGATGTCACATCAAGTTGTTGAAATGGGAGGGGAAGGCCACATAGTTGGATGTGAGGTCCTGGGCAGACGGTGGCGAGGGCGTCAGGACCTGGTGTGTCGGTCTTTGAGTGAATAGCACATGAGGCTCTCAGAGGTCTAAGGGGCGGGGGAGCTCCCTACTCAAGTGGCAGTGTCGTGGGAAAGGCCGTGGGGGACGACGCATGCCCCTGTATTGCAGAAGAAGAGATGCACCCATGGGGCCTGGAAAGAAGCTACTCTCTGAGCTCCAGGCGGAGAGGAGGACCTGGAGCCCTGGTTCATCAGAGCAAAGGTGTTTTCCTTGGGAGTGGGTGGCAAGTGCGCCCCCTTCAGGCAACTACGAGGTGGGCAGCAGGACCAGGGAGTGACTTGCAGACTGGACAGGCATACCCCCACCTCCCAAGCCCTCTGGAGCTAGGCCCTAGGAGGGTGGTGGCACCCACACACACTCCCCCACTTGCAGGTGGCACCAGCTTGCTACCCCATCGCTCTGTCTGTATCTGCTGGGCTGTCAGCCTGCGTGGGTCCCTGGAGGGCAGATCAAGACACATCACATGCCAGCCCCATTTCTTTGCTTTTTGTTATTAATAAATTTATTTTACATCTCCTGAACCAAGATTAATTTTGAAATTTAACGGGATGGCATGAAAAGGCCAAACCTGATTTCTGTAAGCATTGTACACATAGTCATTCTATTTCCAAACTAACAACTCAGGTCCTCACCTGCATCTAGGGCCCCCCCTTCCCTTTCTTCCTCCAAAATGAGATACAGAATAGCACCAGGCTTCTGGTAGCTTCAACATTTAAAGAGACAAACACAGAGGCAGAGAAGGGTGAGAAGAACCACAGTACAAGATGTAATAAAAAAAAAAAAAAAGTGGCCAAAGAATCAATAGCAAACTCATCTCTGTCTCCAGATTAATGGCTCAGCTGAAAGAAATGGGGGGAGGTCCTCGGGGAAGGAGGGGGATGCAGAAGTTGGCTGGTGAGCAACTGACCCTGGAACAGAACTCTGGGTGGGCAGCCGGAGCTGAGGCAGCAGGGAAGAGCTGAGAGGGGTCCCCAGAGGGGGCTCAGGCCACGTCCTGGGCTCAGGGGAGGGGTCAGTGCTGGGCCCCCACTAAGTGTGGCGGGGAGGGAGCTTTGGAAGTGGCGCAGCTGAGCCCCTCCTCTGCTTCATATGTTCCTGAGGATCTGGGTGCACCAGCGTGGGGGGGGTGGGGGAGGGGACAACACGCAGGCATCTCGGAAAGCAGGAAAGGCACACGCCTGTGGGAGAGGAGGCTGGGGTGGGGGTGGGGAACACCGACAACTAACCCTCTTGGCTGAGCAAGTGCCTGCAGAGGGACAGGAAGCTCTGTGGGCCCTCCCCGTGCCAACCTTGCCCCTGCCTCCCGGCCTGAGCAGCTGGCCGCGGCCGCACGATCCACTGCTGGAGAGGGCAGCCCCCAGCCCCGAAGACCTGGTGGCCGGGAGGACTGGCTCCATCTAATGCACCTAGAGCTCGGCTGTGATTGTCCAGGGCCAGACTCCGCGTCGGCTCCTCCTGTGTCTGGTCGGCCCGGGCTGGGTGTGCAGCCCTCAGCTGACGTATAACTTGCCCTCGAGTTGGGAGCTGTCAGGCTCCAGAGCTGCATGCCCAGGGGTGGGTGGGGACTCACAGAAGTAGTTCTCTGTTGGCGGTGGGCTGGGGTTGGGAGTCAGGGGCCTGGAAGAGGCTGGGAGGTCCAGAACCATCAGGAGCAGCTGGTCTCCCTGCTGGCTGGCAGAGTGTGGCGAGGAGAGGCAGCTGGGCTCTCTGCAGGTCCTCCTGGGGGCTCCGTGCCTGCAGCTGAGGGCAGGTGGGCTGGCAGCTGGCCCGGAGCTGCTCAGCCTACTGGGAGACAGGGCCAGGGGCGGCATCCTCAGAGCCCTTAGATCCTGGAGGCCTTCCTCCCCCAGGCCAGGGGGCCTGTGTGGCCCAGCACTCTGCCAACCTACTGGGGGGCTGCCTGGGAGGGAGAGGCAGGTCTCTTCCTGTGGGTGGTGCACAGGCTGGAGGGAGGCCAGAGACCTGGGCTCATGGCCTGGAAGGGGAAGGTGCTTGCTGCTGGTTGTCCTGATGCCATGGGAGCTGGGGGTGCCACAGGGGCTGGGGGCTCTCGGGATAAAGAGTGAGGCTTGTGGCCAGGATGCACCCGGCCTCTTCTCGGCATTGCCACTGGGGAACTGAACCTTCCGCTTGTGGCCAAAGAGAGGCAGGTCTGGGCCAGAGGAGAGTTCAGCAAGTCCAGAGCTGGTTAGGAGGCCCTGGTGAGCAGGGCTCCCAGGCCCTGGGGTCTCTGGGGGGTCCACAAAGCTGTCAGCTGACCCCTTCAGCTCCTGGCAGCTTGCTATCGGTCCAGGAATCTCGCCAGCCTCCACAGGTTCTGTCGCTGCCTTCACGCCACCCACTGTCCCACCATAATCGGAGGCACCTGGGGCCTGGTGATGATCGTCTTTCCTCCAGGGAGACGCTGCCTTGACAGGGGAGGGCCAGAGGGGAGGCGGAGGCTCAGGATACAGAGGGTCACAGTCGGAAGTCAAGGAGCCTGGCTGCCTGTGGGGACAGAAACACCCAGTGGGTCACAGAGTTCAACTCCAGAGCAAGTGGGGGTCCTCCTGGGCCGGGGGCACAGTGGAGGCCCATATGGTGCTACCCTTCTGGGCCTTACTGTGCAGAAAAGAGCTGCCATTCTGGGTCCCAGGTGAAAGGCCTGTTCTTGGCTCTGCGACCTGCGGTTGGGGCTGGCCAGAGGAACAGGTTAGAGGCTGCTCTGTTTAATAAGGCAGTCATGGAGGAGGCTGCCCTTCGGTGGCTAGAGAAAGCAGCACAGGTCCTGGCTGCGCACCCCGAGCCCAGTGAGGCTGCCTGAGGTAGAGGCTTTGGGGTGCGGGGGATGAAGCCATAGCTCCTTGGTGGGCAGCAAGAGGGGTGGTGCTCAGAGGGCCCTGGGATTCTGCCAAATCCTCTGCCATCCTTTCTGGGGTAAACGTCTAGAGAAGCAGGAAGAGCCCTCCTCTTCACCTACACAGGAAAGACCCAGGAATTCCCCTCCCTATTTCTAGAAGGCCAGACAGGCACGTGACCAGACACATCCCAGGAGCAGCGACAGCTGAATTGCTCCCCCTGCGCCCCCAACTGTGGTGTTAGGAAGGGAGCTCTGGTCGGGGTCTGTCCTGATCTGATGGGCTGAAGCCCCAAATGGAGGCCTTCCCTTGACCCCCCCCCCCCCAAAGAACAGAACAGAAGATGGCAGGAAAGAAAGGGAAGGAAGAAGTAAGAAAGGTGAGGGACCACAGCCTGATCTCTGCTGTCGCCAACCCAAGGGCTCCTCTCCACCTCAGGGCACAGGGCAGCAGCAGGAGAGGTGAGCAGGCAGTCATGTCTGCCACCTGCGGCGGGTGGCACAGCGGTGCTTACCGGGGGAGGCTGGCCTGGAAGGGCACGTCTGCAAAGCTGTGGCTCAGCTGGGCAATGATCCGATCGACTTCGGCATACAGGTGGGCTTCCAGGGCAAAGTCCTGGTGCTGGGGGCTCTGGAGATGCTGCTCGGGGTGAGAGGAGGCAGAGGGCGTTAGACTAGGCTGGGATGGGACACAAGCAGACCACCCAGCCTCACCAGGGTGGACAGACCGTCTGGGAGCAGCTGCGTGGTGGGGAAGGAGCTCACCCTGTGCAGCTCCTCGAAGGCTTCTTGGCAGCACTCACAGTACCCTTTCCTCCTCCTGGGCACAGTGCAGGCGGCGGATCGCCGGCTTGGCTCCTGGTCCTTGGCTTCTCTGGGGAGGATACAGGGTGGGGGAAAGTAGTCACCACTGGAGCTCTTAGAGCGAACTGTGGCCCTGCGGCCTGTGGTCCAGGCCAGTGGGGGAGGAGGGACCAGAATGGCCAGAGCAGGGCAGGCACCACTCGTACAAGGGGGGCAGGAGAGGCAGCAAGGAAGGAGAGGCCTCTCTGTGAGTACCCCATCTTAGCTCCAACCTGACCCCACCCACACACCTCAAACCACAGGCAAGAATCCCTGACGATGTTCCAGCTCCGTGCTCACACCCAAACCCAGGGTCATTTGACCCACACAGCTGTGCCTTCCCTGAGGACTTTCACATCTTTCTCAAGCCTGACTTCTTTGACTTTCAGTCCTGCATGAGTTTTGATTTGTTAACTGAAGTATAGTTGATTTGCAGGGTTATGTTAGTTTCTGGTATGCAGCAAAGTGATTTAGTTCTATATGTATTTTTTTCTTTCTCATGTTCTTTTCCATTATGGCTTATTACAGGATAGTGAATATGCTTCCCTGTGCTATCCAGTAGGACCTTCTTGTTTATTTTATACATAGTAGTTTGTATCTGTTAATCCCAATCTGTTAATCCTGATTTATCCTTCCTCCATCTGATAGATCTATCTGATATAGCAAGGAAAAATAAGAAAGCCTTCCTAAATGATTAATGCAAAGAAATAGAGGAAAACAATAGAATGGGAGAGACTAGAGATCCCTACAAGAAAATTAGATACCAAGGGAACACTTCACGCAAAGATGGGCACAATAAAGGACAGAAATGGTGTGGACCTAAAAGAAGCAGAAAATATTAAGAAGAGGTGGCAAGAACACACAGAAGAACCGTACAAAAAAGATCTTAATGACCTGGATAACCACGATGGTGTGATCACTCATCTAGAGAGCCAGACATCCTGAAGTGTGAAGTCAAGTGGGCCTCAGGAAGCATCACTACGAACAAAGCTAGTGGAGGTGATGGAATTCCAGCTGAGCTATTTCAAATCCTAAAAGATGATGCTGTGAAGGTGCTGCACTCAATATGCCAGCAAATTCGGAAAACTCAGCAATGGCCACAGGACTGGAAAAAGTCAGTTTTCATTCCAATCCCAAAGAAAGGCAATGCCAGAGAATGTTCAAACTACCATACAATTGCACTCATCTTACACGCTAGCAAAATGCTCAAAATTCTCCAAGCTAGGCTTCAACAGTACATGAACTGAGAACTTCCAGATGTTCAAGCTGGATTTAGAAAAGGCAGAGAAACCAGAGATCAAATTGCCAACATCTGTTGGATCATAGAAAAAGTAAGAGAAGTCCAGAAAAACATCTGCTTCATTGACTACGCCAAAGCTTTTGACTGTGTGGATCACAACAAACTGAGGAAAATTCTTAAAGAGATGGGAATACCAGACACCTGACCTGCCTCCTGAGAAACCTGTATGCAGGTCAAGAAGCAACAGCTAGAACTGGACATGGAACAACAGATTGGTTCCAAATTGGGAAAGGCGTATATCAAGGGTGTATATTGTCACCTTGCTTATTTAACTTATATGCAGAGTACATCATGAGAAATGTTGGGCTGGATGAAGCACAAGCTAGAATCAAGATGGCAGGGAGAAATATCAATAACCTCACATACACAGATGATACCACCCTTATAGCATAAAGTGAAGAGGAACTAAAGAGGCTCTTGATGAAATTGAAAGAGGAGAATGAAAAAGCTGGCTGAAAACTCAACATTCAGAAAACTAAGATCATGGCATCCGGTCCCATCACTTTGTGGCAAATAGATGGGGAAACAATGGAAACAGTGACAGGCTTTATTTTCTTGGGCTCCAAAATCACTGCAGATGGTGACTGCAGCCATGAAATTAAGACACTTGGTCCTTGGAAGAAAAGCTATGACCAACCTGGACAGCATATTAAAAAGCAGAGACATTACTTTATTGACAAGGATCTGTCTAGTCAAAGCTATGGTTTTTCCAGTAGTCATGTATGGATGTGAGAGTTGGACCATAAAGAAAGCTGAATGCCGAAGAATTGATGCTTTTGAACTGTGGTGTTGGAGAAGACTCTTGAGAGTCCCTTGGACTGCAAGGAGATCAAACCAGTCAATCCTGAAAGAAATCAGTCCTGAATATTCATTGGAAGGACTTGTGCTGAAGTTGAAGCGCCAATACTTTGACCACCTGATACAAAGAACTGACTCATTGGAAAAGACCCTGATGCTGGGAAAGATTGAAAGCAGGAGGAGAAAGGGACGACAGAGAATGAGATGGTTGGATGGTATCACTGACTTAATGGACATGATTTTGAGCAAGCTCCGCAAGTGGGTGATAGATAGGGAAGCCTGGCGTGCTGCAGTCCATGGGGTCGCAAAGAGTCAGACACGACTGAGCGACTGAACTGAACTGAACTGATTCCCTCCTCCATCTGCTTTCCCCTTTGGTAACCATAAATTATTTTTTTTCCCCATAAATTTGTTTTTTATGTCTGTGAGTCTATTTTGTAAATAAATTCATTTGTATTATTTTTTATGTTCCACATATAAGTGATATCATATGATATTTCTCTTTCTCTGATTTGCTTCACTCATAATCTCTATTAAATCCACCCATGTTGCCACAGATGGCATTGTTTCATTCTTGTTTATGCCTGAGCAGAGCAGTATTTCACTCTGTGTGTGTGTACATATGTGTGTGTGTGTGTGTGTGTGTACATCACATCTTCTTTATCCATTTATCTGCTGATGGACATTTAGGTTGGTTCCGTGTCTTGGCTATCGTAAATATTGCTGCTATGAACATTGGGGTGCAAGTATCTTTTTGAATTAGCATTTTCTCCAGATATATGCCCATTAGTGGGATTGCTGGGTCATATGGCAACTCTAGTTTTAATTTTTTAAGGAAACTCCATACTGTTTTCCACAGTGGCTACACCAATTTCCACTCCCACGAACAGTGTAGGAGGGTTCCCTTTCCTCCACATCCTCTCCAGCATTTATTATTTGTAGTCAGTCCTGCATTTTTAAGTGGCCTGTAGGGTACTGGTATTTGACTGAGCAAATTCAGTGGGTCCAAAATATTCCCCTAAGGACTTTCTAAGCATGACACACAACCCAGGAAACAGTAAAAAAGCTGATAAGTTCAACGACAAACCATTAAAAAACATATATGCATGGTAGAAAATAGAAGCAAACTCAAAAAAACACACCAGAAATGGGGGAGGATATTTAAAACTAGTAACATAGCAAAGGGCTCCTTACAAATCAATAAGTGATCAATAACTGAATAGAAAAACTGGCAATGGATATGAAAAAGGTTCACACAAAGAGAGATTTTAAAAAAGAGAGATTCAAATGATCCAACATAGGAAAACATACTTAAGCTCATTCATAAAGAGAAAAATGAAAATTACATTACACTGAGATATGGTTTTTGATCTATCAGCCTGGCTGAAGTCACAAGTCTGACAGCTCACTATCTTAGCCATGGGGATGGGGAAATGGGCTCTGGTCCACTGTGGGTGAAAGTGTATCCTGGCATTACCTCCATGAAAGGCAATTTGGCTGCACTTCTCAAAATTATAAATGTAGGCACCCTTTGACCCGGCATTTCCACTTTTAGGAATTTGTCCTGCAAATATACTTGAACAATCATAAATTTACTCTGAACAAGACTATTCACCACAAAAGACTGGAAATCATCCACACATATGTTAAATAAAATACGGCAAATCCATACCATGGAATACCCTGCAGTCATTAAAGGGAATGAAGACGCTCTTCAGGTACTAATAGGAAATTAAGAAATATTCACTGGGAAAAAAAGCAAGATCCAGCACAGTGAATATCTTGCTACTCTTTGTGAGAAGAGAGAACAAAGGGTACACGATGTACTGTCCACAAACGCTCTCTGGAGAGACTCGTGGTCTAGAGGTTGGAGGATGGGCACAGAATACAGACGTTTCACTGTAAACCCTTCATCTTCCCTTTATCAGCTCCTGTGCCATCCCTAGGCCTTCCCAGGCCAAGCACCCCCTGCAGCCCCAGCCCAGGCAGCCTCCGGGCTGCCCCTCTTGTGTCCCTTGTATCTTCTGGGAAAGGGATGAAGGGCCCCTGGACTTCACCCTGGCTTGTTCTCGCCTTCCTCCGCTATCTACTGCGACAGTCCCTTTCTGTGTTTCCTCCCATTCGCACTATTTCCTGACCCCTTAGCCCCTGTCTGCTGGTGGAAACCACAGGTCCTCCCTGGTACTGGAGACCCTTGGGCTGGGCATCTGCCCTCTATTCTCTGGGCCCATAAGTGTCCAGGTCATCCTCTGAACCGCAAGCCTTCTGCACGTTGGTCAATGAAGGGTCAAACTCACCTATCTGCAGAGTAGGATTAAAAAGCAGCCTACAAGTCATTTCAGGCCACACAGTGTGGCAGGTCCCCCAGACCCTCTGCCGGCTATGTTTAGCTTCAAAGGCCTCAGATTTGGACGTGCATTGAAACCACATGGGGAGCCTGGGAACACGGAGCTCAGTCTCATCACCAGAGACTGTGATTCTGCAGGGGTGGAGTCCAGGAACCTGCATTTTTAACGGGCCCTCAGGAGACTCCCTTAAGCTACAGTCCATGGGGTTGCAAAGAGTCAGACATGACTAAACGACCTCACTTTCACAAGGAGACTCTAAGAAAGGAGGTCTATAATCCGAGGTTCAGAAACCAGCCTCGTGCCCTCTGGACACAAGTCAAGTTCTTCAGTACGGATGGAGAACACCAGATAAAACGGATGAACACTCCCGGTGTCCCTCTTCTCTGGGCTAAGTTCCCAGAATAGACTTTGCCTAAGGAGCTAACACATGGCCATTCCCCAGTCTGACCAGCAGGCCCCCAGGGGGGAGGACTTTGGCCTGGAACCAGCCCTTGTACTCAGGAACCAGAAAGACCCACCTGGTATGGTGTGAGCTGCTCAGAGTCATCGGGGCCTCAAAAGGACTGGCGGCTTTGGGTCCCAGAAAAGAAATTTCAGGAAAGGATTTAAACTGAAGGTGGAAAGGACGAAACTTCCTGAAACACACAAAACTTCCATTTTGACTCCAGTGGGGAAGGGAAAAGGTGAGGAAGAGGGGCCAGCCCAACTCCTGAGAATTCCCATCTTGATAAAGCAGACTCTCACTCTCACCTGCCCATCTTTTTTGGGCCATGTCTCACAGCATGTGGGATCTTAGTTCCCTGACCAGGGATCAAACTCATGCCCCCTGTATTAGAAGCTCAGAATCTCAACCACTGGACCACCAGGGAAGTCCCTCACTTGCCCAGCTTTTAAATACTAGAACAACATTCTTATCTGCCTTACCAGGTTAGATTAATATTTTAAATTAACACTCTTACTGTCCACTTTCCAAGCCTGTTTACAACCACTGCCTCCCCCATATCCTGCAACCTCTGAGCTGAGCAGAACAACAGTGTTTTCATGTTTTATATCATAGAAGAGGAAACGAAGCCCTAAAGGTTCTGTGGCTTGCCCGAGGGCTCATGACCTACATGTGGCCAAGTCCAGATGGGAAGCCACGTCTCCCAACTCCTGATCTAGTTCCTCCCACTTTTCCATTTTGTTTCTCGACCCTCAAGTGACCTCTGAGAACTCTAGCCTGGCAGAATCTAAACGCAAGGATGTTAAGACCAGATCAGTGATCTTCCTGTTCCATGAAGAGGAATAGTTTTGCAATGGGCTGGGCCTTTGTACTATCTGAGGGGTGGTGCTCTGAATGGAAAAGAGAGGTGCAGTGAAGGTTCTGGGCAGTCAGACATACACTGAGTCATTTGCCTTAAATGGCTCACATTAAGGAGAATTTTGGAGCCGGGCATGGTGATCTGTAGGTACTCGGCAGCCCCTGACCACACCATGTTGGGGTGCAGTGGACGGTGCTCCAGGGGAAAGCAGGCCCTGGGTGCCAGAGGCATATTGAGACCCTGTGGCCTCAGGAGTAAATTAACCAATGAGTCTTCTTGGGGACTTACCTGGCAGTCCAGTGGCTAGGACTCTGAGCTTCCACTGCAGGGGGCCCAGGTTTGACTCCTGGTTGGGGAACTAAGATCCCACAGGGCGCATGGCACAGCCAAAATAAAGTCTTCTTGGATCCTGAAGGAGAAGCAGGTGCCCCTCACAGCCTGGGTACCCCGCCTTTCGCCCTCCTCCATGTTATTTTGTTTCTGCTGAGGAGGTTGAAAAGTTGAGGCTGGTGCGGCTAAGTTGGGCTTTGAAGAGTGCCTGCTTTAGGACAGCACGTAAAGAAGGATCGAGAGAAAGCTCAGCTCCATGTGCAGACATACTAAGGCCCTGGTGGTGTCTCAGCCACAGCGTCCCAGTCGTGACTACTGTACTCAGCTGGTTGTGAAGGGCGGACTGTGAAGGACATGCCCCTCCGCCCCACCCGCCTGGAGGGGAGAGGAGAAGTCCTCCTTCCAGCCCTGGACTCTTTCTGCTGGCTTTTGGGCCACCAGCGCCAGCTCTGTCCTGTGTGCCGCCGTCATGTGAAGGATGGGCAGACCTGCCAGGCTCCTGGGGCTGGGTCTGTCGGTAGCCAGCCCAAAGCTGAGGGACACAGAGCATTCTGGCCCAGGAGTTTCTGCTGGGGACACATGGGCTTTGAAAAAACTTCTGGGGTTAATTCTAGATTTTCCGGTACTTACCGAAGAGTCAGGGACAACCCAGGTGGCTAACAGCTCGTCAGGTTATCATTGATGTGACCCTCCTGCTGTAGGTAAGAAAGGGCCCTCACGGGGACAGACGGGGCAGAGGGGAGAGGGTCCCAGGCTGGATGTGGACTCTAGCCTCAGACTAAGAGTCACTAGCAAAGTGGCTGTGTTCATGTCCCTTAATGTCTCTGACCTCAGTTTCCCCACTGGGAAGAGGATGGACTCTTCTCATGGCAGTTTTAGCCACGGCTATGAGGAGATAACACATACCAGGAAAGGGTTTTACACAGCAAATGGAAAGGCTTGGTCAAGTGTTGATACAACGTGGTCTGACAAGGGAACCCCAATAGCACCGCAGAGACCCTCACTTTAGCAAAGACTGTACCAGCACTAATACCAGCAATGATTTGGTATTGAGTGTCAGCGTACACATGGGGGAAATGGGGAGTCAAACAACCTGGATGCAACATCACAGACTCAAAAAAGCAGAGCTTTGAAAGGAAGGAATTCAGGGACTTCCTTGGTGGTCCAGTGGCTAAGACTCTGAGCTCTCAGTGCAGGGGGTCTGGGGTTCGATCCCTGGTCAGGGGACTGGATCCCACATGCTGCAACTAAGACCTGGCACAGCCAAATGAATCAATATTTAAAAAAAATAAGGAAGGAATTCACACACAGGATTAACAACCTCTGACTCATGACCAAGAGGAGTGCCAGCTGGGCATGGCTCCTCTGATCTATATGAGACCTCCCCATGGCAGCCAGGGGCCCCTGAGTACCTCTCCTCCACGTAGGTCTGGCGGTCCACTCACCTGCTCTCATCTTCGACTTTGAGGAACGGTGCCTTCAGTCTGGCCACTGGAAGGAAGAGTGCGCCCGTCAGCCATCTGTCTGCCCTGGTGCAGAGCCTGAGCTCAGGAAATGCTCAGAGAGACGAGGCTCTGCCAAAGCCCAAGAGGCTCTCAGAGCGAGAGCCCTCACGGCCCCAAGGTGTACCTTTCCTTTGGCTGAGTGAGGCCCCTGCTCCCATCTCCTCTAACCTCTACCACCCTTGGGGGGAGAGGCTACAGGGTGCCCCAGGGTCCTAAATGCACCCACCCTCAGCCTCCTGCATATGGGTGCTAAAGGCTGTCAACCTTGAGAGTCAGGAACCTGGCCGGGTAGCAGAAACCCGGCCCCTGCTGGTTTCTGCTAAGAGCCTCAGCTCCTTCCCAGACCTTAACTCCTGGTGTCTCAGAATCCCAAGGGGGCCTGAGGATGGTTCTCAGACAGAATTCTCCACGAGGAGCCTGGGGTTTTGGAGGGGAAGAATAGCAAGGAGGAGAACTGAAGAGTGTTTCAAGGTCTTGGCAGAAGGACAGTTAAAAAAAAACACACCAAAAGTGAAATCTGGTTCTTGAAAAAAATAGGGCAAAGGGGTGCTGGGAAAACAGATTTGGAGTCAGTTAATCAAAAGATTTGTCCCCTACTAGCTGGCTATCTGCACAGTTTATAGATTCTCTGAGGCATTATAAACCCCTTCTGCCCTCCCATGATGATCAGAAGTCCTATCAAAGGGGCAGTTGAGGCACCGAAAGGCTGGGCACAGCTAGCTGCCACCAAATCCCCAAGAAGCTGGCGCTTCTCAGCTCCCAGTGCTCAAGCCTTTCTTCCTTAATTACTTTTTTGGGGTGACTCCTCGTCTTCCTAATTAACTGACACAGTGATTAAAGTCAATTCTCCTACAGACCTCCTTGATTTGCAAGCGTGACAGGTGCCAAGTGACTTTCCTTATTAGTTCCCGCTTGTGCACGAATAAATGCCACCGACAGAGCATCTTTGGGAGAAATATCCAGGGGGAGAAACTCCCCTGCTGTCCAAGAGGAGCCAGGAGCTGGGCCCGTCAATCTGCCTATTTGTCAATTTCAGGGAGTTTGGCATTTCTGAAAGTAGTAGGCAGCTGTCAAACTGCCCACCCCAAACTGCTTCTGAATCAGAAAGCAAAGGATGCTGAACTTCCATCGACGCCCAGGAACAGCCAGAGGCTGCAGGAGCCAGAGCGACTGCAGGAGGCCTTGGCTCTACAGAGAAGGCCCGGCCCAGCAGCCCTGGACTTGCTCACAGACGTTCCTCTCCCACCGCCCTCCTCTCTGAAGCTCTGGCAACAGGCAGAGCCTGGCAACAGGATAAGGCTGTCCACAACCTGGACTTGCTTCCTGCTGCAGAAAAGTGAGCAGATGCTGCCACAGAGGGAGTCGTGGGGAATCATTTAGGGAGGGAGGGATGGCAATTAAATGAGGAAGAGCTCTTGCACTGACCTTTCCGTGTTCTTGACTCTGCTGGACATGTTCCCTGAATGGAAAGGAAAAATAGGTTAAGGATGTGAGGGAGCTAGGGGGGTCGAGGAACTGGGCCCGGAGATCCGAGCTGCTGCTCTGCTTTAGCTTTCTGCCCCACTTTAGCTTTCTGCCCACGGCTGGACCCTGAGCTGGAGCAGACCTGAGCACCATGCTCCCTGTGTGGTGAGCTCTGTGCGTGAATCTCAAGGGCCCTGACTTTGTGAAGGGAATGCAGAGCAGAGCAAAGAGCAAGCGAGGGCTGGGGAGCACCCCCACCACCGTGGGAACGGGACCCGTGCCGCCCATGATGTTCGGGGTCCCACCTAACACCTCGGATGTGGCACAGATGAAATTGCAGCAGGGGACACACCTGACGCAGGGGAGGGGCTCACTGACGGCAGCCCGTGTATTCTGGGCGCGCTGGCATTCCAGGGCAGCCGACAGGATGAGGGTGAAGACAGTGCCTTTTGGTTTTCAGTACCCTATCTTACACACCCTGACTGTGTTTGTCAAAACTGGCTTTCAGGCCAAGGTCAAACAAAGCTAATGTTACAAACCAAATGAAACAATTTTTAAAAAATCAGCTAAAGAGTTGGGAGGGTGTGGGTAGAATGAGAGATCCAGTGGCTACGTAACTGTCTGGGCCTCTGGGCCCAAGGGGATTCCAGATTCTTTTCCAGGCCACGCCACCAGGGCCAATACAGCCCAAAGAAGCTTCAACAGGCCCTCCCCCATCAGCAGACTGCACCCAAAACTTGCCCCAAAAGAGTCCCAAGTAGCTACAAAAGAGATTATTAAGCGAACAAAGCAAAGTAATAATACCACACATTTGCATAAAAGGGGGGGAATTTCGATGTATTTGCTTGTAGATGCTTGGGAGTCCTGGAAGGACATTTGAGCAACTGTTCACACTGTTGACCTCAGGGAGGGAGCTTGGTGGTTGGGAAGCAGAAGTCAGAGGGGAAAGAGACTTTCAATATATGCGACCCCATGGACTGTAGCCTGCTGGGCTCCTCTGTCTATGGGATTTCTAAGGCAAGGATACTGCAGAGGGTTGCCATTTCCTCCTCCAGGGGATCTTCCCAACCCATGGATTGAACTCAGGTCTCTTGCATTGCAGACTGATTCTTTAATGCTTGTGCCATCAGAGAAGCCTTGTATACATTACAGTAAAACCTTAAAGATGCCCAGACCAGAGGGGGTGGGATGAGGCGTGGTGAGGCTGAGTGTTCCACCTGGTTTGGATGTGGTCCCTCTCCTGGGTGCCAGGCCCTGGACGGACTTGTAGGGCCTGATTCTTCCTTGAATTCAGGGCTGGGTGAAGACCCTGCGGCTTTAAATCAGCCTGGGCTCTCTTGAGGTGGTACACAGTTCTAACCCCAGCAAAAGAAGGAAAAGCCAAACAAGAATTTGGAATATAGCAGCTATTTCAAACGCCACCACCCCCCTGCCACCACCCATGCAACCGGCAGGCTCGTTTCCAGGCCAAGAACTATCCCCAGAATGGCAGCCTGGCCAGCAGGCCATGAAGACTACCTGCAGGCAGTCCTTGGCCCCACACAGGGCTGTGGGCACCAGGGCTGAGCTGAGAGGCTATGTTCCTCTCACCTTTCCCAGCAAGGCCAGGAGGTGGTGGCTGGGGCAGGTCATGGATTTGCCAGTGCTGTCACAGACTTTCCCATTTCCTTTCAGTTTGGGAGGGGATGACCTACCTCTGGCTTCTTCAGCCCTTGTTTCTTCACACGTGGAGCATCAAGAGACAGTTGCTGCACCCGTATCAGCATTTCTGGGGAGGAAACAGAGGGCTGTGGCCAAAGGCTTCCTCTTCTCGTTTCCCCAGCACAGCCCTGTCCTGGGGCTGGGGGACTGAAGGTCCCACCTGACCTGGCTCACTGGATCACACCAGCCTTGCCTGCCACCTTCTGGCTATGTGTCATCTCTGCACCTGCTGATAATAAAAGAGAGCGCAGGGTCCTCTATCCCTGGAACAGTACCTATGCTGGCTGCATGCTCCTTTGAAGCACTGAATACAAGTCTTGAATAGGAGGTGCCTGATGACCCATAAAGGGCTTTAAGGTGCTACTGAAGGGCAGTTTTGTGGGGGAGACCAAGCCATGGCATTTACTCAGTTATATCCTTAGGTGGGAGACCCAGCAGGAGCTTACATGCTGGAGCTTCTCTATACATAGAAAGGCAGGAAATTAGATCAAGTCAGAAATGGCTGGTTTTCCAGAGACGATGGAACCTCCCACCATCCCAGACCAGGACCTGCCCTGGCGCAGCTCCCTGCCCTCCGGCAGATCTCAGGCTGGATCTAGACCTGCTCCCTTTAATGCGTCAAAGAAAACGCCAGACTCAAAGTGGAGCTGGGTGGGAGGGCTGACCACTGCCAGCAGACTCAAAACAGCTACTCTCATGTAAATGTATTACAGCCAGCCAGCAGACTCAAAACAGCTACTCTCAAGTAAATGTATTACAGCCAGCCAGCAGACTCAAAACAGCTACTCTCATGTAAATGTACTACAGCCAGCGCACAGGTGGTTACGTGTGGCAAACCCTAGAGGAAAGAAAGAACAGGAAATGCAGCTGAGCCAAACTAAGGGGGACGTGGGCCTGGCGAGCCTACGGGCCATTTACTCAATCTACTCCCTGAGGCTCAACTTCCTCATCTGTACAATGGGCAGAGACCGTGATGAGAATCAAATGAGGTGCTTCCTAGCACAGAGCAAATACCTGATAAGGGGTAATGGATATTAGGGTCGGTTCTTATTCAATCCTGCTGAGGAGAGCTGGCACCGGGGTTAAAGGCGACAGCCCTTCCCAGCACCTGCGCTCTGCTACTGCTGCGGCTGCTCTCCACCTCTGCGGACCAACACAGTTAAGTGACTGAGTACATCTGGCTTCAGCCAGCACATGACTCGGACCCCTCTCACAGCCCAGGTTCCCAGGCAAAGTTGCCAACCCTCCCCTCTGCGGCCCCGGGCAGGAAGGGTACCGTCCACGTGGAGAATCTGCACCCCCCAGGAGCGGGCGCTGCTCAGGAGGCTGCTGCTGCGCCCACTGCCGCCTCCGCTGCTGCTGCCCTGGAAAGACAAGCGGAGTCAGGCAGGATCACGAGACTCCCGCCCGAGGCTCGGCCACCTGGGGGCAGGCCGGCCTGGCTTCTGGGAGCTCCGGGTCACCCGTGTGCGGGCTGTTGCGAGAAGGGGGGCAGGGGAGCAAGCACAGAGCCTGGAGAGTCGACTCCAACCCCTGGGAGGACCCTGTCCTTCCGCACGGGCTGGCCACCTCGGGAGGGGAAGGACGGCTAATCTGGCTGGTGGCTCTGCTCCGGCCACCTCGGGACCAGGAAGGATATGTGTGTTCATGCGAGCAGCCTGTCAGGAGAGCCTCTGCGAGGAACGCTCTGAGCCCACAGGAGGGACACAGTAAACACCTGTGACAGTCATCTCATCGAACAGGAAGCTACGCTGGCCACACCACCCTCCTGCGTCCCAGCCCACGGCCGGGGCGCCCGCCTGACGGCACTTGAACTACTCCTCTGCAGATCAGCTTAACTCCTCCTGCTGCCACTCAACTGTGATGGCCCTGGGTCCTCACAGAAGGGATAAATAGGTATGTGCGAAAGACGCCCCGCTGCATTTCTCCCAGGATCTTAAGATCATGGAGTCAAAACCTGGCTCTTCCACCTCCAGCCCGGGTGACTCTGGACAGATGACTGAACTCCTCTGAGCCCCACTTCCTCGTCAGAAAGGAGGAAATCATGACAGTGCTACACGTCAGGCCGGACGTGCCTTTGTGTCAGAGCTTCAGAAGAACCTTCGGTTGCGGGGCTCATTCTCTCCCTGCATCAGACACACTGGCCTCCAGCCCGGCCCCCTCGGCTCACCTGGTTTCTGATGGCCTTCTGCAGGAGCTCCTTCCCTCTGCTCAGAGGCACCTGGCGGAAGAAAGGAGCGATGGGGGAGCTGTGGAGACCACCTGCGCACAAACACACTTTTCCACAAGGGTTGGCCAGGACGTCTGGGAGTCATGTCCCTCAGAAAGCTGGGAGCAGCTTCCAGAGGTAAAGGTAAAGCCAACCTCAGGTTTGGGTCACTCACAGGGAGCTGCAGCCTGGGCAGCCTGGAGCCTGGGGAGAGGCATTTTGAATTCACCCGAGGGCAAGTGTTACAAAGATCCTGAGACCTCTCTTCTGGTTATTTTTTTAGACCTCTCTTTAAAAGCTTGCACTCCCCAGCAGACAAGTGTTGGTCGGTCCTAACAAGCCCTCTCTGGTTTATTCCCCTACTGTTTCTTTCTTTTTCTTATTTTTTTTAAAAAAATGTTTATTTATTTTTGGCTGCGCGGGGTCTTCAATGCTGCACGTGGGCTTTTTCTAGTTGTGGTAAGCAGGGGCTACTCGAGCTGTGGTGTGTGGGCTTCTCTTGTTGCAGAACACAAGCTCTAGAGAAAACAAATTCAGTAGTTGTGGTGCATGGGCTTAGTTGCCCCGTCGTATGTGGGATCTTCCTGGACCAGGGATCAAACCCATGTCCCCTGCAATGGTAGGTGGATTCTTAACCACCAAACCACCAGGAAAGTCCTCCCCTACTGTTTCTGAATCTCAGACTCTGGAGTCCCAGGAAAAGTGAATATTTATCACAGAAGGGAGGGCATTGGGACAGCATGTCACTGAGGTGTGTGGATCCAGAGCTGTGATAAGATAGTTTCAGCCTCTGAATTCAAATGAGAGATTAAAATAAACCAGATGAAACTAAAACCAGAAACTGTCAGAGCAGGCTCACAAAGGCCTACTTCCTTCGTTTATTAGACACACCCTTCCCGCCCCACAAGGTTCTTACTGGGTCCATGGCCTTCTGTGCGGGCCTGGCACGGCTGCCGTTCGGCGGTGTGTCCACTGTGACCTCGCTGGGGCTGGGACAGCCTCTGTGACTTGTCCTGCTGCTCTCGGCCTTCGCCTCCCTGCGGCTGGACACGATGTAACTTACTTCTTTGCTCAGAAAACCCTCAATTACCTGAAATCAGATCACAGAGGTGGCTGAAACCCAAAAGGCAGAAGTAGAATCATCAATATTGACAGGTCGAGGAAGGAAATCAGGTTGGCTCACAGAAGCTCCAGAATCAAAGTCCTTAAATAGACCAGATGCAATCCTGTGCTGGGCCCCGGAGAAGACATCATTCCAAAATATAATAAGGCTTATATACAGGACAGAGGTTCTTGACTCCAGAACTGTAGCTCCTCCCAGCAGAGCCTCGTGGGCTCTGATATTTGACTAGTTAGGGTTTGCTCAGAGTGACCGCACATTGATGGGACTGGAGGATCAAGAGCTTGGCTAAGCCGTGATTTTGCTGTGAAGATGCACCGGGCCATCCAGATGCTGCGTCTGTCATCTTGACCACACTACCAAGAGGAGCCTGAAATAAAATTGGGTTCTGGATATTACTCAGCCGCATAAGTATCCGCTCATCTTACCTGCAAGCCCTTTATGAGAGGGTCTGACTCATCCTAAGAAACCCAAAACAGGGCTGGAAACACAATGACACAACTCATGTCTGGGGGAAGAAAAGATGGAAATAAGCAGTAGTGAGCTGGCAAACACTTAATGCTGGACTCTTGGGGTAAAAGGGGAAAAAACCCCAAAACCCTGCTTTGTAGCGTTTGCTGGTTTCTGTGGGGTAAAATACTACTGGGGCTGACTTCAAGATAGCCATATGACATCACTGAATGTGGAACTGGAAAGAGATGCTAACAATTGGTTCTCATGGGCCAGGACCAGCCAGCTCCAGCACACCTGTGAAAGGAAGGATGGATGATCTCTCTGAAGTGTGACTGGAGAAACCTGGCACTTAGGTTTAAAAAGGAAGCTGAGGTCCCTCAAAAGCTAAACACGGATTACCACATGACCCAGCAATTCCTCTCCAAGGTATACATCCAACAGAATTGAAAATAGGGACTCAAAGGGATACTTGTCTACCCATGTTCACAGCAGCCTTATTCATAATAGCTAAAAAGCAGAAACAAACTGAGTGTCCATTAACATATGAATGGATAAGTAAAATGTGGTCTGTCCATACAGTGGAGCACTGTTCAGTCATGAGAGAGAAACGAAACTCTGATCTACTGTACAGCATGGGTGAGCCTTGAAACCTTTACCTTAAAGTATAATAAACCAGAAACAAAAGGACCAACATCGGTGATCCCACTGATACAAGGTATCTAGAATGGGCAAATTCAGAAACATAATGTAGACGTGAATTCTGGGGAGGTAAGGGGAGGTGAAATGGGAAGTTCTTGCTTAAAGGTTACAGAGCTTCTGTTTGGGGTGATAAAAGTTTGGGAAACAGAGAGTGATGGTGATACAACAGGGTGAATGTAATTAATGTCCATGAATCTAAAAATAATTAATTTACAGGGACTTCTCTGGTAGTCCAGTGATTAAGAATCCACCTTCCAATGCAGGGGACATGGGTTCCATCTCTTGTTGGGGAACTAAATCCACACGCTGCAATTACTGAGCCTGTGTGCCACAATAAAGACCCATGGCAGCCAAAATTTTTAAAAAATAAAACTTTTTTTAAATTAAGAAGAATGAGCCTATAAACAGTTACAAAGGCATATTTTATCTCATATAAATTTTATCACAATTTAAAAAAATCTTTAAAGCTATAGGTTGAAGGAGTATGTCTGTCTACCTTCTGTAATATGGCAAAAAGATAAATGATTTCATGGCCACACATTTCTCCTATCCCAACAAGTCCACTCCTTAGCAGTGCCACTCTGCTGTTCCAGTTCTCCAGAATTCTAGAATGAACAGAAGTTACTTTTTTAATTAGAAAAAAAAAATTAACTTTACTTTTAAAAAATGGTTTACATGTAAGCTGCTTTGGAAAATGCAGTGATACCCCTGAAAATACCTGGAAGTCACAGGCAGAACCCATCTCCAGCTCCGGCCCTATAATCCACGAAGGCATGTGGCACCACAGGGGAGAAGCAGGTTACCTACCCCACCCAGCTGCTGAATGGCCCCCGTCAAAAACTGGAGGTTTTTGCCGGCAGGCAGATCCAAGTAGAAGGACTTTCCAGAAAAGGGCTGCCTCCTGGCATCTGGTGAGCTCTTCTGGCATTTTCCCAGACAACTGGAGACTCCGAGCTGAGCTCCTAGAAAACAGCAGTTAAAGGGGAAGACAGTGAAAAGCCTGAGGTAAGAGAAAGCCCCGGGGGTTAAGCAGCCTTCGCTGCTGCCAGGCCCTGGGCACCAAGGTGGACACGAGGTTCCTGCCCTTGGGAAGCCCAGGTGCAGAGAAACCCAATCCTCATACATGGATGTTGGGAAGGTAAAATGGTGCAGCCACTTTAGACAACAGTGCAGCTGCTTCTCAAAAGGTTAAGTATAGAGGTAACATGAGCAACTGGATTCTTAGGCATACTCCCAGGAGAAATGAAAACATACATCCAGATAAAGTTCATAGCAGCATTATTCACTGTAGCCCCAAAGTGGAAACAATTCAAACATGAATAAAACAGTAAGCAAAATGCAGTATATTCATATGATGGAATACTCTTTGGCAATTAAAAACCAATGAACCATCAGGACTTCCCTGGTGGTCCAGTAATTAAGAGTCTGCCTGCCAATGCAAGGGACACCAGTTCAATCCCTGGTTGGGGAACTAAGATCCTACATGCCATAGGGATCCAGTGGCAGCCAAATTAATTAATGAAAAAAATGAAAGTGAAAGTCACTCAGTCGTGCCTGACTCTTTGCAACCCCATGGACTACACAGTCCATGGAACTGTCCAGGCCAGAATACTGTAGTGGGTAGCCTTTCCATTCTCCAGCGGATCTTTCCAACTCAAGAATCGAACCAGGGTCTCCTGCATCACAACACACTGTGGAAAATCCTTAAAGAGATGGGAATACCAGATCACTTGATCTGCCTCCTGAGAAATCTGTATGCAGGTCAAGAAGCAACAGTTAAGACCAGACATGGAACAACCGATTGGTTCCAAATTGGGAAAGGAGTATATCAAGGCTGTATATTGTCACCCTGCTTATTTAACTTATATGCAGAGTACATCATGAGAAACGCTGGGCTGGATGAAGCATAAGCTGGAATCAAGATGGCAGGGAGAAATACCAATAACCTCAGGTATGCAGACGACACCACCCTTATGGCAGAAACCAAAGAACTAGAGAGACTCTTGATGAAAGTGAAAGAGGAGAATGAAAAGCTGGCTTAAAACTCAACATTCAGAAAACTAAGATCATAGAATCTGGTCCCATCACTTCTCGGCAAATATATGGGGAGAAAAAGGCAACAGTCACAGACTTTATTTTCTTGGGCTCCAAAATCACTGCAGATGGTGACTGCAGCCATGAAATTAAATGCTTGCTCCTTGGAAGAAAAGCTATGACTAACCTGGACAGCATATTAAAAAGCAGAGACATTACTTTACTGACAAGGATCTGTCTAGTCAAAGCTATGGTTTTTCCAGTAGTTATATATGGACGTGAGATTTGGACCATAAAGAAAGTTGAGCGCCCAAGAATTGATGCTTTTGAACTTTGAACTGTGGTGTTGGAGAACAGTTTTGAGAGTCTCTTGGACTGCAAGGAGATCAAACCAGTCAATCCTGAAAGAAATCAGTCCTGAATATTCATTGGAAGGACTGATGCTAAAGCTGAAGCTCCAATACTTTGGCCACCTGATGTGAAGAACTGACTCATTGGAAAAGACCCTGATGCTGAGAAAGATTGAAGGCAGGAGGACAAGGGGACAACAGAGGATGAGATGGTTGGATGGCATCATCGAATTGATGGACATGAGTTTGAGCAAGCTCCAGGAGTGGGTGATGGACAGGGAAGCCTGGTGTGCAGCAGTGCATGGGGTCGAAAAGAGTCGGCCATGACTGAGCGACTGAACTGAACTGAATGAAGAAAAAAATCTCTTCCCAAAATAGTTCCTGGTCTAATGAAGTCAGAGGTGGACCCAAAGGAGAGAGTAAACAAGAATATGAGCCTGACAAAACTAAGAGGACAGATACTGACTGCGGTGGCTTCTCTTGTTGTGGAGCACGGGCTCTAGGGCATGTGGACTTCAATAGCTGTGGTTCCTGGGCTCCAGAGCACAGGCTCAATATCTGTGCAGCACAGACTTAGCTGCTCTGAGGTGTGTGAGATCTTCCCAGATCAGGGATCGAACTTGTGTCTCCTGCATTGGCAGGTGGATTCTTTACCACTGAGCCACCAGGGAAGCCCCCGGACCTGATATTTTTAAAAATTTTCTAAAACTCTTTGATTTTATAAATTCCTGCAACTCTCCTATCTACCATCCAGCCAGGCTTTTAATTGGACCTCCTTAGTTAAACCCTGCTTGCCCTGATGAGATACTATTTTTCTTTTTCTGAGTTACAAATTACTTATTATCTGTCCTTGTAGTATTTTCAGCTTCATATTCTTGTTTACTCACTCCTTTGGGTCTCCATTAGATCGAAAACTACTTGGGAAAGAGATTTTTTTTTTAAAATTTGGTTGCACTGGGTCTCAGTTTCGTCAGGTGGGATCTTTAGCTGTGGCATGTGGGATCTAGTTCCCCTACCACCGACTGAACCCAGGCCCCCCTGCATTGGAAACTTGGAGTATTAGCTACGGCACCACCAAGGAGTCCCTGGGAAAAGATGTTTGACTTACATGTGATTACCATTCCCATAATGCTTAAACTAGATCCTGCTTTCCCATCCTCAGCTAGCATCTGACCTTCAAGCATTCATCCTCTGGTCCTGTAAACCTCCCTTTTCCTGAAAGTCCTAGGTATATAGAGACCGAAAACTGGAAAGTCAGCTTGGCATTTAACAGAAAAGGCCTTTGTTCTGAGTCCTGCCTCCATCTCTTACTAACTGCAACCCTGAGTAAGTCACAGTAATCTCACTTAGGATGTCTCAGTCTCTATTTCCTCATTTCTGAAACAGTGGTAATAATAAACACCCACTCTCATGGGCAGTCCATATGGGATAAGTAAAATATCATAAATGGTGTCAGGTAATGGTATTTAGGAGCTATTCAAATACTTAATGAGCACTCAGGATGGAGACTGGCCAGAAACATCTGATCCGGCCATACCAGAAATACCAGCTGGATGTCAGGCCAGGGCATTATTCTAACTGTAGCCATTTTGGGTCCCTCCCCAAGGCCATCTTCTCCAGAAGGTGAGCCATGAAGGGTCGTAGCTCCCCAACCAGGGACTGAACCGGTAACCCCTGCATTTGGAGGTGAAGTCTAAACCACTGAACTGCCAGGGAAGGTCCTCTTTTTCCTTTTATTGAGCAGTCTAACTGACATACAACATTATATTAGTTCCAGGGGATACAACATAATGATTCAATATTTGTATAGAGGGCTTTCTCAGAGTAAGCCCTTTTGACATTCACACAGGCCTACAACTTTCTCCAGAGGACCTAATCCTAGGGAACTCTCTGAAGAAAGAAGGAATTAGATGAGATGAACAGCAGAGTCAGACACTGGCGTACGGGTGCAGGCGGCACTGTGCTGGGTGAACAGCACGCCTAGAGCGGAAGAGTGCCAGGACTCGCAGGAGGGTGAGACTGGAGAATAGCTTCTAGTTGTGTTCAGCGGGTCCCTGCCTGCCTGCAGCCAGTGCAGGTGAGCAGTCCAGCACCAACCAGAGACGGTAGGGTAATATCAGGGCAGTGGTGGAGTGTGTGTGTGTGTGTGTGTGTGAGTGTGTGTGTGTGTGTGTGTGTGAGTGTGTGTGAAGCAATTAACAAAAGGTCAGGGTCAAGGGGAGTTGTGAAGTCAAGGTCAGTGAGCTGGTTGGCACAAATGAACTTTCCTCCCTTCTCACTATTCATTTGGTGAATTAGGAAATTACAACTCAAGGGAAACAGCAGCTCTTGCAAATAAGTAGTACAAGGGAACACATGTATTAGGGGATGGTGGTGGTGACTGAGCCCACATTGGAACCAGGGGCTCCCCACCTTAGGGTGGCTTTCCTCCTCTAACCAAACCCCAACCCCTGAACTCAAAGGAGGAGCATAACACAGAACCTAAGCTTTTGCATCTTCCTTCCAGGAGCACATTATCAGTTAGAGTGGCTAGCAGTCTCAAGGGAACATTAGCTTCTAAGAAAATATGAGGCAACCGAAGAAAGCAAGTACTATAAAAGAAGCTTTCTTTGGCATAGGTTGTCCTGCTGTCATAAGTAATGGACCAGACAGAAAGAAGAATTTTAAAGCATAATAAATATCTCAAGAAGGCAAGGAGCATACTAGAAACGTAAAAGAAGAACAGCAGGTAAATAAATTAATTAATTGAAGATAAGGGATATAAAAAAACACAATAATTAAAAAACACCTCAAATAATAATTAAAAAAAAATCCAGTTTTAAAAATAAGCAACAGATAGACATTTCTCCAAAGGTATACAAATGACCAATAAGCACATGAAAAGATACACAAGGTCATTAGCCTTGTTAGGAAAATATAAATTGAAACCACAAAGAGATACCACTTGAAACCCACTGTCTGTGTGCTGAGTCCCTCAGTCGTGTCCATCTCTTTGCGACTCCATGGTCTTTAGCCTGCCAGGTTCCTCTGTCCATGGGGATTCTCCAGACAGGAATACTGGAGTGGGTTGCCATGCCCTCCTCCAGGGGATCTTCCCAACCTAGGGATCCCACCCAGGTCTCCTGCATTGCAGGCAGATTCTTTACCGTCTGAGCCACGAGGCAAGTCCAATAAGAGAACTGCTTAGCAGGCCCCAGCGAGATATGAACTCCCGACACCTGGTTTATAAGACCAGTGCTCTAAACCCTGAGCTATAGGATCTTATGCCAAACCCACTAGGATGGCTTTAACAAAAAAGACAGATAATAACAAGTGTTGGTGAGGACCCACAGAACTGGAACCCTCATACTTTGTTGGTGGGAATGTAAATGGTGTAGCCAATGGGGAAAGTCTGCCAGTTCCTCAAAAAGTTAAACAGAGACTTACCATAGGACCCAGCAATTATACTTCTAGGTATACATTCAAAGAAAAAAATGATAAGCTGGAAACAAATATTTATAACAGTATTATTCATAATAGCCAGGAAACATAAAACTCTTCTGTCCATCAACTAATGAATGGATAAAATGTGGTAATCCACACAAAGAAACTAAAGAACATGAGCCTCCAGGTGGAAAGTTTCTACCAGGTGCTAGCTCCATGAATGAAGAAAGTCCCATGGCACACTATTCATGAAATTTCAGGATGCTGCAGAGAGAAGAGTTTGGCTTCATTTCAGGTAATACTGGACAGCAGGTTACCTAAAAGCCCTCCTAACACAAGTATCTAAAAATACCAGCTGAAACAGAAATACCAATCCTATCTAAATGCTAAGTCCACAAAATTAGTAAGAAGACAACAAAAGTGCCCCACATGATGAGAAAGTTGAAAACCACAGTGGTGAAAGTGAATGCTGACTGCCCTGAGGGAGTCTGTGGACTTAAAAGCAAACAGTTTGGGACTGAAGAGCCACAAGAGCCCTAGAGATGAGGTCTTATGCAAGCCTAAAGTGGGGAGTGAAGATTGGGAACTCCTGCATGAATCTCGGAGAAAAGGGAAGCCAGAAAAGAATCCATCCACTAGAAAAGACAAAAAAGGAATACTGCCTACCTTAGCCTGGGCTCCACATGAAAGGAAAATCTTCACTGAAAATCCAAAGTACAAGCCTCCCAAGAGACTGGAGTTCCAATTCATACCAGTCATGTGGATTAAGAACCCATTACCCCCATCACCCAACAGAGATTAACATTAAAAAGTAATCCCAGCTAGGGTTTTCCTGGTGGTTCAGTGGTAAAGAATCCACCTGCCAATGCGGGAGACATGGGTTTGACCCCTGATCCAGGAAGATCCCACATGCCTTGGAGCAGCTGAGCCCGAGACACAATTATTGAGCCTGTGCTCCAGAGGCCGCATGCCCTAGAGACCGTGCTCTGCAACAGGAGAGGCCACTGCAATGAGAAGCTTGTGCACGGCAACTAGAGTGACCCTCCTGGACGAAACTAGAAAGAGCCTTAGTAGAAAAGAAGACCCAGTGCAGTCAAAAATAAAAAAATAAGAATTTTAAAAAAACAGAGAAATGTGCACAATCATTTGCAGATGAATGGTTGATATTCAGTTGCTAAGTTGTGTCTGACTCTGCAGCCCCATAAACTGCAGCATGCCAGGCTCCTCTGTCCTCCACTATCTCATGGAGTTTACTCAACTTCACGTCCATTAAGTCAGTGATGCTATCTAACTGTCTCATGTCTGCCACCCCCTTCTCCTTTTGCCTTCAATCTTTCCTAGCATCAGGGTCTTTTCCAATGAGTCAGCTCTTTGCATCAAGTAGCCAAAATATTGGAGCTTCAGCTTCAGTTATCAGTCCTTCCAATGAATATTCAGGGTTAATTTCCTTTAGGATTGCCTGGTTTGATCTCCTTTCAGTCCAAGAGATTATCAAGAGTCTTCTCCAGCACCACAGTTTGAAGGCATCAATTCTTTGGTGCTCAGCCTTTTTTACAGTCCAACGCTCAAATCTTTACATGACTACTGGAAAAACCATAGCTTTGACTATGCAGACCTTTGTTGGCAAAGTAATGCCTCTGCTTTTTAATATGCTCTCTAGGTTTGTTATAGCTTTTCTTCCAAGGAGCAAGCGTCTTTTAATTTCATGGCTGTAGTCACTGTCCATAGTGATTTTGGAGTCCAAGAAAATAAAATTTGTCATTTTTCCACTTTTTTTCCTTCTAGTTGGCATGAAGTAAGGGACCAGATGCCATGATCTTAGTATTTTGAATGCTGAGTTTTAAGCCATCTTTTTCACTCTCCTCTTTCACCATCATCAAGAGATTCTTTAGTTCCTCTTCATTTTCTGCCATTAGAGGGTTGTCATCTGCATATCTGAGGTTGATATTTCTCCTGGCAATCTTGATTCCAGCTTGTGATTCATCCAGTCTGGCATTTTGCATGATGTTCTCTGTATATACAGCCTTGTCATATTCCTTCCCCAATTTGGAACCAGTCAGTTGTTCCATGTCTGGTTCTAACTGTTGCTTCTTGACCTGCATGTTTTCAATTCTTGTATTTTCATTTTTATGAAAACTAAAACCCTCTGAAATTAACACAGTTATGTTATTGTGAATTTTAAGAACAAATACAAAGAGAATAATCTAAAATCTTCTACAGGGGAAAGCAGGTCATACACTAAGGAACAAGAATCAGATTGACATCAATTCTCAACAACATCTACTTTTTAGCAAGAAGAGACCACTGCCACTTTTCAATGTGTTGAACAGAAAAAAACTGACTCAAGAACTTTAATACAAGAGTAAAATAAAGATGTTCTCAGGCATACAAGCCTCAAAAAGTTTATCACATAAAGCCCCCTTTTGAAAATATGCTTGGAGGAAGTTCATCAGCAAGAAGAGAACTAGATCCAGAAGAAAGCAACACCACATGGGAAGGGGGAGTGAATAATTTAGTGAAATATATCACCATTTAAAAGGCAACAATGAAATGGCATATCTGTAAAAATCCAGAACTCAAACTAGACGATACTAAGAGGGCAGAAAGGAACATTGAGAGAAGTGACTAATGCTAAAATACTTATCTAATTGGGTGGGGCTCTTTAAGTTTATCAATAAATTTAAGAATTTTATGGTAAAAGTAACCATGAATATAGGTTTAATAAGTTACTCCATCCTGACCTTTATCATGACATCCCTCAACACAAACAACCCCTCCCAACACACACACACACACACACACACACACACACACACACAATAACTAGAAAACCCCAAGAGAGCTAACATTTCTCGGCCTTTTCTTCCCAAGAGACTCTGGGGCAGCAGTACCAACTGTGACCTCGAAACCCTCATTTTGGCCCTGTTACCTACCTGGGTCCGGAGCCCGTAGCTTACTCTCATCCATTGAACTCTCCAGCTGAAGGCGATCGTTGCCTGAAAAAGGACAAAACATCAGGTGAACCACCTCCACTAATCTTCGACCTTCCATCATCCCCTCCTCCAACCTCCCAAATCCTGCACAATTTCCATCGAGGTTCCCGGGAACCCCAAGACTCAACTCCATCCCAACCCACATCCCTTCTCAACTCCCGCGCCTCCTTCCAGGCTCTTGTTCCCCCAGATCCTCCGCCCCTTTAGACCTCTGTCTCCTCAATTCCTACGACCCCTCCCCGGTCCCTCTACCCTCCCCAGCTCCCGTAACCTATCTGCTTCCCAATTCCTGTGCCCACTTTCCAAACCCGAACCCCTCTTCAACTCCTTTGACCCTTTCCACCTTCCTTCTTATCCCCTCTTCCGCTTTTCGGCATCCGTACCCTTTCCCGGATCCCTCCTCCAATTCTCTGCTCTTTCCCGGCCTCCGTACTCCTTCAAGGCCACCGTATCCCAATCGCGGGCTCCATGGGCTCTTTCAGGCTCCCTCGCACCGACTGCTTCTCTGCAACTACAGCATATTCTCTAGGCGCCCTCGACCGCGGGTTCGGTTTAAATTTCCTGTTTGCCCCGCCCCTAAAATTACGTAAGAGCTGTGAGACTGCCATACGGAGGCCCTCGGAGGACAATATTAGCAGGCCAACCTCTCTCTTCCCCTTCAATTTTCACTCTGCTCTTTCTGTCTCTTCATCTGTCCACTTTTCATAGGCTTGAGATCTTTTGGGGTTTAATAGCCAGCGAGCTGGGGACTAGCAGTAGCGTCTTAGTGATTCTTCACATTGAGCTAGTTTGAAATTCCTAGGGGTTCAATAATAACAAAATAAACCTAACGCTTATAGATACAGCGTTTACAGTTTACATAAAGATTTCACATACATAGAATTTCATCTTCACATCTTTTGTCTCCTCTTATTTTCCACTTATCCACCCACCCCAAAAACAAAACAAATCTCAAAAGTGGTGGCTCCATTCCCCACTTGCATGTTTTCTCCAGTTCTCCTGATTAGAGCTTGATTCTCACCTATCAAAAGCGTCCTTACTCAGCCAACTGTGACTTCCATTTTCCCCTAGCTGACTTCTAGAACATTGAAACAGACTACTTCCTCCTTCTTTAAACACTTTCTTCCTTTTGCTTCCATTTCTACCCATTTTCACCTTAGCGCAATGGGCTTCTCCATCTCGTTTGCTGGATCCGATGCCACTTCCACTTATAAATGTTGGTGTGCATCAAGGCTTTAGCTTTTAGCCCTCTTCTCTTCCCTATTAACACTTTCTCCCAAGGAGATCTCTTCCAACACCATAACTTTCCAATTCAGCTCTGTGTTAACGCCTGAGTTCTGACTTCTCCCCAGATCTCCAGACATATGGCCAAGTATCTACTGGATATTTCCATTTAGGTGAAGACTACGCACTTCAGGCTTATCAAGTTCAACATTTGTTCCACTGCCCCCCCCTCGCAAAAAAACCTCCTCACCTATCCTTATCCCAACTCATTATCCACTCAGTTCAAACCTATGTTGTAAAAAAAAAAAAAATTTATCTTTCAGAACTTTCCTTTACCCCCACCCTGCTCCCAAAACAAATTCTACCAATTCCAAAGTACCTCTTAAATCAGACCCAGCCACTAATTTCTTGCCCAAAATACTGCAGTTAATTCCTAACATACTTCTATGCTTAAATAGCTTTCTACCTCTTCCCAATATAATCCATGTTCCATGAGCAACCAGCATTGTTCATTAAACCCATGGTAGAAGTGTATGTACCACAAACACCTTGTCTCCCTTCCAGTGGGGCCTCTCCCTGCAGAAGATTTGAGTTCCTGGGGAACCCAAGCTTGGCCATGTGACTTGCTTTGGGATGAAAAAAAAAAGAAAACAAGTGACACATCACTTCCAAGAATAAGTTTAAAAGCCAGTCTGGTTTATCAAGTTCTCTTTTCCCTTATCTAGCAATGTCCAGTCAGAGAGTACCCTATCAACATGGGTTCCTTGGTGAAGAAGACTTGCAACAGAACCGTGGGCAAGCCATAACTGACATGTAGCATGAGTGATAGTTGCTCAGTCGTGTCCGACTCTTCGTGACCCCATGAACTGTAGCCTGTCAGGCTCCTCTGTCCATGGAATTCTCCAGGCCAAGAGTACTGGAGTGGGTTGCCATTTCCTTCTCCAGGTAGCATGAGCCAGAAATAAACCTTTGTTGTTGTAAGCTACTGAGATTTGGGCATCATTTATTACCTGGGGCTTCCCAGGTGATTCAGTGGTAAAGCATCTGCCTGCCAATGCAGTAGACATTGCAGTAGACATGCAGGGTTTGATCCCTGGGTCGGGAAGATCCCCTGCAGGAGATGGCAATCTACTCCAGTTATTTCTTGCCTGAGAAAGCCCACGGAGGAGCCTAGTGGGTTACAGTTTGCGGGGTTGCAAAGGGTCAGACACAACTTAGTGACTAAACAACAACAACCAGAATCTAGCTCAAGTTTCTCAAAGTGTGGTTCAGCCCTTTCAGAAGGTTCCATGAGGTCAAAACTCTTTTTACAATGACACTAACATGATTATTCATTTTTGCTCTCATTGTGTCATGAATGTTCAATAGAGTATGCAAAAGCAAAAATGAGAATCTAGCACTTTTTCATTATAGCAGATATTTAAAAGATTTGCAGAAATGTAAAATAATGTCACTCTTTTAATTCCATCAAAAATGCATCATTGGGACTTCCCTGATGGTGCAGTGGATAAGAATCCGCCTGCCAAGGCAGAGGACGTGGGTTTGATCCCTGATCCGGGAAGCTCCCATGTGCCTCAAAGCAACTAAGTCCTTGCACCACAACTACTGTGCCTGAGCACTGCAACTGCTGAAACCGTGTGCCTAAAGCCTGTGCTCCACAAGAGGAGCCGCCTCAGTGAGCAGCCTGTGCACTGAAACTAGAGAGTAGCCGCCGCTGTCCGCAACTAGAGAACGCTAACACCAAAAATAAATTTAAAAATATCATAGTGTGTACCTGTCAAAAAAAATTTTTTTAAGTGCTTAAGAAAATGCATCATTTATCTTAACACACAGTGGGCTTATTTTGAAATGAATAAATGCATTTTAAACTTGTTTTACTTTCTAATATGGTAAACATCAAATATGATTTTATAAGTATATACAGAAATACATAAAATATATTTATTAGTACAAATTTAAAGATACCCACATGGTGGTAGTTGGTCTCAAAGATGGCCTGCAATGACTATCCTTGACTACTGATCATCATTGTTTAATCGCTAAATTTTGTCTGATTCTTTTGTGACCCCATGGAATGTAGCCCACCAGGCTCCTCTGTCCATGGGATCTCCCAGGCAAGAATACTTGAGTGGGTTGCCATTTCCTTCTCCAGGGGATCTTTCTGACCCAGGGATCCAACTCAAGTCTCCTGCAAGTCTCCTGCATTGGCAGGTGGATTCTTGACCACTGAACCACCAGGGAAGCCCCCCTGATAGTCATACTCACATCCAGTAAGGCTATATACCAATAGAGTATTTTCAAAAATGTTTATTTATTTATGTTTGGCTGTGCTGGGTCTTCACTGTTGCACACGCTTTCTCAAGTTGCAGTGAATAGGGGCTACTGACTAGTTCCGATGTGCAGGCTTCTCACTGTGGAGGCTTGTTTATTGTAAAGCACAAGCTCTAGAGCACAGGCTCAGTGGTTGTGGCATTCAGGCCTAGTTGCCCTGCAGCAAGTGGAATCTTTCCAGACTCGGGATCGAGCCCATCTACCCTGCATTGGCAGATGGATTCTTAACCACTGGATCATTGGGGAGCCTCTGTACCAATGGAGTATTGAGGAAACGACAATGTGTGACTCTGGAGGCTAGGTCATAAAAGACATCTCAATATCTTCATTGCTCTTTCTCAGATGCCTGCTGTGGAGGAAGCCAGCTGCCATGACATGGGGGCACTCAAGTATGCCTGTGGAGAGGCTCCTCGTGGAGAGGAACCGAGGCTTCCTGCCAACAGCTGGCCCCGACCTCCCCATCTGTGGCCTAGCCATCTGGCAGGTAGATCCTTCAGCCTAGTTTTCAGATGACTGCAACCTCACAAGAGACCCCAAGTCAGAAAAATTCCAGCCAAGCTGCTCCTAAGTTGCAGGCCCACAGAAACTGAGAAAATAAATGACTAATGTTGTTTTAAGTCCCTAAATTTTGAGGTGATTTGTTACACAGCAATAGATTAACAAATGTACACATAAACAAAAAAGCTGTTTGGGATTCTCCATTTTAAACAATGTAAAAGGGAGGGAATTCCCTGGCTGTCCAGTAGTTAAGAATTCCGGCCTGCCACTGCCTAGGGCCTGGGTTCAGATCTCAAAAGCTGTGCAGCCAAAAAACAAAAACGAAAAGGGCCTAAAACCAGAACTTAACCTTATCTTCACTGACAAAATCAGATCAAATTCCTTTTTTAAAAAATTCCCAGTGACCAGAGGCTTTCCCAGTTTGCTCCTCAGACCAAACTTCTCTGAGTCTTGAACGGACCTAGCTCATTCCTGCCTTAGGACCTTTGCATCAATGGTTCCATTTCCCAGATCTTCTCTGTCCTTTTAGGCATCAGGTCAAATCTCATTTTTTTCAGATAGGACTCCTGAGACTGCCCAACCTAACGGTAGTTTACTTGTTTGTGGTCTATATTTCCCCCCTAGAAGGTTAAGTTTATAGAACAAGGACCTTTTCTGTTTTACTCACTGCTATATCCCCAAATTAAGAATGTAGTAGATTCTTCTTTTTTTAAAAAACTCATTTATCTGGCTGTGCCGGATTTTAATTAACAGCACACAAGATCTTCAGGGTCTTTATTTATCTGTGGCATGTGGGAGCTAGTTCCCTGACCAGGGATCGAACTCTGGCCTGCTGCATTGGGAGCATGGGGTCTTAGCCAGTAGATGAACAAGGAAGTCCCAAGAATGTAGTACATTCTTAATGAATGTTGTTAAATGAGTGAAAAAAAATTAATCTCTCTGATCTTCATTTTTTTTTCATTTGTAAAGTGAAGATAATAATTACCAGGCAGTGAGGTTTTAAAGATTAAAGATGTGTTTAGCAAAGTCTGTGAACAGAAAAGGGTAGCTTTTACTGTGTGTGTAAGTCACTCAGTTGTGTCCGATTCCTTGTGACCGCATGGACTATAGCCTGCCAGGCTCCTCTGTCTATGGAATTCTCCAGGCAAGAATACTGGAGTGGGTTGCCATTTCCTTCTCCAGAGGATGTTCCCCACCCAGGAATTGAACCTGGGTCTCCTGTATTGCAAGCAGACTCTTTACCATCAGAGCCACTGGGAAAGAATATTTACTACTTGGCAGAAAATATTTTGAGATAGTAATTCAAATTGTTCTTTCTGGTTGTTTTTGATTCCTGAGGGGAAGTGCTTAGAAGAAAAATCAGTCATACCATAAGAGCAAGGATTGATTTTTCAATATCTAAAAAACTTGTACAGATAGATCCAGAAAAGATCAACCACCCAATTGAAAAATGGGTATGGGAACAATCACAGTAAGGGAAATACAAAGAGCATTCAAATATGCTCAACCTCACTTAAAATAAGATAAATGCAAATGACATCTATATCAAAATACCATTTTTCACTTAACAGACTGGTGAAGATCAGTTTCTCGGGAGAGTGCCAAATTGCCTTACGTAGGCCAGACACTCCTGTGTAAGGCAATTTGGCAAGCTGTAGGAAAATTATAAACGCATGTATCTTTCCACCCAGCAGTCCTGTGTCTAGGAGTTCTTCTACAGATACACTCATACATACGGGATATGACTTCTGTAATAGAGGTATTTACTGAAGCATTACCATATCTAGAAGCTATATGATGTTTATTAGACAAATATCTATAAAATAATGACACAGAAAAGGGATGCACATATATCTATTTATTTAATGCTACGAATACAATATGGAATGCATACTATAACATTCAAAATGCTTTAAAAATAGTAATTAATCTTTATAACAATCCTCTGAGGTAGGTAGTAACTAAACCCATTTCATATTGAGGTTAAAAATTGGCTTGAGGTCACATACCTAAAAGGTGTTAGTGCTGGAATTTGAACCCCAGCAGCCTGACTTCAGAATCCATGCTCTTCATGTTGTTTTCTGCTGCTTCTCAATGTAGGGTAAATGGAAATCTGATACAGTGATATTAAATTCTGACAGAATAGATTTTGAGAGATAAGGATTATTAGGAATACATATGTCATTTTTGATGATAAACAGTTTACCAGGGACTAAATAACCTAGTCCTTATATGACTCTAACAACATCAAAATAAGCCAGAAAGGGAAGGAAAAACTATAAAATCTACAATATATAAGGAAATTTTAAGATACTTTTCTCCTAAAAATAGATGATAGATGAAACAAAAATAAAATAAGACTAGTAACATATAAAAGATTCAATGAGGAGAATTTCCTGGTGGTCCAGTGGTAAAGACTTCATCTTCCAATGCAGGGTTCGATCCCTGGTTGAGGAACTAAGATCCCATGCGCCATCCAGGAGGACAAAAATTTAAAAAATTAAAAAATAAATAAAAGATTCAATGATATAACTAACAAATTTTAATATATAAATATTAGAAAATACTCTCAAGGACATGGAATGTTAAAAAAATTGACTTGAACTATGCCACTAGAGTATAAACCAATGCCAAAATACCAGTATCAGACAGAACACATCCTATGACCACAAAATGAAGTTAGAAATCAATAACAAAAAGTTAAGTTTTTTTAAAGAGTAAAACAAAACACATTACTCTGGAATTTTAAAAACCACATTTCTAAATAATTCATGATAGAATGATAAAACAATGGAAATTGCAGTATATTTAGAACCTCACCAATGAAAAACTATAGCTCAAAAGCTGTTAAATTCCTTTTTAAAAGCTGTAAAATTCAGCTAAAGTAAGTAGAGAGAAAGTATGACCTTAAATGTGGATGCTATATTAGAAAATCAGAGTGAAAATGAATTAGCTAACTGTTCACCTTGAGAGGTCAGAAAATGAAAAGTACGCCCAAAGATTATGGATAGTCAGAAATAATAAAAGATAGAAATTAATGAAATTAAGAAAAATTAATAAGATCAATGAAAAAATTAAGAAAAAAGGAAAGAAAAAGTAGATTCCTACAAATAAGCATGACAAAGACAAATAATCTAATAGAAAAACCCACAAGGGATATAAACAGGCAATTCAAAGATGAGGTAATTTTGGACTTCCCTGGCAGTCCGGTGGTTAAGACTCCAAGCTCCCAACGCAGGGGACATAGGTTTGATCCCTGGTCATTAAGATCCCGGATGCTACCTGGTGCAGCCAACAAACAAACAAACGGATAAACAAAAGAAACAAAAAAAATGAGGAAATTTTAATGGCTGATAAATATATAAAAAGTACTCAGACTCAATTGTAATTAAATGCAAATTAAGCCTAAGCTAGTAATGCAAATTAAACAATTAGAAGCTCTTTCACACCCTTTTCACTAGCAAAAATTAAACTATATTAAAAGCAAGTTTTAGTAAAAACATGAAGGCAAGGGAATGTAAACTGGGACAAGCGCTTGGGAGAGCAATATGGTGGTAGCCAGCAAGGCTCATGCCCTTCAACCCAGCAATTCTGTTTCTTGATATATCCTGGTCTCTGAAGAGAGGTGTGCACCCCTCAGACACAAGATATTCACAGAGGTGCCAAAAGAAAGCATTAGTATTTACATTTTTATTTACTTTTGGCTGTGCTGGGTCTCGGTTGCTGTGTACAGGCTTCTCATTGCAGTGGCCTCTCTTGTTGCAGAGCACAGGCTCTAGTTCGGCTTCAGGAGTTTCAGTAGTTTCAGCTCTTGGGTCCTGGAGCATGGACTCAGTAGTTGTGGCTCTCAGGCTTTAGTTGCCTGTGATATCTGGACTTCCTGGCTGGCTCAGTGGTAAAGAACTGCCTGCCAAGGAGGAGATGCAGGTTTTCGAGCCCTGGGTTGGGCAGATCCCCTGAAGAAGGAAATGGCTACCCATTCCAGTATTCTTGCCTGGGAAATCTCATGGACCGTCCATGGGGTCACAAGAGTCAGACACGACCTAGCCACTAAACAACAAAAATGTGGAATCTACCTGGACCAGGGATCGAAGTTGTGTCCCCTGCATTGGTAGGCGGAGTCTTATCCACTGTATCACCAGGGAAATCCTAAATATATTTTTTTATTTAAGAGAAAAACAAGCAAGCTTAATAATCTTTAGTAAGCAGGCTAACGCTGGTGTCCTCATGTGCTCTTGTCAGAGATCCCGGCTTACACAGTAAAGCAACTGAGCTATCTGGGTAAAGGGTAAGGGCGCTTCCTACCTAGACAGGTTGTCTGTGTTTTCTCTGCAGAGTTCGGCCTGAGTTGGTTTTACACTGTTCCCCACAATTTACACATCCCCAGATAAATTTATATATTATGCTATCTGGATTTTCCTAACCCCCAGAAGTGAATAAGAGGCTTAATAAGATTTGTCCAAAGAAGCAAAGTTAAGATTACAAATAATCCGAATGACACACACAAGTGAACACTCCAGGTACAAACTTTCAGGTTCAGTGAGGAGTCAGCTGGCCAATGGTTGAGAAAAATCACTTAAGTTCAAGAGGAACTCTTGCCAGTAATGAATCCTTTGCCTTATTCAAGTGTACACTTGAAAGTAGTTCAGATGGTAAATTTTATGCTATGAGCATTTACAATCAAAAATTTTAAATAGTAATAAGGTAGGAAGGGAATGAAGCATATTCAGCCACATTATTTTCACTAAGTATTTTGGTACGAAAAGCAAATAAATATTTATAACATATTATTTCTCTTTTAAATCAACCTTTTGTTATTTATTTTTTGGCTGTGCCGTATGGCACATGGGATCTTGGTTCCCTGACCAGGGATATAACCTGGGCTGCCTGCATTGGAAGCGTGGAGTCTTCATCACCAGACTGCCAGGGAAGTCCTTAACCACCCTTTCTAAGTTTCCTTCTTATATATCTTATGATGGACATACTAATTTTGTATAGTGGTTTACACTATTATGTAATTCATAAATACATATTCATATGCTAGGTATGCAAAGCAAAAATATTTTTACTGCTAAAAGTATGTAGCAAAAATGTTTGATGCTCATTGGCCCAGAGAAATTTTTTCACAGGTAGGCAAGGAGATACATATAAGAATGGGACTTGAAGCACTGTTTGAAGAACTGGGAAATAATCTAAATGCCCATCAGCAGACAAATGAATCAGCTGGGCTATATTCAAGCAATGGAATATTACACAGTGGTTTAAATGAATGGATAAGAGCTACATGTATCAATACAGGAAAATATTTTCAAGATCTTAAATGGAAAAAGCATACTGCTGAAAGAAATGTCCAACATGTAAAACAATGTGATATATTGTTTATGGATACATACCCATGGATACACACATATTACATATGCATATGCATTAATATGTACTATGTTTAAAAACATTCAAGAGGAAGACAAATGCCAAGTTCAGGAACAGAAGTTACCTCTGGGTAGGGAAGGAAGCAAAGGAGATTTAAAACAAAAGATGCAAGGTAAATTAATGTAAGAAATAACATTATTTTTTATATTACTTTATTTTTTATTTATTTTCAGCCACATTGGGCAGCATGGGGGTTTGCAGTTCCCTGAACAGGCATAAAATCTGTGTCCCATGCATTGGGAGCATGGAGTCTTAACCACTGAACTACCAGAGAAATCCCAATAGCTCATACTTTTAGAACAAGTCTCCCTGAGTTCTCCTCAGTGACAACCATCTTCACATTCCCTTGTGCATCTTTCCAGATATTTTATGCACATGCCAGGTCACATATGTGTATGTATTTCTCCCCATCCTTCCTCTTTTAAACACAAATGGTAGCAAACAATACATATTATTCTGTGCCTCACTTTTTTTCTTTAACAATGTATCCTAAAGTTTGTTGTCAGTACATCAAGAGCTTCCTCCACTTTTATGGCTGCACAATCCCTGTTTCTGTGGCTTGAGTCTGTCTTCTGTAGACAGAATGTAAACTATTTCTGTTCTTTCACTACAATAAGCGTCACTGCAACACATATCCTATTATAAATGTCATTCTGCACACATGCACATATTATAATCAATTCCCAGAAGGAGAAATGTTGGGTCTTTTCAAACTGCCCTCCAGCAAGACTCTACCAGTTTATCTGCTGCAGCAACATTTCCTAGTGCCTATATCACCCAGTCATAGACCAACACTGTGTATTATCAGACTTTGAGAAGAAAACATGGTATCTCATTACAGGTTTAATTTGCATATTTTATTTATTTTTTATAGAATGTTTATTTGGCTGCACCAGGTCTTAGTTCCAGCATGTGGGATCTTCAATCTTCATTGTGGTGTAGGAGTTCTTTAGTTGCAGCATGTGGGTTCTTTAGTTGTGGCATGTGGGATCTAGTTCCCTGACCAGGGACCGAATCAGGGCCCCCTGTATTGGGAACTCTGAGGCTTAGTCACTGGACCACCAGGGAAGTCACTGTTTGCATATTTAAAAAATTATAAATGTGATGCTATTTTTTATAGTGTAAAAAGCCATCTTGATTTTTTTTCTATAAGTTTTCTGTCATTTGTCCAGTGGTATGAATTGGTTTTTTTGAACTATGAGCTAATAACTTTTGTAATAAAATAGCCAGCGAGGATTTTTTTAATTGCAGAATCTGTAGAGCCTTCCCTCAGTTTTGTGAGAAGCTTGTATGTGTCTTCAAAAAGCCTTCACTGCATTGTGCTAATAGTGGCTTCCTGATACTAATACTATAGCTATACAAGATGTTACCATGGGAGCATGCTGAGTAAAGGTGTACAGGTCTCTATGTACTAATTATGCCACTCCCTGTGAGTCTGGAATAATTTCAAATTAAAAAGCTCAGAAAGAACAAAATTTTGTGGTCCTTTCCTGATTGTGGGGGCTCTGACATCAAACTGTGATCCCTGAGTCATGACGGCTCCCAAGTCTGTTACCTAACAAACTCCACCTGCAAGACAGCCACTGTATTAAAATGTACATCTGAGAACTGAAACTGGGACAAGTCTTTGGGCGTTGACTCTGGCCTCTGACTCCATTATTGTTACATTCTAACTCAGGGAGCACACAGAAGACAAGAGGCTAACAGGCACATATCCTGTATTTCTACTGGGCTTTACAGTGTCCCATGTCCATCCATTTACATTATCCCAACGATAATAAAGGTAGAGAATTCTCTCAAGAGGCCCTTTGCCAGTTGTACCAGACCCTTCCTTTCCTTTTGCTGTCACCCCCTGAATATCTTCTATCTGAACTCTGTGGTTCAAGCTATCCATAATTCTCTGGAGGGCCCCCCACAGCTCCCTGCATCTGGGTCTGCTCATTTTCTCTTTCAGTCTTTTTGCCTAAAGGACTTTCACTTGCTCTTCAAAAAAGAGAAAGCCTCACCTCCACTAGGAAGCCTTCCTCCATCTCTCAGCTCCAGTTTCCAACTTCAATGCAACAAGCAAGGTTAACCTAATCTTCTTCTAGCCATCCTACCGCAATTTCCATTAGACACTGAAACATTTCTCTCACTGTATTGCCGTTATTAGTTTAAACATGTCTGTTCAACCCACTGAAAATCCTTTGAAGGGAGAGATTTTGTGACATTAATCTTTGCCTTTTAGTGCCCAGCAGCAATGCCAATAAATAGTTATTGACCTGTCAGCCTCCTCTGCAGTTCAGTGAAAGCCAACCTGGGTTCTTGGGTAATTCATTTCAGCCCAAAGTCAGGTGTTTTGAGAATCAGCTGAGACTCTTCCTGATGTAAAGGAGCACTTTCTTCTGGTTAGGCTCCCTGTAAATGTGTGAGTGTGTTTTTCCTTATTTTTACTATATGGACTATAAAAGCATCTCCTCACATGGTTGTTAGGAGGATTATAAGAGCTAATGCCTCAAATGGAGAAGGAAATGGCAACCCACTCCAGTATTCTTGACTAGAGAATCCCGTGGACAGAAGAGCCTGGTGGGCTGCTGTCTATAGAGTCGCACAGAGTCAGACACGACTGAAGCGACTTAGCATGCATTGGAGAAGGCAATGGCAACCCACTCCAGTATTCTTTTTTTTTTTTTTTTGTATTTATTTATTTATTTGGCTGCACCAGGTCTTAGTTGTGGCATGTGGGATCTAGTTCCCTGACCAGGGATCAAACCTGGACCCTTTGCATTGGGAGCACGGAGTCTTAACCACTGGACCACCAGGGAAGTCCCTCCAGTATTCTTGCCTGGAGAATCCCAGGGACAGGGGAGCCTGGTGGGCTGCCCTCTATGGGGTCGCACAGAGTCAGACACGACTGAAGCGACTTAGCAACAGCAGCAGCAATGCCTCAAAAGTTCTTAGATAACTGAAAATGGGTAAAGAAGGCTCTTCGAAGATATTTCTATGTGAGTGTTGACTGGGAGAATGAAAGAAACGACTGGAGGTTGCCAATTCATTTACTGAGCACCCACTATGTGTCCGGTACTGCGTTAAGCAAGCATGCTAGGTGCAGAGAAGCAACCGCAGCACTTTGGAGAGGCCTTAATTTAACACAGATTGCTGTGAATCAGGGAAGGTTTCTGGAGCTTGAGTTTGGATTGGGGGGGGGAGCGGGGGGGAACTTGGAAAGGTGCAGGTGGCAGTTGATAGCCATAGTGCATATTCCACAGAGCCGCCGGTTTCCTCCTTGAAAGCTGTGTGGGAGCGGGAGGCTTAGCTTTCTACGACTGGCGAGAAAGGGCGGCTTGGTGAGGCCTGTCAAAGCGCTGGAATCGAAGCTCAGTTCCAGTCCTGTTTAGTTAGTAGCCGCGTGACTTTGGCCAAGTCACTGAACTTCCCCAACTGTAAAAAAGAGTCTGTTAAGAATACTCACCTGCCAGGGTTCCAGAGAGACCGCATGATCGTGCATAAGCCAGGATGCGCTCTATTTAGAAGGTACAAAACGCACCAGCAGGTTACTACGGGTCGACTGGGCTCTAAGCCCGGCGAGCCGTGGGCGTGGATTTCCTCTCTGAGCATGCGCAGTGGGCCCGCGGCGCGGCCCGACAGGCACTGCGGTAGGCGCCCTGGGGGCTGGCAGGTCCCTGGCCCCAAGATGGCGGCGCCCAGCGCAGTTGCTGCTGCTGCCTCCAGCGAGAGAGATGGAGGGGGCAGCGGCTTTGAATCGTGGCTAGATGGACGGTTGGAGGCGCTGGGAGTGGACCGAGCCGTTTATGGCGCCTACATCTTGGGTGTCCTGCAGGAGGAGGAGGAAGAAGAGAAGCTGGATGCTCTGCAGGGTATTCTCTCTGCTTTCCTGGTGAGAAGCCTAGACACATTCCTTTAGCTTCTTAAACCGTTTCCTGTTAGTACTTCGTATCACCTTTCCCCTACCTAGTGTCCCAGAGGACTAGTGGTCTCACCTGGAAGAGGAATAATTTTCTGAGCCCTGGGCCTCGGGGACAGGGAGCTACTTTTCATCCAGGGTTTTGGGAGCCAGAAGGTTGCAGGTGCAGAGAGAGGAAAGGCTTTCTCTTATTTCTGAGGACAAGGCCCTCTTAGGTGCCGGGTCAGCTGGGTGAGTATTCTTCCAAAGGCATTGAAATGAGTTTTATCATCAACGCCTAACAAACAATTTCATTACCGTCCGTTGACAGTGTTGAGAGGGGGATATTAAGTGCTCTGGGATGTCTGCGACCCTTAGGAGGCAGAGCCCCTGACAAAAGCCCGCAGGAAGTACCCTCTTGGTTTCCTATTTTGGAGGTAGGATTCCAAAAAAGATCAGTTTAGGCAGTAGAGGTCTTTTCATGCCTAGGCAGAATGGAAGCAAATTTGGGCTCGATCCTTTACTGTATTTAGAAATGCAGTAATCATTGGGGAGAGTGGGTGGAGGAATAAGAGAGACCAGAGTTTTAATTAAGAGAAATAAACATGATACTTAGCCTCCTAGAAGCAGATCCAGGCTTTCAGAAATGTGTGCTTAATTAAACTGTGTAAGTAGTAAGTCACCAAGAAGATATCCACACTTTTCCAACCTGACTGTTTCTGCTGCCTTCATCTCTACTTACACTATTTGGTGAAAATACAGTTCATTGATTTCAACATGGTTGAAATCTAACACTTGTGCAGCTGTCCTAGGGCCTCCTGGCAAGGGACCCCTTTTTAATTCCAGAACTTGCTCTGATGAGACTGACCTATAAATGGGAAAGCCTTAACACAGCTTGTGATGCAACTCATAAGTTTGTTGGAAATACAACACAGAGGAATAAATTCCTTTCCTGAATCCTTACATTGCAGGTTGTAATTGGAAAGAATAGGAGGCAAACAAATTAAGTTACCTTAAAAAAATTTCCCACTGGGAAGTTCCTAAAGAGTCCATGAAAAAGAAGTTCAAGTAACTTGGGTACTCATTGGTACAGCTCCTTGACTTGTTCTTTTTATTGTGTCATTACTTAGAACTGTATGTCTGCCGATAAAGGTAGACCTGAATTTTGCCTAAGACTATTAATAGTCTCTTAGTAGAAGAGTTATCTAGACCAGATTTGGTTTTGTTTTGTTTTTTGTATCTCTTGTTTGCATAAACTGCAGAGACTTTTTTTTGATAATTGAGTCTTAAAATAATATAAATATATATATATATTTAAATATATATATAAATATATATATATTTGACTGCTCTGGGTCTTAATTGGGGCACACAGAATCTTTGATCTTCATTGCAGCATATGGGACCTTTAGTTGAGGCTTGGGGATCATTTTAATTGTGGCATGTGAACTCTCAGTTGCAGCTTGTGGGATCTAGTTCCCTAACCAGGGACAGAAATTAAGCCCCCTGCACTGGGAGCACAGAGTCTTAGCCACTGGACCACGAGGGAAGTTCCAAGACAAACCTCACTTTTAAGGTGACTTTCCTTCTCCCATCCCCCCCACCCCCCCACCCAGTTCACAAACCCTACTTAATTTTCTTGTAATTTCCCCAGCCCCTCCTGTGTAGAAAATAACTTTGAAAAAAATTGGCCAGGAACAATATGGTGAGACAGGGGTCCTGACCATGAAACAACTTGGGAGCAAACGTTATAGAGTAGCAAGGCCAATGAATCTGGTAGACACCAAACATCACTTATAGCGCTACTTACTGTTAGTCAGTTGGGCTGGGTATAAAAGCTCCCAACTATTATACTGAATCCCATTTTAGGAAAAACAAAAGATAGCCAAATTAGTCACCATTTTGGGCTAGGATTCATTACTAGGAATTTAGAAGCTTAGCAACAATTTGAGGTAAGACTTAAGAACAGTAATACATAGTTGGGGGAAAATGACAGTAAAGAAGAGCTTCCGGGTCATCCTCTTTATTCCTTCTGATTGCACTTATGCTGATTGATTGATTCTTCAAATTTTTATTGATGGATTAAGCTCTTCTGCCAGGCACTGCCCTAAGTGCTTGGAGGGTACTTCAGGGAACAACACAGACAGAAATCCCTGTCCTCAAGGGGTTATATTCCAGTAAAGAAAAACATAATTAGTAAATTATCTAGGGATTTGAAAATGATTAGTGCTAGGATAAAAAGAAGCATTGTGAGAGAATTGGGAGTAGAATGGAGGGTGAGCAATTTTAAGTAGGGTCATTACATTAAGTAGGATGTTACATTTTTTTTCTTCCAGTTGTATTAAGATATAATTGACATATAGCACTACATAAGTTTAAGGTGTACATTATAATGATTTGACTTACATACCTCATGAAATTATCACAATGAGCTTAGTGAGCAGGGTGTTACATTTTATGGCAGCTTTTCATATACCAGCCTTTTTCTACAAAAAGAAACTTGCTCGTAGACCTGGATTTGAATTTAACTAAGTCTGACACCAAAGCCAACATCCTTTTTGTCATACCATGCTAAAGAGGAAGATTGGTGTGCAGAGTATGTCTGCTTATGTAAAATGGACAGAGTGATGGCTGGATAGGAGACCATCTACTCACTTAACTTCTCTTTATGATGGATCAGTGAGTACACTGGAGAATGTACTGAATTGAGTATATTGGCCAAGGAAGACTTCATAGAGGAGCATTTTGACTCAGCAAGTTTTTGCTCCAAAAGTAGAAGGACTGCCCTGAATTTTGGTGGGAATTCTCTCCTTTGGAGCTTGGCAGGATGGAGTGGGTGCTCTAGGAGGTGTGGCTTCTGTGACTCACATAGGATTCCCTGTGTTGGGAGCCTCAGCAGAGAAACCTCGTTTCTATTCTGTAGGTCCCAAACCTGCCCTGTGATTTATTCCCATCACCAGCCGGGGGAGTTCTGCCCTTTGTGTAGATTTGATGAGGCTGAGACAGTGCAAGTGAAGTCCCTCAGTGTGGGACTCTCTGCGGGCCCTATAGACTGTAGCCTACCAGGCTCCCCTGTCCATGGGATTTTCCAGGCAAGGGTACTGGAGTGAGTTGCCGTTGCATTAGGTTGAGGGCTCTCAGGAAATTAATTGGTCTACTTTTTCAACCAGGAAGAAGATTCCCTCCTTAATATCTGCAAGGAGATTGTGGAACGATGGTCAGAAACTCAGAATGTTGTCACCAAAGTGAAAAAAGAAGGTAGAGTTGGAGTTCTTATGTCTAACCTCCAACCAGTTTTTCTGTACAGTTGTTAAGAGTCTTTAGTTTTCCTCACTCAGGTGAGCTAAACCGGTAAACACCTGGCAGCTTGTTTTAACTTTTTAACTGAAGGTTGGTTTTCTTTTCTTTTACATTTTACCACTTCACCTCACCATGGGTATCTTCACTGTGGTTCTTGCCTTTTTCTTTCTCTTTCCTTTTTACACTCCCCCATGTATATTTGCTCTGCAGGTGTGGGGTCAACTATATTTTCCCACCCTTTTCATAATCTCATTTCATAACACAGACTGTGATTGGTCTTTTGCTTTATTTAGCTAAACCCTCCATCCTTTCAAATGAAAGAGATGATCCCATTAGGATGAAAAATCATCTACAGACAGCTCAAAACAGAAATCCAAACTTGAATAGAATCTATTCTGAGCTACTCACATGCTGGTTCTCAATCGTGGCTGTACACTGGAATCGCTTGCTGTATGTTTAAAAGTGCCAGTGCCCAGGCCGCACCATGGGCCAATTATATAAACCTCTTTGGGGTGCGGACCCAGGCATTGTTATTTTTTCAAAAGCTCCCCTGGATGATTCTAATATGCAACCAGGCATGAAAGTCACTGCTTGATATCATTGCCTCCTTTCTTTCAGCATGGAGAAGTCAAAAGATAATTTTGTTTTTAAAATAATCTAAGTTTCACCTGGCATAATTATCAGCATGGGATAGACCAGCCTAAGTTAATGCTAGATTCCTCCTTAGGCTTCTGGTTTGAGACTAGAGAAAGTTGCATGTTTGGAGGCTTGATTTTCTCTGGTTCTAATGCAGTACTTTTCAACTTTTTTTTTTCTTTCTTAAAGCAGCATAACTTCAGTATATAATAAAAGTAAAAGCAGGGCTGCTCTGATTGAAGATGGATATGAGACCTAAAGCCTGGCCTGCATGGCCTTTCCTTGCCTTTCTCATTGGCCCCCGAGGCACCTCCTTTGCACCCCAGGGCTCTCAGGAGTCAGCAGCTGCCGTTGCCTTTGCTCCAAGCACTGCCTGGGTGGACTGGTGGTTTGGAAGCATGTTTCCTCTCACATACAACCTTGTCCCCCCCTTCCCTCCCACCACCTCCCAGATGAGGTCCAGGCCATTGCCACCCTCATTGAGAAGCAGGCGCAGATCGTGGTGAAGCCCAGAATGGTGTCAGAAGAGGAGAAGCAGAGGAAAGCTGCCCTTCTGGCCCAGTATGCTGATGTGACAGATGAAGAGGAATATCCTTTCTGGAGTCTTGGCTCCATTCCCTGAGGCTCAAGTCAGAAGCCTTTGCTGATTTTCACTGAACTCTGGGAAGTTGCCAATCCCACTCTATAGCTTTATTAAAAGAAAAATTATTTACTTCTTTGGCTACATCAGGTCTTAGTTGCTGCATGTGAGATTTGTCTAGTTGCACCATGAAAATTCTCAGTTGCAGCATGTGGGATCTAGGTCCCTGACCAGGCATTGAACCCCAGCCCCCTGCACTGGGAACACAGATTCTTGGCCACTGGACCACCGGGGAAGCACACCCCCTACTCCCACCCCCCAGAGCTTGATATTCTCCTCTGAGATGGCAGAGATGTAGCCCTTGTTGGGCATGAGGAATGATGCTGGAATGGTTGATACTGGACCATTGCAATGTATGTGTTCTTGAAAACTTGAGTGTGAAACAAATAATGCCTGAATGGACCATTTCTTATTGTGTTTTCAGAAAATAAGATCTAGCTATGATTCTTTTTTAAAAAAATTGAAATAGTTGATATACAATTATGATTCTTTGTATTTGTGTAATACCTTTCTATGAAGTACAGTGTTATGTGTATAAATACATCTTTGTAATTTTTATCACAATTGATAAGGGAATGGAGGCAATAAGAGGTGAATGAGTGATATTCCAGTGACTATGTAATTAATAAAAGTGACACGAAAATAAACCTAGAATTTGAGTGAGGACTATGTAAAAAGAAAGTGTTGCTGGTAGGAACAGGTTTGGTTCCCTGAAACCAGGTTTGGTTCTAAACCTGGATCTGAAATTTGTTTATGGAATACTTAGCTTACTGAGCCTGCTTGAATGGAGTGGCTGTTGTGTCAGAAATGTTTGCTATCTAATCACTAGGTTAGGAAAGAATTCTTAGGTTCTTTGGGGTCAACTTCTTATTTTCTCTAGTGATTTTTCTTGCTAGGTTTGGCAGAACTGGGGTTCCAATGACAAAAATCTCATTTCCTGGGCTAGAAAAAACATTTTAAGCAGTAGTTCTCCTGGAGGACTTGTTAAATCACAAATTGCTGGGTCCTGTGCCACAGAGTTTTGGATTTTGTGGATACAGAGGGGGGCCCAACGGTGTGTATTTCTCAAAAGCTCTTAGGGAGTTCTGGGAACCACACTTAGAGAACCACTGTTTCAGAGGTCATCTCACCACCCCCTGGCTCCCAGGTAATGTGGCAGTCCACCCAGACCAGCTTCAATTTCTTTTCAGACCCTGACAGATAGGGATCTTACAGGAGCTCTGAGCAGTCTTCCCCAAGTTGAGACTTCTAAAGGTGACTTTCCTGGATTTACCATCACATCCCTGTCAGAGTCCTTCCATGAAACCTGCTTTCCTTCCCATCAGCTTAATCACTGTTTTCTGATGTCATGATGGGATTTGCTAACCTTTGTTTTACATCTGACTTTCCTTAACGCCACTCACCGAAGCGGATGAGAAGGATGACTCGGGCGCCACCACGATGAGCATTGGTTCTGACAAATGTATCCTTCTCTGTGTCCATCTCCAGGTGTTGCTCCATAGGATCTTCTTGTGGGTCAGTTTGTATTTCACTGTCATTGCTGGGGGCTCCCTCTACCTCCAAGAACACATGTTAGGTCAACATTGTGAGCCCCAGTCCTTGGACTGCTAAATAGTTAATTTAGCAATAATTTCCCCCCAAAGAAAATATGTTGACATGAACTGTGAAGGGGTTAGTTTAGAGAAAGGATTTCTAAGGGAAAATGAGAATCTGTACTTGTGTATAGTGTTGGGTTTCCCAGCAATGTGGAAGCAGTTAGAATAATATTGCCGTTTTGGACCTTGTCCTCAAAGACCTGGGGAACTCACTGGAAAGAGAATAAAAGCACTGAATACTTTAAGTGAAAATATGGACAAATTGAAACGTGCTATAGAAAGTCCCTACCAACAAAAGCACTTATGAGAAGCTTATTGAGAAGGTGGATTTTCAGAAAGTGAGGTTATTTTCTGAGAAAGCACTAAAGCAGAAAAAAATTATGTGGAAATAGTAAAAAGGAGCTTGTCTGGTAGTAACAGGTTATGTTTTAAAGTCATAAGAAGTGAGGGGCAAATTTTTTGGCTATCTATTTTCTAACTGTGGTTAAAGTTACTTCTTTAGAACATGATTTTCACTTAAGCTTTAGTGGTCTGGGAAAAGAAGCAAATTGGTAAAGTTTAGTAAGGTTAAACAACTTTTTAACTCTTTTCAAGCATTTAATAGTGCTGAGTAAAGGAAAATTTTGCCAGTTACTTTAATACTCTAGTCACTAAAACTAGCCTGGATATTCCAACAATATTCTGCCAGTGAATGATATGAGTACTTATTCTAGAATGAAATTTCTTTTTTTTTTATAAAATATTTATACTCAGATTTAGGCAAGTCTGAATGAAATTTTTATTCAATTTTTTTTTTTTTTTTACTAATGGCAGTTGTAGGATTTTCCATTGGACTAAAGATAAACATAAAGTTGGTTTGTTTTTAAAGATGCGGGATAGATAGAGAGTATTTGAAACTTGGCCTGAATGAGGAGAGCAGGAGTTGAGACCTGTGTGACCTGGACCCTTATCCCTTAACTCACCTGTAGCTCTGTTCCGAAACACCAATGTGGAAGATGTCCTCAATGCCCGAAAACTGGAGCGAGACACGCTTCGGGATGAGTCCCAGAGGAAGAAGGAACAGGACAAGCTGCAGAGGGAGAGAGACAAACTAGCCAAGCAGGAACGCAAGGAAAAGGAAAAGAAAAGGACACAAAGAGGGGAGCGAAAGCGATAACCTTGGTCCACTCTATTTCTCCTAATGAACTTGGTCAAAGGGAGACCTGGTTGTGCATTTGTGTATTTAAGAGAAATGAGAGAACATTGCCAGGTAGTTTCCCAAGGCATTTCCCCTTTTGTTTACATGGTCACAAGGAAAATCACAATTCTAGCTAATTACAAAATGTGCCATGTCTCTTGTGTGGTGTGGGTAATCAGGTTATTGTAGCTGATGTCTGAACCAAAGATCTGGGATGGGGACAGCCTCTATATTTTAATACTGAAGTCCTGTACTCCTTTTGACCACTTTAAAAAGTCTTCCCTTACCTTGGATAAACAGCAGGAATATTCAGAAAGCTGAGTTTTTGTCCTGAAGGAGCTGAATCATGACCACTCCTTCCCTGAGATGAATTATAGGAGTGTCAATTGCTTCAGAAATATTATTCACATCTAAATAAATGGTTTTATGGCTGAAATAGGAAGCTAATGAAGAGCTCTTCCCGGATTGACTTTTATGTTACATGGCAACAAAATAGGAAAATAAGAAAATGTTATTTGGTGGATGTTCTGCATATGAGATTTTTTTTTTTTAAGTTTCAGCCTATGATAGGAAACAAAGTTTCTTTTAGTAAGAGAGAGTTATATATTTTTCCTCATCTAGGCTGTGATTTTAAGAAGGATGTGTCAATATTGAGTGCAGGGAATCATCATTAGCTAGATTCATTTTTTTTATAATCATGAATCCTCTTGAATGCTAGTAGAGATTTTAACCCTGATCTGCCAATACAAGGACCTGATAATTACAGGTTTAGAGAAACCCTTTGAAGGAAAAAACACTGAAAATCTCTGCTAACACAAAGATATTTAAGAGTGTACATAGTAGGTGCTCAGCAAATTTAGTGAATGAGTGAGTGAATGGAAAAACTGCTTGGGAGAGCTGAAAGTGAGTAGGAACTCTCCTCCATTTCTACGTTTGTCACAAACCACATTTGGTTGTAAGTAGCCCTTTCTCTACTTAAGGAAGCAGACTGTCAAGAAGCCTGAAGAGAGCAATTTCTCTGTCAAGACAGAAAGTAGATACATTATACCAGGGTTGGGCAAACTACTGCCAAATTTGGTCGTTTGTTTTTGTATGGTTCGAGCACATTGGATCACACATTTTTAAAGGGTTGTTAAAAGAAAAAACATGCGACAGAGACCTTATGTGACCTATAAACTGTAAAATACTTACTACCTGGCCCTTCAGAGAAAATGTCTGCTGACCTCTGTTTTATACCATTAACTATGAGATTAACAAAAATTTTTACTGTTCCACAGAAGGTAAAAAACATGGTTAAGGAAATGATGTGTCACCTCTATACACTCCTATAACCGTGTCATTGTAAAAATTTTTTAAAAAATAACCAGCTTTTTAAAAAATAAACTATTTAAATCAGTATCTTGATTTATTCTGATTCCTTCCAGCTGGAAGTGACTTCTGTGTGGATAGTCCCTTAGGAATGTGTTTGAATTTTACTTACATTTTGATTAGCCCAATAATCTCTTCTGCTAGTAGACCCTCTTCCTGGAATCCGTAAGTTCTCTGCCTCAGTTTTCCTTTCTGTGAGGTTGGATATTAGGAGATCAGAAAGATTACCTTCTTTTTTGGACAGTAGGTTGGCTTTGAAATCTCTTGAGTACTGCTGGCATTTTAGTTTTATATGTGGCTGTGGCTAGAGATGGCATGTGAGAGAGCCTGTTTTAATAACCCTTATTTGGGATTTTTGGTTTGTTTTCACCTTGATTTTGGTCTCTGAAGCAGAGTCAGGTTATATCCATAGACCCTGAAGGGTAGTAGTTTCAATCTGTCTTAAGAGTAGTCAGTTCATTCTTCCAGGACTCTATTAACTAGGTCACAGTTAAATGTACACCTGAACTAAACAGAAGAAAAAGATCAACTTATTAGGATTTGAGTAAGGTTATCCATGGGCTTCCCTGGTGGCTCAGATGGTAAAGCGTCTGCCTGCAATGCGGGAGACCCAGGTTCGATCCCTGGGCTGGGAAGATCCCCTGGAGAAGGAAACGGCAACCCACTCCAGTACTCTTGCCTGGAAAATTCCATGGATGGAGGAGCCTGGTAGGCTACAGTCCATGGGGTCACAAAGAGTCAGACGCGACTTTACTCACTCACTCAAGGTTATCCACTTAACTCAGGTGCTAGTAAACCTTTTATGTCTAAAACATTCAATATTGGAAAAGGCAAATTTTAAACAACTGTGTTTTCTATGATATGATGGACATTTTAGGCCAAATTTGGAATTTCAGTCATTAATTCCCCAACCTTCTAAAACCTTACAGTACCAGACTATTCAAGTGGGAAAGACAGTGGTATAATTCAAGGTACCTAAATTTTCAACCACCTTTATAAAAAACTGCTTTTTCTATTAAAAATTGAGTATTCCAAATTCTTTTGGATTAGAAATGATGAGAGCATCAGTTTGATCAAACTAAATCTTGTTATAACTTTTAGAACACATTCAGAAGTATATACATAAGAACCATCCATTAGAGGGTATTCAGTAGAAAGGGACAACCAACTAATTTGAGAGTTATCTGCAGCATGACTTGATTAACAAAATTTCAAATAATTTTTGTGTGTTTTTTTGTTAATAGTGTTTCATTTCTGACCACTGGATGTAAAAGTTTCCCTGGAAGTTTTACTATGGTTTTCCTGGATTAACACAAAGGCAGAACAAAAATTTCTTATTTGAAGGAGGTCAGGTTAAATCCAAGGAAATCTGAATGGTGTTGGTTTATTATCTACCAACATTATTTTTGTGTTAATAATGAAGTTTAAAACTTAGCACCAATTCTTATCAGTTAAATGAAATTTAACTGGTTTTCTGAAAAATGACTCAATGTTAGAAACTAATACAAACTCATAAAAAAAACTATTTTCAACAAAGCAATTTATTTTTCTTGAGAGACTAAATTCAGTACAATATTTGTTTCCATAACATCCAACATGTCTTATATCAAACTTAACCACTTTCTATGCAGTGACTGTGGTGGGATGATCTATTTTATTTGCCTACCCTCAATGTAATTCATTTGGGTAGTTTTAAGGCATTTCAGTGATCAAAATGTTTCTCCCTACAGTTACTCCTGCATTCTCAATCAGTTTCTTCCGCACGTCATCTAAAGAAAATTTATGTGGTGTGATTACACTCTTTTTTTTTTTTAATACCAGGATTTCTAAAACTAAGAAAAACACCAACATTTAAAACATTAGTGTTCCTAGTCAAGGGTGGTTCAATTAAATTTCATCAGTACATTATAGTTTAACTCATGCTAGAAATGTTAAAACCCAAGATCTTCTGAGTCACATAATACCAACATTTCATATTACTGAATAAATTACTTGGGTTCCATACAAAGATATTAAGTGATGAGAAACAGAAAAAGCCAAGCTTTCAAGAGCTCTTTTAAAAAAATTCAGAAGCAAACTAATGAACACAACTACACAAAATATACACGAACCAATTGCAAACTAAACTAGTTAAAGATTAACCTTAAAAAAATACATTTTAGAACTTCGTGATACCCTCAAAAAGGCAGCAAACTAAGGGTATTAAAACAATAGTCATTATTTTAGTTATGCATCAAGTCTAAAAGATCCAGGTAAAGGAAATGTTTTGTTTTTTGATTCAATTAAAATACTTTAAAACTGGAAATATTTAATAATTGATAGTGTAATTAAAATTTAAATAATATACACAAATGATTTGAACAGGTTTTATATTCAGTAACTTGCATGGTTTTTACACTGGCACTTTTATCACTAATTTAGGAGAATCAGATGCACTTCCCTCCAAATACTTAGGCACTAAGATTTCAAATTTATAAATATGGTAGTATTTTAAATATTAAAGTTTTACATGAATATTGGGTTCATCCTTCTTTCCTATGTTCCCTAGGTATTATCCAGTTTTGTAAGGAAAACATTCTTATATCACAATCAAAACTTGTTTTGGTTACTAGACTGTAGCCATAATTGGGTTACAGTCACTTAAGATTCATTATTTGGAATTATACTAAGGCAGACCTAAATGAAACTTATCTTCTAGAAGAATTTCATATTTGCATTTCCCTGCACTGCAGAATGAGTTTCAGCAATATTTCAGCTGTTAGGAAAAATTTAAACTTGTTATCTTTGACTACCTGGGAATTTCTAGTTGCCCTAGAATAGTCAACTTTACGTTTGACTCACTTTCAACTACATCTGATTCATTCCAAATAGATTTTTAAATAGAAGTTAGACTTCATTAAGGTATTATTAACTTTAAATCTGAAAGACAATTAATGTAATGAAATTTTCAAGTTTGACAAGTTCATTAAAATTTTTTAGCATGTCTTGATACATTTACTTATCAGCTTTTTAATCTTCTTTCTGCTGCCATCTCCTTAATGTTTGTTTGCTTCACCTCTCTGGTTCATTGGATTGCTACTATTTAGGCTTTCATGGACTTTATCTTCACAGTTTACTATATCTTGTAAAGCCTTTTCTACATCTGTTTGGCCAGCTGTACTGGCTGTTTTTGGCAAGGTCATCTGCAGTGCACACCACAGGGTAGTACGCGCTTTCCGAGTAGCTACACACATCTCTTTAATTGCTGAAGCAAGCGCAAAAACATCTGTAAAAGAAACATTTGTGGTCAGTTCAAATTAAATATCATTTAAGTACTCCTTAACTTTTATAAAACCCAGTCTGTGCTACTAAATGATCAAACATTATTTTTTATAAAAGAAAGATGGTTATTGACTGAGCTAATCAAAGTACTTAATATTTAAAAGTGTTATACCTTAAATATAAATACTTATGTAAAAAAAAGTGTTATACTTGTATTTTATTTCTGACTTGTATGACCATGACTATGCTTTGGGTAGAAAACAGACTTTGACAGAGTTATTACAATTAAATGGGTAAAATTAGCAAAATAGATAAAAGTATTTTCATTTTCACTTTTGAAGTACATTATGTAGGCACCATTTAACAATTTATTCTTTAGATAAGTGTAAATGTTAGAAATCCAACCATTTTAACTTCAGAATCTGATTTTTTTAACATTCAAATTAACTCTGCCTTATCAAAAGGATATGCATTAATGTTTGTACCTCTGTCATCTTGGCATCTAGGAACTCCTTGCCTTTGCCGATTTGAAGCATTAACAATTTCATCCTTTCTACGTGACTGTACAATGTGAATGGACTCCAAGTGTCTATCAAGAGCTGTAGAGATATTGGCATGAAGGGGAGAGCTTCGAAGACGTTCCATTTTGCCCAGTAGAGTCACAACCTGAGGGAAACATTTTAAATTTTGATGAGGCATTTAACTACATTGCCCTGTCATTAACTTAAATCTTCAATGAAGCAGAATAGAGATGAGAGGAATAATGTTCATTCAGTAATAAGTAAATGCTTAGGCTTCCCTCATAGCTCAGTTGGTAAACAATCTGCCTGCAATGCAGGAGCCCCCTCTCCATCCCTGGGTTGGGAAGATCCCCTGGAGAAGGGAAAGGCTACCCATCCCATTCTGGCTTGGAAAATCCCATGGACTGTATGGTCCATAGGGTTGCAAGGAGTTGGACGCGACTGAGCAACTTTCACTTCACTAGCTTACTATATCCTGACACCATGCTGGGGGAAACAAAGATGAAAGGTCCGTCTTTAGTACATATGTTAATTCTAGACGGTTTAAAAGTAGTCAATTACTGAGAATAAGCAACAATGAAAAAGTCAAACATTCAAATATATCCATATTATTAATGGTAAGTGCAAATATAAAATCTGACATTCTTTTTGGTAAACAGAATAGCCTGCCAAAAGAGCATTATTAGGAGTTACTGTAGTTAAAAGAAAAAAACTGCGCTAAAAAGGGTTAATCAATCTCTAGATCTGATTAATCTTGACCTCAACAATTCCCTTCTGGGCCTTCAATGTTCTCCCTTTTGGAAGTCAGAAATAATATTGGCTAGTGTTAGTTTTAAGGAGTCCATAATCCAGAAAATACTGACTTAAATTTATGCTGAAGTAACAAAATAAATCCTATATGTGTCAAAATTGCTAGGGAAAATTAGGAGGTCTTAATCTTTTGGTGGTAGAAGAATCTTCTGGTTAATTAAGCTTAAAAAAGGGCACTATATATCTTAGATCTGTAAGGGGAGTATGTTTCATAGCTGTATATGCCTAAAATTTCAAACTCTAAACTTGGAAGAAGTAAGGAAGGAGAACTTTAGAGTAGATAGGATTTGAACATCTAATAATACAGTAACTGCCTTTGGGAGCCAAATGATTTAAAACTCACGTAATTCAGTAACTGGAAAGAGCAGAAAAATACCTCTCAATTAATAAGCACCTGAATGCCTCTAACCTCACACTCCTACCAAATTTCTTTGGTATAAGTCAATGCCAATTCAAGCCCATGGAGAAAACACAAGAGTACAGGTATTAAATATTTTCCTACCCCCCCGCCAAAATAAATAAATAAATAAATATTTTCCTCCCAACTGTACAACCAGCCAGTTCTTGAGGGGGAAAATAAGACAACACAAGAAAAAAATACCACAGTGAACTACAAATTATATATTTTTAAAATAAGATAGTCATTTTGAATAAGTGTAAAGAAAAAATTTACACAAGTGATTTTTAATAAACTTAAAAGATTTTTTTCAGAATTCTATAAAACCAGCAAACTAGAAGTAGTACACATAAAAATATTTTTGCCTTTTGTATATTACTAGTCTAATGTTGCTAAATATAAACAAAATTATAACAGCTATAAATATGCTAAACTAGGGTAGAGCCTAAGTAAGGCTGAAAAAAGTATATTTCTTAACACATTAGCAATTCTTTGATTTATTGCCTAGAAATGGATTACTGAGAAAAATTTTAACTTGGGAGTTTTAAAAAAAAAGACATAAGTTTTTATAAATTTGGCTATATCTGACCACACCACTGATAAATTCCATTGTACAAATTTATGAATTTGATTAAAAATTACAACTGATCAAAGCTGAAAGCTAGGTAAAAATCAGTATTTTTCCATTGAAGTATTTCATGTCTGTATTTTAAAGACAGCATGGTATAGGTAAGAAACCAATGATCAATAAAATAAAGACTATTGTGCTGATTTTTTCTAATTCCTTAAATGGCTTTTATTCAATCATAGATGCAATCTGTTTCACTGCATGCCTTTTCCTAGGAATTGTTATCAGATTTTACTTGGAAAACAGAAGTTTAAAAAAATTATTTTGTTTATTTATTTGGCTGCACTAGGTCATAGTTGCAGCACTCAGCATATTGAATCTTCAGAGCAGCATGAGAACTCTTAGTTGCAGCATGTGGGATCTAGCTCCCTGACCAGGGATGGAACCAGGACCCCCTACATTGGGAACATGGAGTCTTAGCCACTGGATCACAGGGAAGTACCAGAAAATAGAAGTTTTTAAAAGAGGAAGGTGAGAAAGAAAAAACTACCCTATTCTATTACAGTTGCTTAGAAAATTCTGAAATTACAAAGGAGATAATAGGAAAATAATTTTTAATTAACATCAAGATTCTTTACATTTGATCTGAAGTGATATACTACTTTTCCAAAATAAGGCTATTTTATAAAATTATGCATATACTTAAATACTTCAGTTTATTATTAATTAATACATTGCTAGATTTACTTAATGTTTGTTAAATAACTCAAGAGAACAGGGTCAAGAAAATGAAATAGGTAATTTCCTACTAATTTACTACCTTGTATAATATAAGCAAAGCTTTTTCGTGAAGCTAGAAAACAAATGTTTGTGATTAAGAAATGGGACTTTTCCTATAAATAATATTCAAAATGGTTTTTGCTTAAAAATTTTTTTTTCTTTTGTGGATTAGTTCCATTGCTAATCTGGATTTCTTGAAGAGGAATCTCTGAGATTACTAAATTTACTATTTTAATGACTGAGTGGGGCTATTTTCCCTTTCTGAAATAACTAATAGTTCTAGGTCCAAACATGGGAAAGAATACATTTCAGAGAGTTACACATAAATGTGATATAAGAATCCTTCAGAACTCTAACTTGCTAAGGCACTTAAAAATTTTATCAAACAGTTAAAAAAAAATCTGCTATTAGATATTTTCACAGCTTACTCTGGCTTGTTCTCGAAGTTCATCCACAACTAACCGATCAACTCTAGATGGGTTGGAGGTCAGCCGTGGAATTGGAGTATTGTTAGTACTGGACACTTTTTTCCCTGGATAATTCTTCGCAAGGGCCAATTCAGTCTGTAAAAAAATTATATAACTTTTAGATACTAAATTTTCTAAATATTACTCAATCATGAATAATATTTCTTATGGGCCTAAAAAGAAAATTGAAAATTACTCCTTTAGATAAAAATTCTGTTTTGGTATCAAAAGGCAATAAATATAAACCACAATACCATGTACTTTTCTGTCACACTTAATGCATAAAATACCTGAACACTCCAAGAGTTTAATACTTAGAAAATTCAAATAAATAAACTTTCAACCCATTAAGGAAAAAGTCTACCTAACAGGCAAAATAAACTTAAAAAAATTTTTAAGCCCCAAGCATTTTTAGTCGCTTTAAGTCACCTAATTAATTCTGTATAGTCATGGACTTAACAAATACTACACATTATAGAATTCAACTTAAAAATAAGTACTCTTTCTTAAACTACACTAGGGTAAACAAAATGAAAATAGGCAAAGGGGATATACTAAGTTATGCCTAAATGGACAGTTTTGTATTACCTTTTTTCTCTCCTTTTCTAATGCTCTCCATTGTTCATAGCACTCTTCTAGACGAATATGAAGTTCACTGGCTGGTCCACTGCGGGTTTTAATTGGTCTTTGAAATCCAAAAGTTGGCACGAAACCAGAAAAGGAATTATCACCATACATCATATCATTAAAATATGGGTATAAATGGCTTAAGTCATCATAAGAAAACAAATCATATGAATCCAACAGTGGAACAACTGAATGACCAAATGGATGAGTGGATCTTAGTGGAAACCCACTTGAACCAAGTTGTTGAAAACTCTGATTATGCCTTAAATCTCCCATCATATAATTATTAGAAAAACATGACGCCTGTGTGCGATTCACACGGCTATTAATATTGCTGTCTCCACTTCCTTGTCTGTGGCTATTAAAATGACCCTGTGACTCCAACAGATCTTGATATGTATTTTGAGATAAGCCATCTAAATGCTTTGGCCCTTCCTCAGGATCATAATGTCCACTTTGGGGCTTAGCTTGAAAATTATGTTTGTTTACATTTTCAATGATCCCATACTGCTGAGCTGAATAGTTATCACAAAATCCATTTGGCTGCTTTATTTTTTTATCGGTAACAGATTCAAAGAGATTTTCTTCTCCAGTCTTTGTCAGTCCTTCCATGTGATTGACAGATTGGATTCTTTCTGCACCATTGTAACCAAAATCAAAACTAGAAAATGCTGAAGGGTTTTCTTGGCAATACTTCTGAAATAAATTGCTATTTGGGGTTAAATTTGTAGATGATAGTTGGGGGAAATCTGAAGACTGGTTGGAACCTTTTGAAGCTGCACTTAAATGAGAATTTAATTTCATCAAGTTACCTTGATTTCGATAAAGAATAGGAGTGTTATTTTTTGTTTGGACATTCATCCATGTTGGTCTGTTTAAGTTGATACCTCCTGAAGATGTTGCTGAATTTGCTAGTAAATTCATTGATTTAAAATACTCAGAATTTGGGGGGTCAGGTTTAGTAAACTGTTGTTTTTCTGTGACATTAGCAAAATCATTATTAGCTGGACAAGTTGTATGAGGTTTTAGTCCATATTCTGATTTTAAGCCAAAATCAGCAGTAAATGCTGCTTCCTTTCCAAACTGTTTTTCTGTCAGATGTGGTGTAGTTTTTGGAAATGTGAAATTCTGCTGGTCAGGTATTGTCTCCTCCATTTTTTTCTGATTTGTTGGTTTTACCTGAAATAACTTGGTGTAGGTGTCTGCTTCTACAGTTGGTGCTTCAGGTGTGGCACTAGCTAATTTTTTACTATCTTGGACACTAAAATTCAAACACTTACTCAGCTTAGCCTTATTAGGATGAGCATATTCTGGGTATCTACAATAATCTGGATTTTCACTGTACCTATTAAATTGGGAAAGAAATATCTCTGCCCTCTTTTGCTGTAATGGTGCTTCAAGACCTTTAGCACATATTTTCTCTCTTCCATAAGAGTAAGTATCAACTCCTGATTCTTTCATGATGTCAGACAGACCAGTTTGTGGTGTAAAACAATTTTTGATAAATGGATATTCTTGACATGCTGTCTTAGCTGTATCATTTGTCTGAATATTGTAACAGTTAGAATGATCACTTCGTGAGGGGTACATCCATTGTTCTTCAAGGTCTAAACCAGTAAATCCATGATAAAGTTCATCTATTTTTTGTTGTGGTATGAGATTACTGTTATGCAGGTACTGCTTTTCCACTGCTGACACAGATTCACCAGTATAAAAAGCTTGCTGAGAGATGGCTGTATCTACTGGCCTTTTGGTTTCTGTTAAGAGGTCATGGTGATCTGCAAATCTGCTTGTGTTCATTGGCCAAACTGACTTTAAATTGGAGGAACAGGTCCTAGAACAAGCAAATATATTTAATTACAATTCAGATTTTAAAAGTCTTTATTTCCTTAGTGGAGAAGGGAGGAAAGGCTTTCAAAACATTTATATTGCCCCATTCACTATTCTCTAATCCTTTCCAACTTTGGCTTATAAGCTGCCATTACATCCAAATAACTTTCTGTCACTTAAAATGTGCTATATGCTGCATAAATACACATTTTAGTCTTAATATGTCTTCAGTATACTTTTCGAGGAGACATAAACTAAAGCCTGAGGCTGGTGATTGCATAGTCTTACATGAACGGTTTACATATAGTAAGTAGAAACCAGATAAGTTTTTTCTTACATTATTATATAAGGTTAATACAAAAGTGTTGTTGACCACAATTTTTGTAATTAAAAAAGATGTACTCTCATTGAAATGAAAACATTTTCATTGGTTAGATGTATGCTACATATTTCCCTATTTATGAAATAGGGAATCTGGATAATATGGCTTCTACACTCAAGTAAAACAATTAATGCGTACTTTAAAAGTTTTTACTATATGAATAAAATCCATACATATTTCTACTGAGAAGCAATGATAGTTTTATTTTTGGAGGTATAAGTATAAAAGTCGTTGGAATTTATACTCTTTAAGCCAAATTTTAGCTCATGAACTCAAGGGAAATAGCTTTGAATTATGGAAGAATGATTTTTCAAATGAAAGTTCTTAATAGCAAATTAAACTTTCAATTGTATGGCAAGCACCTCAGGAAAATCAAGGCTCCTAGAAACAAATATCTGAATTACGATGTCAAATGTCAGATGATCCTCTCTTAAAAATAAAAGTTAAAGACCTAGTACCTGGGAATTCAAAAGTTTATTACACACTTTATAGGTTATATAATATACTAACCCCTCAGCAAAGTATGGCTGTGATTTATCTTGTTCTTCCAAAATGTTAGACACAAGTCCATATAAGTCTGTTTCACTACCGTAGTCATTTCTTTCTGTTTGAATCCTAAAAATAAATTAATATCACATGTAAATTATTTTGCTCATATTGAAACATAATATATTGATTTCTTTTTCCAGACTTATTCTGACTTATTTTTCTATAAAATATCTGGATTAACTCTATACCTCATTTCAACTAAAGAGGGAATAGGAACTCAAGAATATTTTCCACTTTAGCATAGTGTTTATCCTACATAAATATTTCTCCTTCATTCCAAATCTTATGTCTAGTTCTCAGTGAATGCTTACCTCTTATTTCTCCAAAACACATGCTATTCATTTTAGGTAACCAAGATATAAATCTCTAATCTATGATGTTATAGACATGATTGGTACCATGGCTGCTTCTGAAAGCATGTCTAGTCCTGTTATACATCATTACATGGACACTTGCTAAGTTTTTTCATTTGTGATTTGAAAACCATATGAACCTGCTACTCTATTTTTGTGACTCTTATACTAAAAGTTGGATTAAAAAGTACAGTGATATGGTCATCCTAAATATCACAAGAATGCGGCAGTTGTCCCTTAACTGGAAAAGATTTGGGGGCTATCCCTAAGTCTTTGCCAAAGAAGTGACTGGTGCTCCATCTAGATCAAATCCTACCTAGTGACCAACACTATCTAAACAAAACAAAATGTAAAAAACAACAATGAGATGGAATGTACTGGTCCCTTTTTACCTCATATGGATTTTGGGTAATTTGTTCCTAGAAGTAATATGTTGTTTTTAAATTGTAACTTCTTGTTTTTTAATATTTTATGTCTAACATTTCATAGTGTTAGGACATTTCAGAAATAAAAATACCTTATACTTGCGTAACATTCAAATATTTCATTGATCTTCATAACAAAGGAAAGGTACAGTATCAGTAATCACTAAACTGAATAAACAATCATGATATTAAAAAACTTGAATTTTGCAAAGGTTTATCATTTGCCATGCTTTACTATATACTTGTTGAATAAATGGTCTACCTACAAGTCTAATACTTTTCCCACTACATCTTGTTATTTCAAAAAGATTTGATATAAACTTTTTGTATAATAATGTTAGTATATATCTAGAAAAATATTCAATGTAATATATACCAAACTGTTAATAGTTTTTACTGGAAGGTAGAAAGGCAGGGTAAAGGTAAACTTCTGCTTGCCTTTATGTTTTTCAATGAACATATATTAACTAAAAAAATGCTTTTTTGTGTGGAGTTATGTAGTCTACCTAATAAAATCTATTTTAGAGAACTTAAAACTAATTTCTAAATTTTAACATTTAATTAGTAGATTTTAAAAATAATTATTTTCTGGTAAAGACACATCAGTCTCTTTTAACTGTTCCCTTATTATAATTAATATAAAGGTAGTGTCACTCCTTAAGCTTCTCTTTGCAATAAGCTCCCATAATATTTTATACTTCTTCCTTTAGACCTTACCTTGCAGTACCAGGCACTTGCAGTGCCTGGCAAGTTATCATAATCATCACCATTACTGTAAGATCTATAAAGGCAGGAATAATATTTGCCATGTTAATTCTAATATCCCCAATATGAGAGAATCTGACATAGAGTTAGCCCTCATTATTAGTGGAACTGAATAGAAAATAAGTATCTTACATTTGATAAAATCCTGTTTGTTGTATACTTGTAAGGCAAGAATTACTGAAAATTTAGAACTGGATTAAAAAATAGATTGAAAAATTGTAACTCATTTATATGCTATCTTTAGAAAGAGGAACTTAAGATGTACTCAGGATTGCTTCTAATTAATGAAATAAAGTAGCAAGAAAAAATTATAGACACATAACTTTTATGATTTCCTAGAAGTTTGATTAAATAAAATTACAATGTCATAACATAAAAATACTGATATAGGGAACAAAGAGCTAATACAACTAGGTCCCCACATACTCAAACTTAAGAACACTTTGTTTAGCCTGAGAAATCTAATTTATTAATTTACCTGTTCTTTACATTGATCTGAGAATTAGAGGGCTGTTTAATATCATCTCCATATGTAGACCATGGTGCATAGAAAAGTGAAGAATCTACAGAACTTGCATATTCCGTTGATGAAGAAAGTGGAGCACAGGTCTGCCTTAGGTCAACACTATCTTCATTCTGAAATTTTAAAGGCATGTTTGTATATCAGATACAATCAAAACTACATTTATTACAGAATATTAGTGAAATAATAAGAAATCTGAGGAAATAATACATGTGTAAAAGTTGGGAGACAAATCTAGACTTAGCCACTTAAGCTTACTTTAACAGTAGGAGTTGGCAATTTTTTTCTATAAAGTGTCAGATAATAAATATTTTATGGTTTACTGTGTTAAGGTCTCTGTTGAAACTCCTAGCACCAAAGCAACTATAGACAATGTGTAAATTAGAGGCTGTGGCTATTTCAATAAAATTTTGTTTACAAAAACAGCCACTGAGCAGATTTGGCCCCTGTCCAATAGCTGTTGCTTATCCCTGAGAAAGGACACGAACACCTATAATTATTGCTGTTTTAATGTTTTGAACAGATGAGCACTATGTGGACCATAGCTGTGTTATTTTTAGTATTATTTTTAATAAATCATTTACAAAATTCAGTCTTAATGCCCCCAATCTGTGAAAAACAAGTGAATGTACATTTACATTGAATTTTCAAAGAAATTCCACACAGTGTATTCAGTCACCTTATGACATGGATATTCTCTGTATTTTAAAAATGAGAAAATGGGTGTTTTATAATGGGTTTAAAAATGAGGCTACAAATTATTGAGCTAAGAGGTCACAAAACTAAAACCCAACTCAAGGCCATCTTACTCCTACACTAGGGCCTTTGAAAACAATATCTTTAATTTTCAGTTTAGTTTATTTCCAAGAGGAAGTATAAAAATGAGACAATACAAAAAATATTTTATCTTAAGAAATTTAAAGATATTATAGTTAGAAGAAAAAATGAGTTCATTTTTTTTCTTTATACTTCTATAATGAATTTTGAGTAAATAAGGTAAAAGGTTTGAGTTTTAAGATTTTAATGAATTATTTGAAGTCCTGTCTCCTTCCAAAAAAGGGATTCAAGTACAATGACAATACTGCACCTCAAATTTTAAATACTTAAAATAGTCTGAAAATATAGATTCACAATTTTTAACTCTCCAAATAAGGAGCTACTAAAACCCGTGATGTAATAGCTATAAATATCCAGACATAAACAAGTAGAAAACGTTATTTTCTTATAAATATAGAAGGTACATAATCCTGGTTAAAAATATTTTCTAATTGCTTTTATTCTCAATCAAATTGATGTGAAAAGAGATGAAACATGTTTAGATCAAAACATTCCTAAATTTTTGTTCTTCATGGACATGATAACTGAAAAATAACATTTTAAACATTCACTGAGTTTATACCAATAATATATGAAAATTAGTATCATCTAATCATAAATCTTTACAAATATCAAACATTTTATAGCCATTTGGTTAAATTCTAGTTATGAATTCTATTTGAAACCTACATATTATAATTTTCTTTTTTATAGCTTATTATTTTGCTGACTATTCTGAAGTTGGAGAAACTGAGGCACAGAAGAGATTTTGCTAAAAGTGCCACTAAAAACTGTCTTTCCAAAATTTCTGTTAGTTAGCAGTAACTTTTACAAAGACTGTTATGGTTAGAACCTTTCATAATTTTATTCCTTCAGTTCTGAAGTTTTTATGACAGGCCCAACCTAACTCTCTCTTAGGTGTGAAGTATCCAAAGTGATACAAATAATTGTTCATCTTTTTGAAAGGGTTGCTTATACAAAATGAGCATTTTCAGATTATATAATATCAAATGAGGTAGACAGTATTTGAAACAAAATATATTCAGAGAGTATTATTTCAAGTATACTTTATATTTTAAATATTTGAGTATTAGAAAAATTAAATCCTTTTAAAAAATTGATTTTAATTTAATATTCTAGGATAAAACAAGCAACTAAAGTAATGTGGTGGCTATCTAGATCCTTTTCAGTCAAAACATTTCTGGAAGTTAAATATGTGAATGCTTAGGGTTGGTACACTAATTAGTCTAGCTAATTGCAAAATGTCTCACTTTATTCTTGCTATGCTTAATCAACTGAAATTAAATCCAAGTAAATTTTAGTAGTCAGGTAAACATTATAGAGAGCAATGGAATGCTGGTCTTTGCAGTGAAAAGACCTGGAGTCAACTTGGGTTTTGTCACTTACAGCACAAGTCAAATTCTTTGGGCCTCAGTTTCTCAATCTGTACAATGGGTATAATACTATACAAGGCTGTCGTGTGAATTAAATAAAATTATTTATTCCAGGACACTGTTATAATTCAAAATATAACAATATCAACAGCGATGTGCTGGTTAAATAATTTCAAATGAAAATGACATATTATCCTAAGCTAATTTAACACGATTAACAAAACTAAATGTTTTAGGTGAGGTAAAAGGTACCACATCATCTAAGACATTGTTAGAGCAGGAGAATAAAAAAGTATAGAAAAATTTCCCCTTTAAATGATCAAACGTATGTTTGCACCGACTTCCAATAAATGCTGGAAGGGAAAATTATCTTACGGTCTGAGCAAATACGTATTTTCTTAGATTTCTGTCATCATGTCACGCTGAGGACAGGGCAAAAGCAAGAATCAATGAAAAATATATTCCTTAATTTGCTTTCAAAACAAGTTGGTATTAAAATATTGTCTGGTCCTAAACGTGGAGCAATTTAAACGCCAACGTGAATGGGCAGGGCGTAGGGTTGGATTTGAAGGAGAATAAATCCTCTAACAAAGGGCAGAGCGGAGAAACGGACCTGCGATTTGTAGCAATCATAGAAGGAAGGGGAGCCCGTCAGCATGACGCTGTTGAAGACATCTGTTAGTCGACTGCTGGCGTCCGCACTGAGGTTCCAGCAGCGATTCGCACCTCCACGGAACGCGACTTTCGGCTGCACGAAACGGGGATAGGAAACAGGAGAGACATGTCACGCAGGGCAGAGCCGGACCGATACGGCCGACGACGGCTTCTACGGTTCTACATCGGCTGTGCGCCTAACTCCACACGGAATCCGTTCCCAGAACACTCATTTGGGGACCCCGCGCTTCCGCCCCCGGGGTTCCCTCTCCTTTTTCAGGCCGGACCCCGACGGGCCCTCCCTGTCGGCTTCCGCCTCAGCGCCGCCGCGGCCCGACGTTGGAGAGGCAGCGGTAGCCGGCACGTCGCGGTCAGTCACCTGCTCCGCCTCGCCGCCAGTTTTGTCAGCCCGCGGCGCGTCCCCAAGCCCTGACCCCATCGGCCGCCGAGCCCCAGGCTCACCCCGCGGCTCAGCCCGGGCGCCCCCTCGGGGCTCCTCGCCTGCGACCCGGCCTCCCCAGCCCGGCCGCTTCAGAAACACCCGTCCGGGTACGCGCCCGTTGTCTCTCCTCACGGTCGCCGTCCTCCTAGCCCGGCCGCCACCGAGACCCCGACAGTCCCCGCCAGTTACCTCAAGTCCCTCCCTCAGGCCTGCGGGGTGAGGGGGCGTGCGGGGGTCTCCGCAGCTCACCTCCATGGGCCTCCCAGCCCCTCCTGGACTAGGCACAGCTCCTGGGGTACGGGGATGAGGGGGGGACGTCGAGGCCCAGCTCCCTCAACCCGCACCCCGCCGCTGCTGCCTCCGCCCCGGCGCTGCCTGGAGCCGGTCTGTGGGTGCGGGGGCAGGAGCTGGGAGGGAGAGGCTGGGGAGAGGCCGTTACATTGCCCACTAGGGGCTCGCGACCCGGCACGCGACCCGGCACGGGCCCGCCCCGCCCCCTCCTGGGAGGCCCGTCTCCGGCTTCGCACCCCTCATTGGCCCGCTGCCCGGCCAATGGGCGGTGTCCTCCGAGACCTGTTACCCACTAGAGACAAGGCCAAGAACCAGCCGTTAAGGCGACCTCGCTCTCTCTGCGTTTCTGAGCCTTTCCCGCTCAAAGTGAACGTGTTCGGGATTGGCCCAGTCTGTCAAGCACCCGCCTGATGATTGGCTAGTAGAGCAGCTGAGGGGCGGGGCGTGGAAGGAGGATTAGGAGCTCGGGCCTACCAGGTGGGAGAAGTGATGGAAGTGGTCAGGAAGATTTGAGAAGTCGCTCAGCAACCGGCGGATAATCCTAAACTTACCGGCTGTTCGCCTTGCTCCGACATTTCATTTTGCCCCTGGTCCTGCCCCTAACTCCCAGAATCCTTTGGAGCAACCTCAGAGAATGATAGACTTGGGCTCGTTTACGGAGCGTGAGGAACCCGTTAAGGAGTTGGGGGTTGTTGGAAAAGTCCCTTCTAAGAAGGAAGAGAGCTGTTCTCTGTCCTAGGCCCTACGCTTCGATGGGGGTGAAGGCATTTTGATGCTTATGGAACCCCTGAACAAATTTCACTCTGACCTGTACCAAATAAACCGTTCACATAGATGGTCCCATTCGAGGATGTGATATCTCAAGGTTTTGTCCCCAGAAAATGCTAAACAATTTTGTGTGCATTGAAATATTGAAGATGATCAAAGTAAGCACAGTTACCACCTTTAGGGCATGTATATTTAAAATCAAAATTTGAGAAGCAATAAAGTGGAAGGTGTTTTTTTTTAACTCAAGCATAAATGGAAATAGGATAGGGGGACATGTCTTTTTGGCCCATATTGCCCTGATGGTTATTTTGAATCCCAACTCAGCTTTGAGTTAAGAAAGCTTGTTAGTTGACCTGGCTGTACCAATTCATTGTATTTATTTCCCTACCTCACCCTTAAAGTTGCTAACCTGGAGTTTACTCCCTCCTTACATTTAGAGCATACTGTTTTGTCTTTCTCCCATAACACCCAGAATGATTTTGCAAAACTGTGAATCCTCTTATGTATCTTTTTTATTGTAATAAGATAGACATAAGATTTGCCATTTTAAGCACCTTCGAATGTTTAATTCAATGACATTATACTCAATGTTATGCAACCATCACCACTATCCATATCTAGAAATATTTCATTTTCCCAAACAAATTTTGTACCCAATAAAAGACATAACTCCCATTTCCCCTTCCTTCCACTCTCTGGGAACCACTGTTCTACTTTATGTTACTGTGAACTCACCTAGTCTAGTTACTTCATATAAGTGGAATCATATAATATTGGTCCTTTCGTGACTCATTTCATTAGCACAATGTCAAGATTCATGTTGTGCGTGTCAGAACTTCACTCCATTTTATGGCTGAATAATATTAATCAATTGATGGATACTGGCTTGTGTTCACCTTTTTTTTTGTAATGAAGAATGGTGTAAAGAGCATTAGTGTACAAATGTCTATTTGATTTCCCTTTTCAATTCTTTTGGATATATGTTTAAGAGTGGAGTTGCTCTCATATGGTAATTCCATTCAACATTTTCCACACCAAACTATCCTACTGAAGCTGCACCATTTTGCACCCCCAGAGCAATACACCAGGGTTCCAGTTTATTTACATCCTTGCCAACAGTTGTTATTTTTCCTTCCATTTTTTTTAATAGCCTTTCAAGAAGTTGTGATATGGTATATCACTGTGGTTTTGATTTTCATTTCCCTTATGACTAATGATGTTAAGCATCTTTTCATGTGCTTATTGACCATTTGTGTATGTTCTTTGGAAAAATATTTATTTAAATCCTTTGCTTATTTGTTTGAGATTGTATTATTTAGTATTGATATGGTTTGTTTTGGAAATGAAGGTTACAGGAAAATGGAACACCCCATTGAACTCAAGTGAATACATTAGAAAAGGGATCATTTTGGTTATGGATTAAAAACAAGTATTTAGTGTATAGGTAGTTCTTTCTTTCATCTCTTGCATTTCCTTTTTGGAAGATCTCATTCTGAATGGGTGTGTTGAGAGGTAGATGGGATTGTTTTCACAACTGCCTAAAGATAGATACAAACCTCAGACTACAGTAAGAAGTTAGAAATACTCAAATAATTGTTTTATGTCTTCTCTGCTTTCACAGTTTGTTGTGATCCACATAGTCAAAGGCTTTGGTGTAGTCAATAAAGCAGATGTAGATGTTTTTCTGGAACATGGAAAATCCCAAATTTGAGGGATCCCCAGATATAGAATGAAGGATCTCTTGACACCAATGGACTGGAAAACAGCTTCTTCTTTTTTTTTAATTAAGATCTGCAGTTTTAATTTAGACCACAGAGTTTGAGAACTTTAAAAAGATTCGTTGTTTCTGCCTTTCCCCTTTCAGTTAGATAGGGTTCTAGGTCATTCTCTCTTAATCTGGGCATTTAAAGATCCATTAAAGCTTTGTGTTGTGATATACTGCTGCAAGCAAGCTTCCTTCCAAAAGGTAAAAAATTAAAAAACATTCCTGAAAGACGTGGTTTTCAAATTGGATGATTATGTACCATTGAGGTGGGAAATAGATTCTGAATATATAGAATCTTCCTGAAAACACATAGCCCACCTCCTTGTTGCAATTTTTCAGCAGCTGAATTTCCTATATTATTTTATCTGTCTTGCTTTCTATTTGTGCAGTCTAAAATACCATGAGAGGACATACTTACTGACAGGTCAACCTGAAAGCTGGATGTTTTGCAAACCATTGTCTTAAATAATGAAGTTGAGGGTCCTTATCAAAACCTGTCAGAGCTGGGAAATATTCAATAGTTGTTTTATTGCAAAAGCTTTTGAATTCTGTTCAGGTTCTGAACTGATCCCTAAGTAGGTAGAGTTCTCCAGCCTGTCCTTTCCTAGGGGACTTGCAAAATTAAAACATAGAAAAGCTACTTCCTTGACTCCTGCTTTGGAGGGCAGAGTAAGGGAGGTTCCCCACTTGTAAGGCTCTACCTCTGCTTCAAGGTTTTTACCTCCAGTTTGGAGTCCCACTGCTTATCTGGCTTGATGATTTGATTCTCGCCCTTCCTCTCTCTTTTGAATAGACATTATTCTTAAAATTTGTATTTATTTATTTATTGGCTGTGCTGGGTTTCATTGCTGCACACAGGCTTTTCTCTAGGTGCGGCGAGTGGGGGGGCATTCTCCAGTCGCAATACTCGGGCTTCTCATGGCAGCTGGTCTTGTTGCTGTAGGGCCCTTGGATTCAGTAGCTGTTGTGCCTGGGCTTAGTTGCCCTGCCACATGTGGGATCTTCTGGGACTGGAGATCAAACCTGTGCCCCCTGCACTGACAGGCAGATTCTTAACCACTGGACCACCAGGGAGGTCCTAGACATTATTTTTTAAAAAACAGTTTGAGGTTCACAGCAAAATTGCATGTAAAGTATAGAGAGTTCCCAAATATTCCCTGTCCCCATACATGCACAGTGTTCTCCCTGTCAGCATCCATACCAAAGTGGAACATTGGTTACAATCAATGGGTCTACACTGACATGTCATTGTCAACCAAAGTCCACAGTTTACATGAGGGTTCATCCTTGGTGTTGTGCATCCTGTGGGTTTTGACAAATGTATAATGCCAAGTATCTCTCTCTTTCTGTGTATGCCTCTCTCTCACTTGTCTTTCATTCCTTTTTTCTTTGCTCTATGGATTACACCTATGACTGTTTAACTTTCCAATATGAGCTAGTTTGTAAGCAAGCTCCCTGGACATTGTAATGAAGTGACTATCAATGACTAAAAGGGGCCTCACTGAGAGGTATTGCTCCCCATTTCAACCACAGGTCATTTTCAAAGTTAAGAAGGAGCCTTATATCTTTGTTCACTTAAGAACTCTCTCAGGACTTCTGTGGTGGTCCAGTGGTTAAGACTTTGCCTTCCAATGCAGGGGCTGCAGGTTTATCCCTGGTCAAGGAGCTAAGATTCCACGTGCCTTGGGGGGGAAAACCAAAATATAAATCAGAAGCAATATCATAATAAATTCAATAAAGACTTTAAAAAATGGTCCACATCTAAAAAAATTTTTTAAGGAAAAAAGAAGAACTCTCTCTTCTAGACAAGTGCCTTAGATTCTGTAGTTGAGCTGAATTGAGGCCCTTGGATATGGATAAGAAGAGGTAGGAATCCTTTCCATATTCAGGACCTCATGAATCGCAGTACATCAGGCCTCCTTGTCCATCACCAACTCCCAGAGTCCACCCAAACCCATGTCCATTGTGTCGGTGATGCCATCCAACCGTCTCATCCTCTGTCGTCCCCTTCTCCTCCTGCCCTCAATCTTTCCCAGCATCAGGGTCTTTTCAAATGAGTCAGCTCTCCACATCAGGTGGCCAAAGTATTAGAGTTTCAGCTTCAACATCAGTCCCTCCAATGAACACCCAGGACTGATTTCCTTTAGGATGGACCGGTTGGATCTCCTTGCAGTCCAAGGGACTCTCAAGAGTCTTCTCCAGCACCACAATTCAAAAGCATCAATTCTTCGGCTCTCAGCTTTCTTTATGGTCCAGCTCTCACATCCATACATGACTACTGGAAAAACCATAGTTTTGACTAGACAGACCTTTGTTGGCAAAGTAATGTCTCTGCTTTTTAATATGCTGTCTAGGTTGGTCATAACTTTCCTTCCAAGGAGCAAGCGTCTTTTAATTTCATGGCTGCAATCACCATCCACAGTGATTTTGG